GGAGAATATACTCTTTGGCAAGGAGGATGCCGAGATGGAGGAGGTGATCGAAGCTGCCAAGGCTTCTAATGCTCATAACTTCATCGATCAGCTACCTCAGGGGTACGATACGCAGGTCCGTTCCCTCCTCTTTCGATCTTGTAGTTGGATATAGCTTCCATGCTCTAGGTGCCTGCTCACTCGAGTCCGATACCGACGGCATACTAAAAGTTTTCGACAGGAAGAATCTTCCATCCATCTATTGTGTTACATAAATCATGCGAAAGTACATAAGCTTGCGTTTGTCTGAGCAGGTAGGGGACAGAGGCATTCAATTGTCAGGAGGGCAGAAGCAGAGAATAGCCATCGCGCGAGCAATCATTAAAGCACCTAGAATCCTCCTCCTAGATGAAGCAACAAGCGCATTAGACTCGGAATCAGAGAAAATCGTCCAAGAAGCACTCGATCGAGCTTCCATGGGTCGCACAACGATCATCATTGCTCACCGGCTATCTACTATACGACATGCCGACAATATCGCCGTCATTCAGAATGGGCAAGTGACAGAGAGTGGCAATCATGAAGAGCTAATCCAGAATGAAGACGGCCTCTACACCTCATTGGTCAATCTTCAGAAATCAGAGGAACAGAAACCGACAGATCAAGTTAAGAAACCCGAGAGTCAAATCACGTCTTCCGTATTAAGCACGGATGGAAATAGTACTAGTAGCCGCCGTAGCCTATCCAAGTTGAGCCGCTCCAACTCAGCGAGGTCAATGGCAGCAGCAGTTGGTTCGGATAATCAAAACATCTCAGTTCCATCTTTCGGGAGATTGATAGCTTTGAACATGCCGGAGTGGAAACAAGCCATCCTGGGGTGCATCGGCGCGATATTGTTCGGTGCAGTTCAACCGGTGTATTCTTTTGCCATGGGCTCAATGGTCTCGGTTTTTTTCTTGAAAGATCACGAGGAGATTAAAGCAAATATAAGGACTTATGCATTCTGCTTTCTGGGTTTGGCCGTGTTCTCGCTATTGGTCAGTGTGATTCAACACTACAACTTCGCTTTCATGGGGGAGTACTTGACTAAGAGGATCCGAGAGAAGATGCTCTCTAAAATCCTGACTTTCGAAATTGGATGGTACGATCAAGATCAGAACTCCAGCGGTTCGGTTTGTGCTAGACTCGCTAAGGATGCCAATGTGGTAAATACAATTCCTTCATTGCTCTTCACTCATTCTAGTCCTCTATATCTCGAAACAAGGCTTATTAACAGTTATATCTCGCCGGATGGCCCTCGTATTGATGGCTAATGCTGCTTCGACGCTTCTGTGCAGGTGAGATCTTTGGTGGGTGACCGTATGGCCCTTATCGTGCAGACATGCTCGGCTATAGTAATTGCCTTAACCATGGGTCTGATCATCGCATGGAGACTCGCCCTTGTGGTAATAGCAGCGCAACCCCTTGCCATAGCCTGCTTCTACATGAGACGGATGCTACTAAAGAACATGTCTCAAAAGGCCATCAAGGCCCAAGACGAAAGCAGCAAGCTTGCGGCGGATGCAGTCTCCAACCACCGAACTATCACTTCCTTCTCTTCACAAGAGCGCATCCTTAACATGCTCGAGAAAGCCCAGGAAGCCCCGGAACGAGAGAGCATCCAGCAGTCGTGGTATGCTGGTATTGGATTGGCAGCCTCGCACTTCGTTACGAAGTGCTCCTGGACTTTAGGTTTCTGGTATGGAGGCAAGTTGATGTCGCATGGGCAGATCACATCGAAAGAGCTCTTCGAGACGTTCCTGGTCTTGATCAGCACCGGCAAAGTGATTGCGGACGCCGGGAGCATGACCACGGACCTTGCCAAGGGCTCGGACGCAGTCGGGTCCGTGTTCGCCATATTGGACCGGCAGACCAGGATCGAACCCGAGGACATGGAAGGATACCAACCAAAAAATATAACAGGCCATATAGAGTTTTGCAGGGTAGATTTCGCATACCCGGAAAGGCCGGATGTCATCGTCTTAAAGGACTTCTCATTCAACATCGAAGCGGGCAAATCGACAGCACTAGTTGGACAGAGTGGATCTGGAAAATCGACCCTCATCGGCTTGATCGAAAGGTTCTACGATCCGATCAGAGGCTCGGTAAAAATCGACGGACGAGATGTAAGGTCATACCACCTCAGGGACTTAAGGAAGCACATGGCGTTGGTCAGTCAGGAACCGACTCTATTCGCCGGCACCATAAGAGAGAACATTGTCTATGGAATATCGCAGGAGATGAGCGAAATGGAAATCGTCGAGGCTGCACAGGCTGCCAATGCTCACGACTTCATCGTGGCATTGAAGGACGGATACAACACAAGGTGCGGGGACAAAGGAGTCCAGCTCTCCGGAGGACAGAAGCAGAGAGTCGCCATAGCGAGAGCCATACTGCGAAACCCGACGCTGTTGTTACTCGACGAGGCGACCAGCGCGCTCGACAGCCAGTCGGAGAAGGTGGTGCAGAGCGCCCTGGAGCGTTTAATGGTCGGACGGACCACTATAGTGGTGGCGCATAGGTTGAGCACGATACAAGGGTGCGACGTGATCGCCGTGCTAGACAAAGGGAAGGTGGTGGAGAAGGGGAGCCACTCTTCCTTGTTGGCTAAGGGTCCGGCCGGAGTATACTACTCGCTCGTGAACCTCCAGAGCGCGCCGAGCGGCTCGGAAAGTATCGAATAATGTGCACGATGTGAATCTGTTTAGAATACAAAAAAACCATGGGAAATCTAATTGAGGTGCTAAGATCATGATAATAGCTCCTTCTTCTTTCCAATGGAAGGACAGGCTTCCGCCTGTTTAATGTCATTACATGAATAGAATGCTTTGTTATGGTACAGTGTTTTTCACTTGCTCTGCATGATCAGTCTCGAAGATTAGCTGGGAATAACCTCTTTTTTCTCTCGCCTTTTTGTCCATGACATTAACGGAAATTAGCACTTAATGAGATGCATCATCGGTAACCCCAGCAATGTCACTGTTGATTACTTGATTTCGTAATAACTTGCTGGTAAAATGCCTTCAGAAATTCCAAGTTTTTTTTAACAGTTTACATGTCATCAAAGTTGCTTACTTTTACAAATTTTTATTTTTTTATCCTTACCAATCACCTTACATCTACGAACTCTTACATAAATTTACCAATCTTTATTTGAATGACTTACAAACTTCTGTTGCCGGTTAAATTACCATTTCATCTTGGATTGCACCAGTGATTTCGTCGCTTCTTTGAACGAGGATTTGGGCTTAATTCCTTTCTAAACATGTTCGAGAATTCGCTTTTTGGATGATTTGACTCGAAATTCCAATCCTTTGGGAGATGTGGAGAATATATTCCTTGCTCCTCTTTCGGGTTTTTTTTAAGCTTCTGTAGGAGCAGCAGGATCTGCACTGGGGGTTGGCTCTTCATCCTCCACAGTTTCCATAAACTTTTCGAAAATCTTCGCATTTCACGAACATGAATCGAATCTTCTACTTTCTGTGCGGCCTTGTTAAGTACACGATAAGCTTTGCTTGAAGCAGAACACCCCCAAAACGTACTTTCATACAATCTAGGATCGAATTTGCCAATGTCGTCAATTTGCAATTTTTAAGAAGATGACATTTACGACCAAAGATGTGGAAGTACGTCGTATTCGGTTTCTTTCCTATAAAAAAAAAGCTCATAGGGGTGGGGGGGGGGCTTTCTTTCCCACGGGTCTACGGTAGGCTCTACTGATGAATAGGATGCATTAGCAAATAGCAACTACTTTTGCTCAAAAATATGCAGGGAGCACCGCTCTCTACAACCATCGTTCTTGCAATATCTTGTAGAGAACGATTCTTTCTATCTACAACTCCATTTTATTAGTGGTCGATTGGATTTAGGAGGGGGAAGTTTTCATTGGGGAAGCCTCCATTTAGCACGTATAAAAAAGGAAAAATGATACAAACAGTCCATGAACTTTGACTCAATGTGCAATTTGGTCCATGAATTTTAATCAAATGTGAAATGCGATCTCTGAACTTTTAATTTTTGTTATCATCCCGAACTTTTAATTTAGTTATTATATCTAATTTTTTGGTATATTCAAATTCAGTATGAACTATATAAAAATGTTTGATGCGATTATTTACATTGATTCAAGTTCGAGACTACATTAAATATTAACCTAAAGTTTAGGGACTACATTAAACAGATTAAAAATTCGGGGACCAAATTGCATATTGAGTTAAAATCTGTTTATGTCATTATCCCCCTAAAAAAAAGTCAATAGAACCTGATAAATAAAAATAGGGATAAGTGCACTGAAGTCCTAAAACTTATCACAAAAGTGCGATTAAGTCCTAAAACTTTCAAAAAGTGCAAAAACAAAAACTTGTCATGAAAGTGCACTTGAGTCTAAAACTTTCAAAAGTGCAAATAAATCTTAAAACTTGTCACGAAAGTGCAAATAAGTCCTAAACTGTCACAAAAGTGCAATTAAGTCTTAAAACTTTCAAAAGTGCAAACAAATCCGAAAACTTGTCATGAAAGTGCACTTGAGTCCTAAAACTTTCAAAAAGTGCAAATAAATCCTAAACTTGTCACGAAAGTGCAAATAAGTCCAAACTTGTCAGTAAAATCCTTTCAAAGTACAAATGGAAACTTTGACAATTTAAAACTTTCAAAAAGTTTTAGATCAATGAAATTTTTGACTATTGACAATTATCCCCCTAAAAAAAAGTCAATATAACCTGATAAATAAAAACAATAAAAAAGTCAACAGGAATCGATTCCCACAGCGCGGTGACGTCCCCACCTCCTGACGGGCAGGGCTCGGCCCCACCCAACGAGCAAATCAACGGCCGAGATCCGCCCGTGCGAAAGCGCACCGTCACGGCCGTCGAGCCCGATCCTGCGTTCCCCCCTCCGGGCGACTCGCGTTCTCTCGTAAGCCACCTTCGCCATCGCCATCGCCATCGTCACCGCAGAGAAAACCGCGAAGAAAACACAGGCGCTCATTCTCTCTGCAACTCTCCTCTCTCTCTCTCTCTCTCTCTCTCTCTCCATTTCTCGCGTCTTTCTCTCTCGAGCTCTCTGTCTCTGTCTGCGAAGGAAGATGAGCAAGGGGCCGGGGCTGTTCTCGGAAATCGGCAAGAAGGCGAAAGGTACCGGCTCGATCCCGTTTTCCGATTCCTTCCCTCGCGCGTCGAGCGGTGCGCGCCCGGAGCCGGGGATTCGGTTCCTACTCGGGGTATTGACTAAATTTCGATTGCAGATATCTTGACCGCGAGCTACACCACCGATCACAAGGTCTCCATCAACACCTGCACCGAGAATGGAGTGGTACGCCCGATTCTCTCGTCGAATTGTCGCTTGCTTGTTCCGGGTGAGATCCACGAATTGGAGTAAAAAGAAGGTTTCTTTGATCTCCTCTTTGCGAGTTCTCTATTGGGTTTCGATTCGAATTTGACGAATGCATCGTGGGGTGTAACGATGGGGATTCCCATCGGCTTCGGTGTTTCGGATGGGATTCGGATTCGAATCGCTTCGGGTGATGATGGGATGTTTGGCTCGATTCGGTCGTTTATTTGATGCCCCCTTTTTTCCCCTCAAAATAAGTAGGTCTGATTTGATTAGGGAAGCAGTAATTGCAGCTTGGTTGTGCTCCACTCTGTTTCTAGATATGTATATCCAGTCATTGAATTATCAATTTATAGGACTAATTCTTTCTGCAATTGCTATTTTCGCCGTTAAATGTTGATTTTGCATTAAGTTTCGTGGGTTTCATTTAATTCTCCTCTTAGCGGTGAAAGAACGGTCCGTGGATGGCCAAAAATTTCACGGGATTTCTTCCTTGTTATGGTCGTTTCTCGCGTGAGGCGGAGACGATAGCCGGAACTGAAAACTCGTGCAGAGCTTTCGAGTTAGGAAAAGGAAATGTGAAAGTAACAAACCTTACCATTTTGATGAATATGCACAACTTGAGGCAATTGGCGGAAATTGGTTGCAGACGTCGCTAGTACCAAACCATCTATGTCAACAAAGCGAATATAGAGACGGGCACCAATTGTATTTACGTGGTGGGTATGCATGGTCTATTTGTCACTGTTATGAATAAACAGCGTGTTATGGTTATTTTTGTAAGGTCCATCCTCGGTTCAGCAGTTTAGATTTCAATCAGCTTCGGAAAGCACAAAGTGGGTTGAATAATTTTGAAATTGTCGAATCTCGCATAATCATAAGTATCTTAAGGAATTTAGAGGTCAAAATAGCATGGTTTATCATGGATGAAATATGCTTGTGGTGGTTCGCAATTACTCTCTCTCTCTCTCTGCGCACGCCCTCGTGCAACAACTTCATGCTTGGAAGAGCTTCATATTGTTTGTTACAAGTGACTAATGTAATTTACAAGGAAGCATTAACTGTTACTTTTGTTGTGATATTTTGTGGACTTCTCATTACTTTTTGCCTTCCACAGATCCTCACATCGACAGCAGTGAAGAAAGGAAGCCTTTCAACTTCTGATCTGGCTGCAAAATACAAATATAAGAATATCCTTATTGATGTCAAAGTTGATACTGAGTCAAATGTGGGTTGCTCTTTTTTCATAACTGTTCCCTTTGAAGTTTGAAGTAAGGAGTCTGAATTAACTCAGAAATTTAATTTGACGTCGATCCTTGTCTTGGCAGATTTTCTCTACCTTCACTTTCGCTGAGATCCTCCCATCAACCAAAGCCATCACCTCATTTAAAGTGCCATACTATGACTCTGGCAAGGTAAAAAAAATTATTTTGCTAGCCTTGGGAAACATTTAAGATGGTTGCTTGCCTTTTGCTTTTCTGATGGCTTGGCATTCACTATTCTAATGCAGCTAGAGGTTCAGTACTTCCATGAACATGCAACCCTTACTACAGCTGTCACATTGAAACAATCTCCTGTTTTTGACCTTACCGCCACCGTTGGTACTCCAAGCATTGCATTTGGTGCAGAGGCAGGATATGATGTGACATCGGGCAACTTTACAAAGTACACTGCTGGGATGAGCGTGTCAAAGCCAGACTCTTATGCTTCTGTGATCTTGTAAGTTTTGCGCTTCCTTACAAATGTTAGACATTGAACGAATCAATTGAAGGAAGATTCTTGACTTCGATGCTCATGCAATCTACTTCTCAGTGGTGACAAAGGGGACTCTATCCGAGCATCATATGTACACCATCTGGATCAGTCTAAGAAGACTAGTGCTGTTGGAGAGATTTGTAGAAAGTTCTCCACGAATGAGAATATTTTTACAGTTGGAGGTTCATATGCCATTGATCACCTCACCATAGTGAAAGGAAAGCTGAATAATCATGGGAAGCTCGGGGGGGTCCTGCAGCATGAGGTTATACCAAAGTCAATGTTTACAATTTCTGGTGAGATTGACACCAAGGCTCTGGAGAAGGCTCCCAAGTTTGGTTTGTCCATTGCTCTTGTTCCATGATGTTTCTCGGCCATCTGTTGATGGGATTTTTTAAGCCCTTTCTCCGATTATTTTTGCCAGTGCTTGGAAATGAGCACTTAATAAATAGTACGCCAAATTTATTGCCTTTACTTGGCCGAATTGCTTTTGCTCTTTGTGCTTTATGATGAAATTTTTGTACTTGGAGACATTCTCTAAGTATCTGAGTTGTTTTGGTGAGAATCAGGCTGATTGATAAGTTATGGTTGCGTTCGTCGAACCAAGTGATTCAAATCACCTGTAGGGTTTTTCTTGCATCCATTCTGATCTGTTGTCATGACATCCATGGATTTTAGAGTGTTTTTAAGTGGTCTATGTCAAGATCTTTAAACAATATGACGTACTCAAATGATTGGCAGCATGTAATGCAAGATCTTTAAACTTATTAGTACTCTAGCATTATTGATTACATCCAATCTGAGCTCATTATAGGAATTGCTGTTGATTAGCGTGATGCTGCCTCTCTACAATGTAATGATTTCCTTTTCAGTTTCAGCGGTCCAGCATGTGATGTAACTCGGTCCTGGAATTGGACTGGACTGGCGATCCGGTTCTTGAGCGGCCGAATGGAACTGCGATTCACCTCCCACATGCCCCGGTTCCTCCTCCATTCACTCTCTCCCTCCGTCTCTCCCTCTCCCTCTCTCTCCGCCACCGCCCAATCTCCTCCACCGCAAGCAGCCCCTCCACATCCGATCCCTCGACGCCACCCAGTCTTACGGCTACGAGGCCCAACTCCAATCCCACTTCCACAAGTCCTCCTCCATGAAGATCGCTATCCTCGGCTTCGGCGACTTTGGCCAACTCCTCACCAAGACCTTCCTCTCCTAGGGCCACACCATCCTCACCCACTCCCGCTCCGACTACTCCTTTATTGCCTCCGAGCTTGACGTCGCCTTCTACGATGACCCACACGACCTCTGGAAGCAGCACCTTGAGGTTATCCTCCTCTCCACCGAGCACATCCTTTGCTCAATCCCGTTCCAGAGGCTCAAAAGGAACACCCTTTTTGTCGACGTCCTCTCAATAAAGGAGTTCCCTCATGACCTTTTGCTAAAATATCTGCCTACCGAGTTCGACATCCTGTGCACACACCCCATGTTTGGACCCGAGAGTGGTAGGCATCCGCGGGTAGGGCTTAGCTTCGTGTACAATAGGGTTAGGATTGGGGACGATGAACCGAGGATCAATAGGTGCGAGAAGTTCTTGGATATCTTTTCTAAGGAGGGCTACACTATGGTAGAGATGAGCTGTGCTGAGCATGATCGATCTGGTCCGAGCGGTTCGATTCCCACCCTAGAACTGAGAACAAGACCGCCTGTCATCGATTACAATTTTATTGAATTGGGAACTGAACCGGCTCCCCTAGAAACTGCCCAAATCCAGCCGGAGCAGCCAGTTCTTGGTTCGGATGGTTCCCGTTGCACACCCCTATCCACATGGGAAAATCTGATGGACAGATCCTTTGTTTCTTCTTCCACCGGCCCCATTTTGTCTTACAATACGCTCAAAATTTGGGCCGTAGTTTTGAGCCCACCATCATAAAACCCTAATTTCCAGTTTCCTTTTATATAAATAACCTCATCTTCGCAAATCCTGATCTCTTTCAGTCGTCGAGGCTCCGGAAAACCCTAGCAAGCAAAGAGAGAGAGAGGGAGAGAGAGAGAGAGCGAAGATGAAGTACAACCCGCGCGTGACCAGCTCCCGCCGCAAGAACCGGAAGGCCCACTTCACGGCGCCGTCGAGCGTCCGCCGCGTCCTCATGAGCGCCCCCGTCAGCTCCGACCTCCGCTCCAAGTACAACGTGCGGTCGATGCCGGTGCGCAAGGACGACGAGGTCCAGGTAGTCCGAGGCACCTACAAGGGCCGCGAGGGCAAGGTCGTCCAGGTCTACCGCCGGAAGTGGGTCATCCACATCGAGCGCATCACCCGCGAGAAGGTCAACGGCTCGACCGTCAACGTCGGGATCCACCCCTCCAAGGTCCTCATCACGAAGCTCCGCCTCGACAAGGACCGCAAGTCCCTCCTCGACCGCAAGGCCCGGGGCCGCGCGGCCGCCGACAAGGACAAGGGGACCAAGTTCACGGCCGAGGATGTCATGCAGAACATCGATTGAGAGTGAGCGAGAGAGAGAGAGAGAGAGAGTGAGGAAGTTCCCCTTTTTTACTCATTTTGTTGTCCATTCGGGTGATAGTTTTGGTTGTTGTCTGACTCCAGAAGGTTATTGGCTGATTTATCCAAGGATATTGCTTTAGATGTCTGGAATGCGCTGCCCTTTTTATTTACGAAACAGATGGATGTTCTGTCTCCTACTTCAGTATTTTGCTTCAATTTCGTGTGATTGCTTTAGTTCTTTCGTGATTAGTCAAGTCTTGTTATGTTGTGACTTTGGATTGGTAACTCATGATGATGGTTGTCTGGTGCAATGAAATAGACTCAATGATCAGTTGGGCAACCAATGGTATTAAATAATGCAGTTTACATTTTCTCTCAATTGGGTCTATTCATCCGACTGGATTGATCAGTCCTTAGTGGACCTTGACTAGTGCAGCATGTCCATTGATCTGTTTGTAAGCTCTGTGCTAGCTTTTTGGACTAATGTCGTCAGCTTCAGACTGAACTTGACCAGGCAGTGGTGTGTGTTTATCTGCGCCATTATAACACTTTGAAGTGTTGCATTTAGATGCTATTGTTGTATCAATCATTCTAGTATATTTTGACACGCATGAAGCCGTTTCTGTGCTGTAGTATGAATTTTGGTTGAGTATATGCACCCATTAAGCAATTGATGCAGAAAATTATGAACCCTCGTGTGAGGTTGAAGTCTTGCTGTATCATTTGCTTTTGCTTGTGGCTGATAAGTGGGGTTCCCTGGATTGTTAGTGGTGCATTGTTTCTTAGAGCGCTCTGCTAGTTTTTCTTCTTTATATTTTTTACCTTCTCCGGGTATAATAATTGCTTCGTGTCTAATCTTACGAGCATCTAAGACTTTTTTCCACTTTTAGTATAGAGAATGAGTTTAGTGAATGATGCATTGAGCTGGATTTCTTTCTTCCTTCTCGCTTAGTCACATGGGTTTGCCTTACCTGGTTGTGCTCAGCTTGCTTACTTGTCTATCATAATGGGATGTCATAAATGGTTCTTGATAATTATTGACAGATTTAGCTGTTAGGTGATGGAGTAGTGTTGCCTGATAACGGGATTGTTAGCTGATAATAAGTAGAATTGCTGTGATGGAATATGATCATGTCAGGTAAGAAGTAGGAAGTTCCGAAATTCGAGGCAAACTTACAACACTTCTTGCAGTTTCTTCGGAGTGTTTTTTACATGCCTTTGTCTTTAGAGTTGGAATGCCCTATTTCTTGCCTTCTTGCCGTGAAAGGAACTTGTTATAAATCTTGTTTTGGAGTGCTCCTGCAGAGCGCATTTGGTATTGTGCTTTGGCAGTTTTGGCCAAGTTGAATAGGTTGAGGTTTGTGGGGACGAAGCTTGTTGATATTTTTACCATTCTTAATTTAATGAACTTATTGTGATTTAGCACTAGATTATAAAGTGATTGACTGATGGTTCCTCTGCAGAGGATTTTTATATCAATTTCAAATTGGATAAATATGCTTTAAACAGGGAATGCATCTGATATGCATTAGAGGCCAATTTAGTTTAATTTTTTTCTTTGGTTTGGTCTCCTTTGCACATCTCCACTGGTATTCTTTTGCACATCTCCACTGGTATTCTATACGCCATTCCGTAATTTTACAATCTCGAGGCCTAATTCAGTGCGGAAGGGTATACTCCACATGCTGCATTGGCAACTCTGCTGTGTGTTCGATATGCTATTAGAGTCTGGTCATCATCCTATATGCTATTAGAGTTCAGTCATCGTTTTATATGCTTTATGTCGAGGGAGAAATAATAAGGTATCGGTATGTTTGCCCCCAATGTTGGCCCTTGGCTTGAGTTTTGGATTCTAAGGTACTTGCTCTTTCAAAGGGTATGAGACTTAGAGGAAGATTTTGTTGCCGTTTCAACGTAGTTGCCACTCACTTTTACGTGTAGTACACCTGGGAAAAACATATACCCATTTGAGGCTGCCCCGGGACATTTCCAGAATTTGTTACTTTGTTTCCGTTTGTATTTCTCTTTTCGGTTGTGTACGACAGTGTTATAGAGTCGGACCGGTCAAAGAACCGGTCTGTTTCCAGTGTGCAAGTTAATTTGAAAGAATTAAAACATTAGGGCTAAACTATGTCATTTACATGTTTCTTGAAGCCAATGGACAAACAAAATTGGTGGCTTTTGATTTAGCTGTACAAGTTTGAGGTTGGGGGTTGAATTCCTCTTGTTGGTAGGTTGGCAATTCATGTTATGTCGACACCTGAGTACCACGCATTTAATAAACGTATCGAACTGTTTGGACGCGAACATGATACCTCTGTTAAAGCAAGTAACGTGACATGCTACAGAACAAGGTACGACTTGAAAGACTTTGGTCAAGAAAATCGCTTCCGCGGCAGCCCTTTGAGTGACACCATTCTTCTCAGTATCGTATTATTTCCTGAGAAATTCCCACCTCAATGCATCAAGTTGGAATCAGAAGCTGCATACCTAAGGGTCTGCATAGCAACGTTTTTGTTCCCAGAAACAATTTTTGATCAGAAATAATTTTTTCTATTTCTATTTCTTGGAATAGTTTCTGAGCAAAAAATAGCGTTTAGTAACTGCACAAAATTTCTATTCCTGGAATAGAAAAAGAATAGAAACGCGTTTAGGGCGCGAATGATCCATTTCTATTCCATGAATGTGTTTCTCCCTTCTGGGCTATCGGCGGAGGACGGCGGGTGGCTGTGGGGGGTGGAGGACGGTGGTTGGCGGCGGTAGAGGATGGTGGCCGGCGGTGGGAGGCAGTGGAGCACGGCGGTCAGCGGCGGAGCACGGTGGCATCGGGCGGCGTTGACGGCAGCGGGGGGCGGCGGCGGGAGGTGGCTGGCGGCGGAAGGTGGCCATCGTCGGTCGATGGAGCACGGCGGCCGATGGCGAAGGATGGCGGCCGATGGTGGGTGACCGTCGGCGTCGAGTGGCCAGAGGCGGGAGGTGGCCCGGCGGCCGAGGGCAGCCAGCGCCGGGTGGTGGCCGCGTCGGGCAGTGGAGCACAATGGCCTGCGGTGGAGGATGGCGGCCGGTGGTGGGTGGCCGGCAACGGCGGAGGACGGCGACCGGTGGTGGGTGATCGCCGGAGTCGGGTGGTTGGCGGGGGGAGGCGGCCGGCGCGGGGTGGCGGCCGGCGTCGGGCGATGGAGCACGGCGGCCAGCGGTGGAGGACAGCGGCCGGTGGCGGGTGGCGACAAGCGTCGAGCGGCGGAGAACAGTGGTCGACGACAAGAGGCGGCCAATGGGCGGGAGGCGGCCGGCGAGCGTTGGCCGGCGGGCGGCGGCGGCGGAAGGCAGGCGATAGGTGGCGGCGAAGGACGGCGAGAGGTAGCGGTGGGCGGGTTGCGGCCGATGGATTGTTTCTTATTTTTGGAGAATTCTAGAAAAAAAAATCGTTTCTTTTTTTTTGTTCCAGAAACAAGAAGCATATTTTTTTTGCTTCTTGTTTCTGTTCCAAATCTATTTCTTGAACACTTTTTTGTTCTAGAAACAAAAAAATAGATTTTTTTTGCTAAACGGATTTCTGTTCTTTTTCTGTTTCGGGGAACAAAAGAACAGAAAAACAAAGAAACAGAAACGTTATTAAACAGACCCTAAATCTCCAGATATGAGTGAGAACCAGCATGCCAGCGAGGTCGCCGGAGTCGGCAAAGCTGGGCCTACGGCATTGCTCCTTCGTCACTCCAAGCCCCGGCCATCTCATCTATGGGTTCCATTTTTATTTTTATTTTCTCTTTTTTAGCTTTTCTGTCTGTTCAAATCTTTCGGGCTTTTTTTGGTTTTTTTTATTTTTCGGCCTAATTTTTTATGTGGCTCCACTCTTCGTTCAAATTAGACCGAACTAACAAAAGTCCTCTGATTAAACGGATTTTAGGACTTTCGATATATTTATCCTTTATGTGTTTAGATATTGCTTTAAGTTAATAACACGATAGTCAGATATTCACGTGGCGAAAATTTATTAATAATAATGGAAGAGGAAGGAGAGGATGAATCACTAACTATGATGGGTGAATAGGCCATGTAGCCGCTACGCATGGATGTGATCTCCAGGTTTAAGATCTTCCTGTCTCACCACAATTGACACACCTATAAAGAGTGAAACAGATTGAGAGAGAAGTGAAGGGTTAGATTGGTCTATGGGAGGTCTGAAATTCCCGGCTACACAGTTAAAGACTTTCTTTTAATTTTCTTGAAGTTGAATAAGAACAAAAAAAAAAAGAAAAATCCTTTGGAAAAATTGCTTTGTCATTGCTTTTCATCATCTAAGAACTACCATAAAAATTGAGTCTTCCATGTGTCGTCATGAGATTAGTGTCACATTTTTTCGAAAAATTCTCTCTTGATAACCGTCCACATGGGAAAATTTCACAGATAGATCATTCTTTTTTCCATGAATCTTTTGGACACCAAAAAAGTCCTAAACACATTCAGTCCTAAACTTTTCAGTTGAACATATTAAGTCCTAAATATTTTCGTATTGATACAAATTCAGTCCATTTGGACAATTTAAACTGGAAATTATTAACGTGAATGCCAGCTCTCCTACATGACACAGCTAATGCTAATGTGCATATTTAATTTAATTTTTCAATTTTTTTTTTCAATTTTTTTATTAACTTTTTCTTTTATTTTGCCTTTTCTTTTTATCTCTCTTTTCCTTCTTTTATTTTTTCCTTCCTTTTTTTTTTCTTTCCAACCTTTTCCCTCCGCCAATCGCCGACGAGGGTGAGGGCTAATACGCCCTCCCCAGCCTTTGGCGAGGGCTGGACAAGGCCGCCTCTTGGTAGATCCAGGAGGGGACCCTCGCCCAAGCCTTGCCCGAGGTCAACAAGGCCCCTCACCATCGCAAGAGATCGGTGAGGCCATCCCTTGCTGGCTTTTAGCATGGGTTGGGCGAGGTTCCCCCCATTATATCTAGTGAGAAGTGGCCTTACCAGCCTCTTGGGTTGGCGAGGGGCCTTGCCCAAGCGAGGCCGACCCTAGTCAAAGGCTAGTAAGGGCATCCTGGCCTCTAGCAAAGGCTGGGCGAGGGTCTGGTGAGAGGTGGGCTTGTCCAGTCCTTGCCAAAGGTCAGTGAGGGCCGGCCTCACCTATGGCCAGCGAGGGCGTCTTGATCCTCACCCTCTCCGGTGGCAAGTGATCTCCGTTAGCGATTAGCAGAGGGAAGAGATTGGAAAGAAAAAAGAAAAGAAGGAAAAGAGAAGAAAAAAGAAAGGGGAAAAGAAAAGAAAAAAATTAACAAAAAAATTAGAAAAAAATATTTAAAAACTAAATTAAATGTCCGCGCCAGCGCCAGCGTACCACATAGGACGCCCCCCGCGTCCACATCAGTAATTTCCAACCTTAATTGGTCGAATGGATTGAATCAGTACCAACGCCAAAATGTTTACGACTAAATTGGTCAAGTTAAAAGGTTTAAGATTGAATTGGTACCAACGCAATTAGTTTATAACTTTTCTGGTACTTTTCCCCGGAATCTTTTCTTAGTTTCTTCTGCCACCGGCCCCTTTCATATTTCAATACCCAAGATTTTGGGCCACATTGTTAGGTGGCCATTTTTGAATTCGAATAATTCAATAACTCAAAGCCCAACCAAAATGGAGCCCAGCCCACCATCACCAAAAACCCTAATTCCATCTTCACTTCCTCCTATACACATACACACACACACATATATATATAGCTCACCTTCGCAATTCCTCTCCTTTAGCCGTCAGACTCCGGAAAACCCTAGCAGAGAGAGCCAGAGAGAGCGAAGATGAAGTACAACCCGCGCGTCACCAGCTCCCGCCGCAAGAACCGGAAGGCCCACTTCACGGCGCCGTCGAGCGTCCGCCGCGTCCTCATGAGCGCCCCCGTCAGCTCCGACCTCCGCTCCAAGTACAACGTGCGGTCGATGCCGGTGCGCAAGGACGACGAGGTCCAGGTGGTCCGCGGCACCTACAAGGGCCGCGAGGGCAAGGTGGTCCAGGTCTACCGCCGGAAGTGGGTCATCCACATCGAGCGCATCACCCGCGAGAAGGTCAACGGCTCGACCGTCAACGTCGGGATCCACCCCTCCAAGGTCCTCATCACGAAGCTCCGTCTCGACAAGGACCGCAAGTCCCTCCTCGACCGCAAGGCCCGGGGGCGCGCCGCCGCCGACAAGGACAAGGGGACCAAGTTCACGGCCGAGGATGTCATGCAGAACATCGATTGAGTGAGTGAGTGAGCGAGAGAGAGATAGAGGTTGAGAGGAAAGCTTCCTTATTCCATAGAGTCCTTGGCCTGATTTTGGTGATCCTTTTGTTAAATTTCTAGGGATATGTCTATCTTATCTGCTGCAATTTCGTGTTTCCTTACTGCTACTGAGGATGATGATGTTGAAATGTCTTCCATTTGAACGAATTGGATTCTTTTTGGGTCCTTATTATATTCCATTATCATGAAACTTCCTTCTGGGCTTCTGTCCTGTGGATTGTCTATCAACTTACATTGTGTTTGAGTTGTACTGCGTTTGCCTGATTAGGGGTTGTTCCAGTCTTGTTGTTAGTATGTATGGATGAGAAAGTTCACAGCGAGGATGTCATTCAGAACCCCGATTGAGTAAGAGAGACAGATAAAGGGTGAGAGGAAGGTCCCTTTTTGTGGTCCGTTGGTCGTTTTCGTACTGTGGAAGTTGACGTGCTGATATGTTCAAGGATGTTGATTTAGATGCCTGCGATGCTCTGCATTATGACTTATGAATCAGATGGATCTTGTGTCTCCTTGTTTATATTTTTGTGATTGTGTCATGGAACTTCTTTTGAAGGTCTATAGGAAAGTGTTGCAGTTCCTTGTGATTGTTTTTTGCTTGGGTGATAACTCGAGTCTTGTCAAGACATGGTTGTAGTAGATAATGCAGTTTACGAATGCTTGCTCAGTCGGTTATTTTCATCCGACTGGACTAATCGGTCTGGACCCCTAGAATGGGTTGTAGAGGTTTGACTAGTGCATGATGTTCATGGATCCATGAGTAAGCTTTTTGCAAGCTATTTTTGGTCTTGTTGTGAGCTTTTGACTGATTTTGCATGTGGGTGGGTTTATCTGCATATTATAACACACTAAACGCATTCAGGTTTGAGTGTAATCTAGTTGAATTTTCTATCGCGGGCAAGTATTTTTCTCCGATAGGAAAATGACACAAACGGTTCAAGAACTTTGACTCAATGTGTAATTTAGTCCCTGAATTTTTAATTTGTTCAATGTAATCCCTAAAATTTAACCCAATGTTCAATGTAGTCCCTGAACTTTCAATTTGTTCATTATGGTCCCTGAACTTTTGGTACATGTTCAATATAGTTCCTGAACTTTATAAAAATATTCAATGTAGTCCCTATTAATTCAAGTTCAAGGACTATACTTTATATTTTGATATAGTTCAGGGATTAAATTGAACATGTACCAAAAGTTCAAGGACCACATTGAACAAATTAAAAATTTAGGGACCACATAGAACATTAGGCTAAAGTTCAGGGACTACAATGAACAAATTAATAGTTCAGGATCAAAATGCACATTGAACCAAAGTTCAGGAACTATTTGTGTCATTATCCCTTCTCCGATTGCAGAGTCCAACACTTTTTGAGCTGCATAGAATGCAATGGAATTTGGAATATCGGGTGAGTTCAGGCAAAGTTGGTGTGCAGGGATAGAGGAGGTACTTTGTTGGTTACAGTTAACTGGAGAAGTGAAGCTAAGTGATTGCTTCCATTGGTGTGGGTGGATGAATCGTGTCATGTAGAGTTGCATGTCAATGGGCATGAGGATTTAATATGGGAAATAGGGGAGGACAGGTGGCTGGTAAATGCTTTTCTGGAGGAATTTGATGCTGCCATTGTTGCATGAAGAGATTGTTCACAGCCTAGGGTTTGTTTGTGGTGAATACAATAGTCGTGTCTGTTTGGAATCTGATAGCGGTGTTGGATTTGATTTCTGTTGCACCAAATTTACAGTTGGAAGGACGAAAATGGTGATCAATGTGTGGCATGTGTGAAGTTTTGGCGGACAAAGTTTAGCTGTATTTGATTGTGGATGTTCAGTCATTGTGCTTAATGGCATGACCAAGTTTACTCTGCAGATTGCGTAGTCGACTCTCGCCGTTCGTTCTGCATGCTATTGATGTTGCCCCATGTTTTGTCGTGAAAGTTTCGGGGCATGAGTTTCGATTATGCAGTTTGTTCTTTCATGCGTATGACACACTTGGTGGGATCAATTGTTCCTGTTTTAAGATTGAACTTGGCTGCCAGTAGCGCTCCCATTCTGTGCACATTGATTTTGTTAACAATGGTTCAATGTTTTATTCGTTTTATGAGTAATCAGTGTTTTGGAATCGAAACGTTCTCCAATTTGCTTAATAGAGTCCCGGGATACTCGTTAAATTGAATTCACAAACGTCTCCATGCTTCTTCCTTTCAGTGATTAAAGTAAATAAATGTATGACGAAGTAAATCGCGTTTGATCAAAACAGTCTTCCACTCGTATAAATTTGGTAAGACTCGTATTAATGCGGCGGTCGACACCTGTCACTTTGTAATTGAAGCCTTAGTTGATGCACGAGGATGATGTGATTTGCGCTAATCTGTGAGGGTTACTGGAATTGAATGGTTTATATAGCTTGCATACCAAAGAAGAAGACGATATCATGTGATTGAAGTAATTAGCTCAGTTCACTTAGAAAAAGGTACGGTTTAGGCAAGAAGGTCGTTGAAATAGCCTCACCCGAATTGGGTTAGTTTGTATTTGGATTTGGATACTCTTTAAAGACATGTCTTATTGTTTGAAGTCTTATTGATTTCAAAAGGATATAAGTAACTAGTTGTGGTCATGGTTCGTGTCTTGCTTAACAAATATGGGAAAAGTGCCAAAAAAGTCCTAAATTTTTTGCATTAGTGCCAATTTAGTCCTAAACTTTTTTTTTATGCCAATTCAGTCCTAAACCTTTTGCATTGGTGCCAATTTAGTCCTAAATCTTTTTTTGGTGCCAATTAAGTCCTAAACCTTTTAAATTTTTGCCAATTCAGTCCTAAACCTTTTGTTTTTGTGCCAATTTAGTCATTCCGGCCAATTTTGATCGGAATTTGGCGACGTGGACGCCGGCCGGTCATCGGCGCCGACGTGGACAACTTTAATAATATTTTAATATTTTTTTGAATTTTTATTTTTTTTCCTTTTTTTTTTCTTTTTTTTCCACTTTTTTTTTTGGTCTCTCCCCCTTCCTCTGGCCGGTCGCTGGTCTGGCGAGCTCGACCTCACCGGCCACTGTCGAGGGCAGCCTCGCCCGGTGAGGGCTTGAGCCTCGCCCAGCGACCTCGCCAGACCATGGCGAGGCTCGCCCTTGCCAGACCATGGCGAGGCTCGCCCTCGCCATGGCCTCCAGCGAGGGCTCGAGCCTCGCCTTGGTCGGGCGAGGTCAGGCCTCGCCTGACCATGGGAGGCTCGCCATGGTCGGTCAAGGCTCGACCTCGCCGGATCTGGCGAGGACGACCTCGCCGGCCTCTAGCCTCTGGCCGGTCGTCGGACCGGCGACCGGCCAGAGGAAGGAGGGAAAGACAAAAAAAAAAAGGAAAAAAAAAATTCAAAAAAATTAAAATATTATTAAAGTTGTCCACGTCGGCGTCGGTGACCGGCCGCCGGCCGGCCGGCGTCCACGTCGGCAAATTCCGATCAACATTGGCCGGAAGGACCAAATTGGCACAAAAACAAAAGGTTTATGACTAAATTGGCACCAATTTAAAAGGTTTAGGACTTAATTGGCACCAAAAAAAAGGTTTAGGACTAAATTGGCACCAATGCAAAAGGTTTAGGACTGAATTGGCACCAAAAAAAGGTTTAGGACTAAATTGGCACTAATACAAAAGATTTAGGACTTTTTTGGCACTTTTCCCTGACAAATAATAATAGACGCTCCACCAACAAATCATAGAGCTATGTAGGTAAATGGTTAGACATTTATTGGGAAAATTGTCCGATCAACCTAAATCTATTGTATAGATGTCAATTCAGTCCTAAATTTTTCAGTTTTGTCAATTAAGTCATAAACTTCTGCGCGAAGCTCCAATTTTGTCATTGCGACTAATTTTACCGTTGACGTGGCGGTATTTTCATAGGAAATTGCTGACGTAGTGTGCCACGTAGGACAACTGGTAATGATTGGACTGTCACGTCAGTGATTTATGGTAAAAATTGACTGGAATGACTACGTTAGAATTTTGCGCAAAAGTTTAAAACTATATTAGTAGAATCGAAAAGTTTATGATCGAATTGACATCCGTACAGTAAATTTAGAGTTGATTGGATAAATTTCGGACATTTATTTGAGTCAAACAATGCAAGAAGCTTTTCGAAAGTCATGAAACAGGTTTCTGATATATTTGTTTGTCTATAATGAATATTGCTTTTTAAGATGATTTGATGATTTTTTTTTTCTTACATGCGTTCACTATTTTCACTATCCTCACAATTCAATAAAACTCAAAACTTTTGTTAACATAGCAAGGGATCATTCTAAAAAAGTAAATGGACTCTTGAAGATTTTAATTCTTATTTTGGCACTTGAAATGTTCATCAACAAGCCAGCGTTGCGGTTGTCGAATAATTAGACAAATCTCAATATGAATAGATAGGGAATTCAATTAATTGCATAAATGCAGGTGAATAAAATAGAAACAAAATCCGTAATTTAAATGATTAAATATTGAAAGAAATATCACTAATAGAATTTTAGGGAAATTACTCAAAAAACCATCAACTATGGGGGTAATGCACGTTTGCCTTAAAATTGTACAAATTGCCTCTCTGAACTTTCATTTTGTTAACAGCCGCATTAACGTTTGTTATATTCCGTTAATACGTGCAATGTGCATGATTTTTAAGGAACAAAAGCGTATTATCATCTCATCTTTGTGTAGGAAATCTTTTCTTTACGGTCGAATTCTGTAAAAAAATGAAGAACGTAAAGAAAATGGAAAAAAATAAATTGACCAAGATATTGATATCAGAAAAATAAATATCAATAATAACATTTAATTAAAATTGTTAAAATTTGATGAGTATGTCAATAGAAATACTAAGATATTATAGAAAAAAACACAATTAAGTAAAAAGGAAAATGCCTTAATAAAAAATTACTTTTAAATAGTCAATTAATGAAAAATGATTGATCCATAAAAAAGTACTTTAAAAAGCACCTTAAATTTCGGTTAATAATTTCTTTGTATGAGTTGGGGACGTCATTTCCTTTTATAATTTTCGAAAATTCGCGTCAATCGATCGGTTTTTACATTAATTAAATTTTTAAATATACATACGCGTAACCAATCTTGTCCTTTTACCATTTTGTTATCGGGTCCTTTTCCCTTTTCATTGAATTTGTGTTTCTTCTTTTTAGTCATATTAATTTCGCTATAATTGCCAAAACTTTATCAAATCTTTGTCATTCTTTATAGTAATCAAGGGTAAAAATATAGATTTCTCTATTTTATTCCTAAAAAGTCATATGCACTGCATTTGCACTATCTGAGTGCCCCTCAAAGCAAGAACACATGCAGCCGTATTATTACATAGTTTCTTCAGTTCTTTGCTAGAGAGTATTATTGCATCATTTTGATGTACGGATACGAGGAACGAGTTTAGGTTAAGGGTGACGGAGAGAACTTAAATGCATAAGCACATGAATTTTTGTAAATGACATTTTGCTCAAAATTAGGTTAAAAGAGGCAAAAAAAGCACCACTAATCACATATGGATTTCCATGTCAGAGCACTCGTTAAGCAACCGATTAGAGAAATTGTCGAAAAAAAAATGAATCGTTTAAAATTAAGCATGTCCAACAAATACCCACCAAAAAACTCGTCAGCACGACTCGTCGTGTATAAAATCCGTCGCGAATTAGGGTAAAAGGAAATTAGACAATGGCCCTAATTTCACGCCTTTCTAAGAGCAAAATCACTAAGCAAGAGAAGGTTAAAGTCGGTGGAGAGAATTTAAATGCATAAATACATGAATCACGTATGGATTACCGTGTCGGTGCACTCGTTAAGCAACCCGATTAGAGAAATTGAAAAAAAAATAAACGAATCATTTCAAATTAAGCATGTCCAACGAATACCCACCGAAAAAAAAACTCGTCAGCACGACTCGTCGCGTATAAAATCACTCTTCAAATTAGGGTAAAAGGCAACTAGACGATGGCCCTAATTTCTTGCCTTTAAGAGCCACCTCATGGCATAATGGTTTTCCCATATCTGCAAACATTGCAACTGGCAAAAGCCCCCCTCAAAGAACCAATCATCCAAGAAAGGGAAGTTCTGATAAGAATCCGAGGGCCATGGAATTCGATTCAATTCAAAATTCAAGACGAGGGCCTGAAATGAGAGAGGAAGGAAGAGAAGAGGAGGAGGAGGAGGAGGGAGTTAAGTGTGGCATTTATGAGGCCATCACATTCACATGCATTGCAATAAATTCTCCTTACCAATTCAGTACCCCCCCCCCCCCCCCCACTCCCTCCCTCCCTCCCTCCCTCCATCAATCACCACAAGGAGAATCTCTCCACCTCTCTCCATCTCTCCTCACCTCCAGACGAGAAGAACTGTGCGTTACCTGTGAAGAAGAAGAAGAAGAGAAGGTTTTGCGGAAGAAGGAATAATTGTCATCCATGGAACTGGGCGCGGGGAGGAGGAGGAGGAAGAAGAACTGGAACGAGCTTGGTGTCGTGGACACCATTTACGAGGAGGAGGAAGACGACGCAGCAGAAGAAGAAGGAGACGACGGCGGCGGCGGCGGCTACTCCACCGCCTCATCGCCTTCTCTCCCCTCCCCGGCTCTCTCCCCGGCAGCCGCACCTCGAGCGGGAACGTGGTAATTGATTTCGTCGTCCTTCTTTTCTTTACCCGGTTTCAGTTTTCCGTTCGAGAAGATCACGGGTTTGGAAGAAAGAGTGAAACGGGAAGAGTCTGCATTCTTCCTCTCTGTTTTTTTTTTTTGGGAGGATTTGTCAGGTCGGCGAAATCTGGGTGCAGGCCGGATGTCGTGATAAGAGTTCAAGGGACGTGCTTTCATCTGCACAAGGTCTGTAGCCCATCCTTTCTGACCCCCTTCGTTCTCCGCCATTACCATCTCTCGCGCTGCATGAACAGGATCATGAGCAAGAACAAGTAAAATTATTATAAGTAATCTGACAAAGCCGCACACAGAGAGTGAGAGAGAGAGAGGGAGAGAGAGAACAATTTAATGAAACTGTTCAAAACATTGTAATGTTCAGTAAAAATTTGTTCGGAACATTGTCCTGTTGTGTTCGTGCGATGTGTCTCAGTCTAATTAGTCAATTGGCAGTCATTGGTTAGGTGCAAATATTTTCCTTGGTTTTCCCATTTCCTTTTCCTTTTTCCATTTGATTTGATCTTTTATATGATAGCTGAAAAAGACATACCATAGTAGAGCCTAGGGGGGGGGGTTCCTAGTCTCGTAGAAACCTGAAAATAGGACATGTCCTTCTCATTAGCAATTAATAGTAAAAAAAATTGACACTAATGGTCCGTGGAAATGTGGTCCCTGAATAAAATTTATTCAATATGGTCTATTATATAGCCAAACGTGCAATAAAATCCTTGAGCTTTCAATGTGTTTTATGTAATCCTTGGAATTATGAGATACGTTCAATCTTTGAACTGTATGAAAATGTTCAATGCTGTCTTGAAATTTGAATTACTAAAAGGACAACATCGAACATTTTCATATAGTTCAGGACTAAATTGAGTTCAGAGACCACATTACACGTTGGATCAAAGTCCAAGGATCATATTGAACAAATTAAAAATTTAAAGATCACATTATACATTAAATTAAATTTTATGAACCATTTATGTCATTATACTTTAATAATTCACATTAATTTTATTTTATCTTGGGTTAAAAATGCTAGAAATAATATTTAATGGAGGTAAACGATCGTTGTGATACGTTTTTACTGTGGTTTCGACCGCCCGTAGGCTCATCTCACGTCAAGAAGCGCCTACCTCAAGCGGCACCTCACCGGCGTCTCCGAGCTCACCCTCTCCCCGCCGCTGAAGATAACTGCAGCCACGTTCCGCCTGGTCGCCGACTTCTGCAGCGGCGGGCCCCGCGTCGCGGTGACCCCCTTCAACGTGGCGGGGCTCGCCACGGCGGCGGCGTCCCTGGAGATGACGGCGGGCGAGGGCGGTGACGGGGGCGACGACCTGAGGCTCGTCGCGGAGACCTACTTCCGCCAGTACGTCGCCGCGAGCCGGGAGTACGCCTCGATCCTGTTCCGCTCGTGCCTGGGCCTGTTGCCCGAGGCGGAGACGGCGGCGCGCCTGGTCAGCCGGTGCGTCGAGGCGTTCGGCCAGATGGGGGACTGCGAGGGCACGGGAGGAGGCGGCAGCGGCGACGACGGCGCGGGGGATGGGTTTGCTGAGTGCTTCGACGACGTCGTCGCCGTCGGGGTCGAGGACTTTCAAGTTACGGTCGACTCGATGCAAGGTCGTTTAACAAGTCATGACTTGCTATATAGGATGGTGGATGTGTATCTCATGGTAAATTTTTTCGATATTTTTAGTAAAATTTTTGCCGTGATAATTAATTTTCTTCCCTAAAATAATTAATATGAACGTGATATTTAATTTTATTTTGCCATGATATTAATTTTTTTTATTGTGGTATTTTTTTTTTTTTAACGTGGAATATTTTGAAGGAGCACGGTGGGAAAATGACGGAGGAACGCAAGGCCCAGATATGCAACACCGTCGACTGCACCAAGCTCTCGATGGACCTCCTCCTCCACGCCGTCCAAAACCCTCGGATGCCGCTCCGCTTCGTCGTCCGTGCCATGCTCGTCGAGCAGCTGAGGACCCGGCTCCATGTCGTCCACGCCCGCGACCGCCGCCAACAGCCGCCGCCGCCGCAGCAGCCCAGCAGCAGCAACAAGCGACGGAGCAAGGACGGGGATGCCGCCGACACGCTCGGCACGATCCTCCAGCGGGACGCGGCGGTCTGCCACGGGGCGCAGCTGAAGGCCGCGATGGAGGCGACCAGCTCGCGGATCCAGAGCCTCGAGAGGGAGCTCACCGGGATGAGGCGGACCCTCCGGGAGTCGACGTCCGAGAAGCCGAGGGGCGCCGCGATGATCGACTCGGCTCGGTCGGCTAGCTTCCATTACATAACGGCGGCAGAGAGCAGCAAGATCGAGAGAGGGGAGCGAGGATCGGTCTCGTCGGTGAGCTACAGGTTCAGCAACCGAGGCGGGGCGGCAGCCAGAGCGGGAGGGGGCTCGGATTGGCCGGAGGGGGACGGAGGGAGCCCGGGCGGCCGGAAGAGCATCCGGCAGAGGCTGATCAGCGGATTAAAGCATGCGTTCGGAGTGTTGAGAGATTCGAAACCCGCGGCGAGGAGCAAAATAGCCGGAGGGAATGTGGGGAGAGACGTTACTGCCGCTGGGGCGGCCGGAAGAGAAAGAGCTGCTGTTTGAACAAGGTGTTGGGTTCCTCAAGTGCTAAAAACGCAGCGGAATTTATAAATCGAAACCCTAGATAGAATCCATGCGTATATTAAAATCTAAATAGAAGTTCGGCACGTACCTTTTGCAGATCGAAGGTAAATTGACAATCGATTGTGTTTGGATTAGCGCCCCAAGTATTGCGCCTCTACAGGTATCCATACACACAAACGGAAGTCTCCAACAACCCAAGTACTAGCTAAAGATATTGGACTTCTTTTTCCTGATCGCCTTTGATCTTCGAGACCCTCTAAAAGATTTTTGAATAGAGAACGATTCTCTTCGTATTTTCTTAAGGTTTTTTTTTGTCACCCACACGCTATATATATATATAGCCTCATTATCTACGCAAACTAAAAGAAGGGGGGCCGGGCGATTTGGGCCCGCCAAAATGTCCACCTTCAAATCGTTATCTCATAACGTGCACGACCGCGAAGATAAGTTGAATATGAGAATAAATTAAAATCTACTTCTTATTTTAAGTAGATCCCGACGCACAGAAAATATTAATTCAGTTCGCTATTATGTACGACCCTGTAGGTTCACTAAACATTAGCAGTGTGCTCAAAACCCTTTTTGACCCACAAGTCATAAGCGGTCTCTAGCAAGACATTATGACTACCTAAGTATAGTAAATGCCGGTTTTTCGACACAACCTAATCCACAACTAATATTAAAGTATCAACCTTGATTAATTCCTAGAGCAGACCACTAACACGATGATGAATTTGATTGAATGAGACTCGTAAAAAACTTTGAATGTCGATAAAATGTGACAATGAGTTAGGTCGTATATTTAAAATATATTAAAAATAAAGAAAAAAACATCTCGACAAATTTTCGTCGTGCAACTCCGCCTGTTCCTGGCACCACCCTGAACTGCCGCAGAGCCCCCCCGGCCACCGCCTGGAACACCGGGCACTCAAAGGCCTCCTCCCAACAAACCGCCACTTCTCATTACCGTCCTTCGCAGCCCCTGGCTAACACTCCAACGCTCCGTCCTCCTCGGACCTCGCCCTCTTTGCTCTGATTTCAAACCACAGAGAGACCCCCTATTTCAAATCACGAAAAGCATCACCTCAGAAACTAGAGGTGATCGGTTCTCAGTCCGGTCACTTAGAGTTTAGTTCGATGAATTTATGTCAATGAAGTTTACTTATGATTTAGTTCACATTTTACTAATTTTTTTGAAGAAATAAAAAAAGTACATGTAGTCGGTTTGGTTCTCCTTTGCGATCGGGAATCGAACCATCCAGACATCAGTTTCACTTTTAAAAACTTAGAACTGGACCGGTTCCCGATTTGGACGGTCCGTTTGGTGTACTTCTATCAGCGACACACGACTTTGAAACCTCGAAGCAAGAACCGCTTAGCTAAACACAGCACCGCAATAGCACACGTGCTCGGTGTCTATTGGAATCAGAATAAGCTCTCATCGAAGAGAACAAGAGATGAGGAATTTTTAAGATGGTAATTCAGCACAAAAACCAATGGGGAATCACAAGCAAACGACGAAAAGCAAAAGGGGTTACCTACCGAAGACATGAACAACCGTCTAATTGCATGATCGAGGGAGAAGATGGCCACAAACGATCGTCATATCTGGTCCTCAATGATCTGCCGAATCTGCCATTGCCGTCTCCGAGCTCAGCCAAGAGCTCCTCCCAAAAGGCGGCATTCGATCACTCAACCTTCGGCGCCTACTTCCAAGATTCCTTTTGCCTAGGTCCAGCCCTGCCCACTGGACAACTCGAAGCTCCTCCGCTCCGTCGAGGACCTCCACGAGCACGAGTCGCTCCTTGAGCACAAGCTCGTGCGAGTGACGACGTCCCTTGTCTCGATACTCGAGGGCACGATCTGATCCAAGGCCGATAATATTGCCAAGTCGATGAAGCGGATCAAGGAACTCATAAGCGTCAAACGAGAGGTTCAGGCGCAAGTTGGAGGCGTGTGGAGCCAAGGTTGGAGGGAGAGAGAGGAGAGTCTTGACCGCTTGGGTTGGAAATGGGTTCTAAATCGAACCCATTTATTTGATCAGGCTTTGAAGTTTTAAATCTAAGGTAGGCTCTTCAAATTTGAAACGACCCATATATGATTCATTTATAAAATAAAAAAAAAGTCAGGTCGCACATGGATTTAAGATCCATTCTGATAGATTCGCTGCGTATCCAAAAAAAGACGGAGAGATGCATCTAGTCGCCGGTAGCGAAAACCTCGCCGGAGCCAATTCAATGCCCTTCCGCCGCCGAAGTTTGCGATCGATCTCAAAGAGTTTAGGTGAGTGATAATGAGAATTTCGAAGGTGATCAAGCCCGCTCAAATGTAAATGCGAAGACCTTTCTTCTATCATTAGTCACAACATCTAGGCACGTTTGGGACAGTCGCCATTAAAATGTAGGTCTTTAACTCTCAAGTTGCGGTCACGGATGAAGCCAAAGCAAAAAGGCGGGTCGATAAATAATCCGACCACCATTTTCGCTCCACCCAACTTTCTCCGCCCACGCGTGCAACACGACTCCTCTCCAAGAGCATTATACCTCAAAGAGGATAATGACACAAATAATTTCTGAAATTTGATCCAATATATAACGTAGTATCTGAATTTTTAATTTATTCAATAAAATTTCTGAACTTTACTTCAATATTCAATGCGGTTCCGAACTTTTAATTCATTCGATGTGGTCCTTGAAGGACGATATTGAACTTTTAATTTGTTCAATATGATTCATGAACTTTACTTCAATATTTAATGCGGTTCCGAACTTTTAATCCATTCAATGTGGTCCTTGAATGACAATATTGGAAGTTTTCAAATAGTTCAGGAACTAAATTGAACGTGTACCGAAAGTATAGGGACCATATCGAACAATTCAACTGTTCAGAGACGACATTACACATCGGGCTAAGTTTCGCGAACTACATAAATAAATTAAAAGTTCAAGGATCACGTTACATGTTGGGCCAAATTTCGGGGAACATTCGTGTCATTTCCCTAGTAGATATAATAAATACACTCGCATGCATTGGACAAAAGGCGATCTACGCAGAACGCACACGCGAAAAGCTGCAACTGTTACAAAACACAAATCCAACTTCTCTCTGCTCCGGCTTCAAAACCAGCCTCGCCCGCACTCACTGCTCGCCGCAATTCTGAGATGTTTGCTATCTCCAAAGATTGAGCCTTCGATCACAAAACCGTTCTCACGCGTGGCTTGTTGCTCTTCTTTCGTTCCTGCTATTTGAACCTTTCGAAAAGATGGGCGCCATTCCGGTAGCAAATTCGAAGATCCGTCGCCGTCTCATGGAGCCCGAATACCCGTCCTTGTCATCGCCGTCGTCGTCAAAGCTCGGTTTCGAGACTGTCCATCTTCGGAATAGAGGCGGCTCTTGGGGGTTACGCACGAATCATGGCCATCGGCTTAGCCTTTTGGCGCCAATTAAGGCGGCAGAGTATAAAGGAATCGCTTGCGCCGATGATCGAGGAGGTAAAACTTGTGAATTTTGATCGAGGAAAAGGTTTACTGTTCTTCGTGCGACCTTCTGCTTTCGGAATTGTTAATGTCTGCTCACAACTTAACGTTGATCTTGGTGCGGCATATATTTCCCACTTTATTAGTTTGTTTGAGCAATATTTTGACTGGCTTTCCGATCAGGCAATACAGTTGGAAACTCGACGAACATCACGTGGCACGACTGTCCGGTCGACAAACTTGCAAGGCAAGAACTACTCCAGCAGAAAGGTTGCGTGATATGGATCACCGGGCTCAGCGGTTCAGGTTCGCGACGATTTGTTCATCAAATAGTTTAACTGGGTGTATGATATTTCCTTCTCAGCTGACACCCACCCCACTTTGCAGTCACTTCTCTTGCTTACTAAAATAGAAGCAGCACTCTTTTTTCATCGTGGGTTCGCGGCAAAGTTCGCAAATCATCCCATTACTTGATACAGTCGTGCCGGATTCAACTTGCTTTGATAGTGCTGTACAACTCGATCGATCTATCTAATACTGCAAATAGGAACTTCCGTGGATCCCCATTACGTCCACACTGTCTCGTGAACCTAGGGGCAGAAAGTGAAGAAATAGTAAATGAAACGTCGAGCTTTTCAGTTCAGATCGCCAGCTTAGTTTTCCCCGTGGATTCGCTCGATTCCATTTGTTCTTTTGAGGGTAGAAGCTGACGTGCTTTTTTGTGCATTTATAATTTGTCACACCTTGTGTTCTCTTCCTAAGATCTTACATAAGAAGAAAGAAAAAGGACATCGTCTATGTTGGGAAAGGCCTTTCGACAGCAAGCAAGCTGATGCAGTGGCCAAGATCTCTGGTCTCTAGGAGTTGGACAAGTGCGTAACAACTACTGAAGAACTTGTTTTTTTAATCCTTGGAAGGGAATATCGCATGTTCGGATAAGTGTTTCAGATAGCGATCCAAATGATGCATCTAGACTCTCTAAGTGCCTCTATGTAGAGCTGAGAAGGGTTTTTCGCCCGGGCCTGGTTCGCAAAGTCCTGCAATTAGAGCAGAGCCGTCTTCATCTATAAGAAGTCGGGAAATTCCTAGGGTTAGCTTATCTCAGAAGCGACGAATTTCCTAAGGCAAGGCAGGCTTTTGTAGCTCAATTACCTCGAAACATTGCGAAAATGCATAGATCCTATATACTCTCATGAAGGATGATGTTGTGTGTAGTGGTAACGTAATCCTCTTGCCCTTGGCAATGTGGGGACTGTTAGCACCCCTCTTCTTTGCAACGTAGATAGACATAACGCGCAATCGTCTCGCACAGAATGGAACGAAGAAGGCGGGGATTTACCAGAAAAGGAATTTACATCAGAATGTCAAATTAATGTGCTTTTTCCCGTAGGACATAAACCCAGATGGAATGATCAAACCCTGGAACTTTAGACTGAATCTTACTTTCCGATATGCTTGTTCTTTAATTGAAACCAGCCCTCTGATTTTAGTTAGTCAACAAATGGGGGATCGGATCAAGTCAATGAATGAAGTAGCCCCTAAGTCCTAACACAGAGTTGGGCGTAACTCTATGGATGATCATGTTATAATGAGAAGGACCGGCAAGAAGTCTGGCAGGAAAGTCGTCCTTCTTAGCAACTTGGAGGTTCGATAATGGAACTGCCGGCGCCGCTCCATTTATGCGTGCTTCTAGTTACTTGAGGTGCAATCTTCAGATGAACAAGCGCTTAAAGCAAATTTAAGACGGCGTCCATTGGCTTGGGGGTGACCATTGTACATCAATGATATCAAATGGCTAGTTTGTTTGTTTCAGACACAAAGTCATGTTTTGGAGAAGCAAGACTACTTTGAGATTTTGTTGCAGCATACCTAATATTTTGCTTGGCCTCGATTATAGGAAAGAGCACCTTGGCATGCGCCTTAAGTCGTGGCCTGCATTCGAGAGGAAAGCTGACCTACATCCTTGACGGCGACAATGTGCGACATGGCCTAAATAGCGACCTTAGTTTTACTGCGAAAGATCGAGAAGAGAATATCCGGAGGATAGGTGAGAAATTTGCTGGTTCATCCTTTGGAATTATTTTTCAGGGAGGTAGTTAGTTGACCAACGGTGAGCTTTGTATCGTCGTGACTTCCAGGGGAGGTGGCTAAGCTCTTCGCAGATGCCCGGATCATATGCGTAGCCTGTTTAATCTCTCCTTACAGAAAGGACCGTGCCACGTGCCGTGCGCTTTTGCCTAAAGGAGGATTCATCGAGGTCACTCGTGACTCTGCGATTCCAATCTTAGCCCTCGTTTTAATTTCTGATATTCTTTTCAACTATATCATCCCCTGTTCCAAAAGAGGATGGATTTCCTGAAAAGCTTATCGTAATTTGCAACAGGTGTTTATGGATGTTCCGCTCCAAATTTGTGAGGCAAGAGACCCTAAGGGCCTTTACAAACTAGCAAGAGCTGGAAAGATCAAAGGTAAAGTTAAGACTTTAGGCTGCATTGCAGCTGTTGGCTGCTTTCTCCTTCATGTTTTGCTTGGTTTGTATGGGGTATCTCGGAATAATACTCCATCAGTCTACTTGCTTAGCCGGAATAACAAGATCCAAAGTTCTGTTTCTACGAACTGCGATTCCGGGTGCTGGCTCTGAGGTTAACCAGATTTAGCTCGTGAAACATTTAACTTTGCAGGTTTTACGGGCATAGATGATCCTTACGAACCCCCGCTGGATTGCGAGGTGCGTTCGTCCCTATCCAACTAGAAAACACCAATAAATATCAAGAATGTTATTCCTTTCAAATAGAACACTTGACCCACAAAATGAACCATCTTAAGGTTAAAAGCTCTCCTTTTGGATCTCAAGGTAGGCCATACAATTATCAGATGCAATTATCTGAAGATGGTTTAAAGCATGTCAATGTGTTGCAGATAGTGCTCCAACAGAAGGGATTGGACTGCAGCTCTCCTCATGACTTGGCTGAGAAAGTCATTCTGTACTTGGAAGAGAAAGGGTACCTAGAGGCCTGAAGCTCTAACCAATAATACATACATTGCAAAGGCAAAACAAATCACTTCCCATTTAAGACAAAAAGAAATGAAAAGGGCACCATTTCTGGGTTAGTGCCCCTGATTATGTATAAACAAAATGTAAGACATAATTGTAATAAGTTTCGATCAAATGAGCAACAAAGTTATTCGTTTTGAGTATGACATAGTTTACAGTAGTCGGATGCATCACATCCATGTCAGTCATTTAAAAGATGTGCGGTCTGCTAATTGGAAAATACTCCTTATAGCTTGGAAGAAAATCAGTTCCTTCAATTTCTGTTTCACTCGAGTGTTTTCAATCAACATTTGTATTTGCCCATGATCGGACAAACCACTCATTCATTTTCATGGTTTAGCTTTTTTGATGCCTTGGGTCTAACATGGTTATGGAATGAGCCATGAATTGAAGCTGCAAAGATTCGAAAGATGACATTTATTTGAAACATAAATGGAAATGTGAGCTTCAAGACAAGCAAATGTTCAGACAGCAGATGGCGCCGATAATCACCAGAACCAAACATGAAGGGAAAGGAAAAATAAACTGGAATGTGCAAAATGATGATACAAGCATTTGTGAGTGGATCAAAGAGTCATGCAACTGTGGAAGCGTCATACTTTATTAATTTGCCCTTGACGCTCAAGTTGCATTTCTTTAGCGATAGAACGTAGCCACCTCTCCCCTCTGATCCTCTTCAGTTCCGCAACCCTTTCTTCCTCCCTTTTCGCAGCTGCTTTTGCCGCCGCGTCTCTCGCTTCTAATCTCGCCAACGACTTCTGGCTTGCAGCTTTTGCTGCACCCATTACATCTAAGCCATCGACAACAACTGATTGGAGTTGCCTCTTGAACTGATAAAAAAAAAGACCCAAGTAGAAGTAAGCAAGTATCAATATAAGGAAAGTAGAAACCAAAGTCCGACCAATAATTTCACCAACCACTCCCCAGCTATGTCATCTGGGATAGCTACCAACCTTTTTTGATTTCTCAATGATCTCTTCTCCGGGTAGAATTCTCGGTTTCTTTTTTGGTCCTAGGGGTTCATCTGCTGACATTACCTAATTTTCAGTACACATACAAGCAGTGACATGGTACTTTGCAGCTTGACAAGCAAATAACACCAGAGTGTGTGATCAAATACCAAAATCAACCAATGCATTGAACATCATGTGAGAAGCAGCTTCATTGAGTTAAGATAGGTACCACCAAAGGTCACAAGGTAAAACAGCATTGCTCTTGTAACAATTATTTGAAGCTGAAAAATCAAGTCTTTGAAAATTAACTAGTCTCATTATTAGTAGCAATATATTGTTAGCATGATGGTAGAAATACATGGTCAGAATAACATTAATCTATCTGCTTGACTATGAGGAGCCAGTTGACAGAACCGCTCTCAGTGATGCATGATGCATCATTGACTGAATTTCAGTCTGTGTTTTACAACCAGAACAGAAGATACCCTCACTAAAAGGGGTTGGACATATATCAAATAGAAGTACTTACCAATTCGATCAAACATGATACCACGGGGTGCAGTTCTAAACAGTTGAATCCCACCTCCATCATCTTCCCTGTCACTATCTTGGATGTTAACTGGATTGCTCACAACTTCCAAGTTTCTCTCTACGATGTCATCCAGAAGCTTTTGTGCCTGTAGAGAAGATTATCTGCATCACAAACTGACAACTCAACAAGTTGAATCACACTTAACTAATGCACTGATTCTTAAAACAATTCATATTAATCAGTACAATGATGAACCCACCAAAATATACAATATATTACATATCCCTATGGAATTACGTCATAAATATCATCCACTATAGTCAATTTCTCAGGATGTTTTTTCTTGTGCTTATCAATGTTCACAGTTAGAAAGTAGCCTGCACCACTTTGGGTTCCTTTGAATTTCCAGAGACTTGGTGGTCAAATAAGTACGATTATTTCAAGATTCTGGTTGGGAGCAGCAAAATCAAAGGAGACTGCAGTGGATGGGATGGAACAAGTCAACCTTGCCACAAGGAGAAGGAGGAATGGGTTTCAAAGATTTGCAAGTCTTTAACAATACTTTGATGTTCAAGCTTGCCTGGAGGATAGAGCTACATGGTTTTAGGTCAAGTTGTTAAAGGGGCTTGTATTTTCCAAATGATTGATCTCTTTTATGCTGGAAAAGGAGGAAGATCATCATTGGGATGGCATAGCATACTAGAAGGAAGAAACTATCTTGATGAAAGGTGGCATGTAGAAGTGGGTAATAGTGAAAGAATATGGTGTATGGAACCATAAGCTGGTTCAAAATGGAGCGTTTACTGTTACATCTGCTAATATTACTTGAAGGAGAAGCCAAAAATGAGCTAAAGGAATCAACAGCAACCAAAGAGTAAAGAAAGCCATATGGAGAACTGACAGTCCAACAAAAGTGAGGACATTTCTAGTGTTATCGTGTGACTAGCACTTATGTGTATAACTTGGGCGCTTGGGATTGAAGATAAACAAAGAAAGAATTACTTCAGTGCCCAGATGAATTAAGGAATCCCTAGATATTTTCTCGTGAGAATTAAGGAATTCCTGATAAGAAGGACATGCAGGGAACAATCGCAAGGCCGAGTTGGCATAACTAGAAGGAAAGACGAAGGAGGAAATGCCAAAGCTAGAAAAAGAATTAAGGAAGTTTCAAGAAACCCAGCTGGAACTTTGCCAGTAAAAGACAAGCAATGCAGACAAATAAAGAAGAAAAGAAAGTAATGAGGAATGGATCCCACCAGCAAGCAATTAAATCAAAGTGATTGTGATCAAGCATTTGATGAATGCACAAAAGTGGTATCACTGGGTCTAATAGCAAGAAATTCCAGAGCTGAATTGATTGCCGGAGCTGGGAAAATTGTGTAGTCCACAAGTTCAGAGATGACAGAGGCACATGCTGTTCTTGAAGGAGTACAACTGGCTAAGGAGCAAGGATGTCACAGAGTCAATGTTAAGACTGATGCAGAAGCTGTACTTGATGACCTGGCAAGGGCTAGGAAAGATACAAACTGAATGACGAAACCGATGTTAATGAGATGGATGGCAGCAAGCTTAGTTTTTTCTGAAAAGAAAGGCAATGAATGCGCTAATTGGGTAGCAATGTATGTTATGAGGAAGAGGTGTCCTAGCAACTGGGTAGTACTACTGCCATATTCCCTTTTAGAACTTCTTCATGCAGATGCAAGAAAGGCAGTACCTCTATAAATTGATATAGTCTGTGTTTACTGAATTCTGGAGAAAGAAAGGGAGTTATCAGCCAAAAATAGAATTCACCGGCACCACATGACAGAAATTTGGGGAGCCATTAACAAGTACTATAGTGTCCCATGTACCTGTCTGTGCCTTTCAGCCACTAACTTAGATAACCACAAACCTTCAATCTGAATGCCATAATTCTGCTAGAGTTCCTATAATTATCCAGTTTCCCACCGGTGTGGAGCAGAGATTCAGGTAGTATCATATCAGTGTCAGTCATTAGTGTCATTTCATGGCGTTGCTTAAGGCATATCTTAAAAATGGCTGATTCAACTGTGCCAAGGAAAGTTTTCAGATAGTATTTATATCAGTTTTGAGGAGCTAGTTCGCTGTGAAACAGCCTTGCCAGTTCCTAAACCAAAATTACTGAACTCAAAGGTAGAACCCCAATTAGTAAGAACTCATAGCCTACTATAACAACGTTATATTTCATGTTTCCATGTAGGACAGTATGATGCAGTAAACGAGGTTCTAAAGACTGGAAGCAGCATCAGGACCAACAGATTGCATCAGCCAGATAACAGAGATAGAAGGTTAAATGGTAAGAAGGGAAGTCAAGAACATTCACAATAACAAGTCAACCTTGAATTATAGCCATAAATTTGCAACTTCACTTGGTACCTTTTTTCAGGTGAATGTTAATTATAAAATCAAGTTCAATTAAATATATCATGAATACCCTTGTTGGACTCAGCTACCTCCACTTTTATTTGAAAAAAAAAAGGTGTAGAGACCACCGAGCATCCTCCTTTAGTCCCAGCGAAATGATCAATCTGAAGCTTCCACTTCATGGTGAACAATTATCAGAACGATAAGGAAGGGCCAGCTAACAGAGTTGACAAGAAAAAACTAATTAATGATACAAGGATCACAGATTCAGAATGCTTTCCAAACACTAATGTTTGTGAATTTAGCAATTATAAAATTCCAATTATGCCAGCATCCTCAAAGTAAGTAAAAGCACAACCATCTTTTTGTAATTTGTATATAAACTTAATTTTTCATCACGTTTATCAGCAACTGATAAATCCCCTAATCTGGAAAATCAAACAAGTGCTAGTCAGACTAAAAAGTTTCTCTTACGTCAACACTTAGTTCCTAATATCCCAGTGTACACTATACCAAGGTTGTATAGCAGTATAAGGGGGAAATAGAGATACAATGAAACACACTGGACCAAGACAAATCTTGCAACAAGTCTCACAAACATCTAAGATTCATGTAGTATAGGGCTAATAAACTCCTGTAGTTGGTTACACTTTGTAGGCAAAGAATTAGCGACTTTTGCTATTGCCGTTTTGGTTGTCAAGTAGATAGATGAATTGAAAAGACTTACAATATAGTCATGTCATGTTCTTGGAGACGAGAGTCATCAGAACCAGAGATTTTTACACGGAACGATGTCAAATTATACTTGCAAAAGAGGGGCCTACATAACCGGAGCTATTTTTGCTGATCAATTTAACTTACTATCACAGGTGTTGCAATTTTTCTCTTTTTCAATCATATGTGTCGCAAATATTTACTCTCTTAACATCACAGTATCAATGACATTCTCCATCGAAAGGAGTCATGTTCTCCACACTCCTTAAATAATAGTACTTAATCATCTCCTGTGTGCAACTGGAAAAACTAAGAAAACAAGAAAATAGTTCCTGCATATACATTAGGTATATTCTGTTGGGCAACCAAGTACCATCTGCTGGAAGTAGAGAAAGTAATCTATTTGAATTTCATCCAATGCAATGAGCTCCACGAGAAAACCAAGAAGAGAGAGAGAGAGAGTTTGATAACCACTTTGGAGCAAGATTATGCTACCAGTTAATCAAAAACTGATGTAATCTACTTGAGGATAACTCCAAGTTTCAACAAGAATGCAACTTATCTCGTACCCTCTCTCTAGTTTCCATTTGGCATTTGCATTCCCAAGTTACCATTTCCTATTAAGATATAATATGAAAAGAAAATATTCATCACAAGCCTAAACTTGTGCTGCACAAAATCAATCTTTGAGATTGGTTTTTTCTTTTTTTATAGAAAAATGCTGCTCAATCAATCAGCAAAAGAAAACTTCAGAAAACATCATTCCCAGCATGAAGCTCTTCAAACTCTTGGTATAGTATCTTGGTTTCTTTAACTCCACTATCTCGAACCTCCGAGTGGCCCAGTTAGTTAAGGCGTTGGAAGATTTTTGGTGCAGGAATTCGTTCGAAACCCACCAACGTATAAACTCCTACACGAGCTAAAGGCACAACTTCATGGCTTTGCAAGATATTTCATAGAGATAGCTAGCGGGGTCTCCATGCCCGTGCCTGAGTTACAAAAGAAAACTCCACTAATCTCCTCCAAAAACCAAGATTCATCAGACAGAAACTGATATCTTCCCATTGTTCCACAAAGAAGACCAAAGTCGCATCGTCAAACCGTAAGAGAACAGCAGAATTCCTCTTCCACGTATCACTCACAATCAAAACTGACCGCCGAAACAGAGGAACACGAGAGGGAGGGCTACGCAGTACATACTTACAAACCTTGATTTGGTAGTGCTTTGGCAACTGGGGTCTGCATTTGGAATCTGGGTCTTCTTCAAGAACCGGTCCGGAGAGCTTACCATTGCTCCGCGAGGACGGCTTCGAGGTATCGCCGGCGAAATTCTTGGTCAAGAAAGGGTCGGCGGAGGCAACGGAATCGATGGCGGCTTTCCACTCGGCGTCTCCATCTTCTTCGCCACTGCTGCTGCTGCTGCTTTTTCTTCTCGCGTGGCCCATCCGAGTGGAGAGTTGCTCCTTCGCCTCGGCCGAAAATGCTTTGCTCGCTTCACTTGCGCACCATTGATGTGCAGGAGAGCTTTTGGGCTGTCGGGAATCACGCGACGCCTATCTAGAGGTGGCCACGGGCCGGTTTTGGCCCGGAACCGGACTGGAACCGGCCCGGTCAAACCCGGGCCCGCGGTTCGGAACCGGAACCGGCCCGTGGCATACGGTCCCGGTTCCGGTTCCAGAAAAATTTGAACCGGCCCGGAACCGCCGGTTCCGGGCCGGTTCTGCGAAAAAAAAAATAAAAAAAAAAAAAAAAAAGCTGCAGGCAGGCTGCAGCACAGCCTGCATTGCAGGCCATGCTGCAGCAGCAGCAGCCTGCAGCAGCCCGTTGCCAGGCAACGGCCAAACCAAACCCAAAAAAAAAAAAAAAAAAAAAAAAATTTATCCGCAGCAGGGCCTGCAGACGTGCAGGCCCTGCTGCGGGCTTGCACCTTGCGGCCCGTTGGGGCAACGGCTACGCCCCAACGGGCGTTTTTATAAAAAAAAAAAAAACACATAACCGTTGCAATTTTGCAACGGTTATGTTTTATTTTTTTTAATTCTAAATTTTCTTCTATTTTTTTCCTATAAATTCTCTCAAATTCTCACAATACACACACAATTCTCTCAAATTCTCTCCAATTCTCTTCTCTCAAGTCTCAAATTTTCTCAATACTCGAAATTCTCTCAAATTCTCTGAAATTCTCTCAATTTTCTCAATCCACGCAATTCTTTCTTAATTCTCCCAATTAATCCGCTCAATTCTCTCAATCCATTCGAAAAATGGCAAGTGGAAGTCGAGTGCCAACTGGCAAAGGTAAGAATATCGCGACGGAATCCCATCATTCTTTTGATCCTCGTGAATATGCATATTTTCAAGATGATGAAATCAACATTTTTCGCGATGTGGAGCGCGTCCCGACGTAAGAAAGTTTTCATCCTCCTGCTGAAATATCTACAACAAAGGAAGCGGAACGAGAATTTACGTCTGACATTTGGAATCACTTCACGAAAATGGAAAGGTTTGATATCGGTCAAAAAAGGTATGATATAAATATTGTGGAAAAATATATAAATATACAGGTGGACAAGGATATGGAACATTTAAACGACATCTTATGAGCAAACATCCAACCGAAACGGGAATCGATATCGGGCAACAACAAATTTTCGGGTACGTCAATCCTAACACTTCCCCTTTATTTTGTTTTAATGAAAAAACTTATAAGAAAGAATTAGGCAAATTTATTTCCGTTGAGCATTTAGCATTTAATTTTGGAGAAAGATTTGGTTTTAATGAATTTGTACAAAAAGCATGTGCTCCACAAGCAAAACGTGTTCCTAGAAATTCAATTAAACGAGTAATTAAAGATCTTTACAAAAATGGAAAAAATGATTTACAAAACTTTTTTATGCAATTTAATGGATGCGTGCATATAGGTAGTGATATTTGGAGTGATTATTGGCAAAATCATTCTTACATGGCCATAACATGTCATTGGATAGATGACGAGTGGACTATTCAAAAAAGAGTTATTGCATTTAGAGTTTTCGATGATCATCATATGGCAAATAATATTTATAGAATAATTAGGCAAGTTTTAGAAGAATATTATTTGCTTAACAAAATTTTTTCAATTGGTTTTGATAATGCCGCAGCAAATACCGCTTCAATTGCCGAGTTAGAAAATATTTGTAAACCCGCTTTTGGCGGAAAATTTTTTCACATTAGATGTGCTTGTCATGTTTTAAATTTATGTGTACAAGATGGTTTGAAAACTCTTGATATTTTTCTTCAACCAATAAAAACGGCGATTCAATTTTTATGGAAACATCCCAAAAAAATGAAAGAATGGGGTAAATTTTGTAGAGATAATGGCAAAAAGCCAAAAAGATTTCCAAGAGATGTTCCAACTCGTTGGAATTCTACTTTCCACTTGCTTAATGAATCTTTAGCATATAAAGATTTATTATGTGCATTCATTTCTAATAATATACCTCAGATTAATTTATACCCACAAGAGTGGCATATTTGCCAAAAAAATTTAGATCTTTTAAAGGTTTTTAATGATGCAACTTATACTTTATCTGGTGTTTATTATCCTACTACACATTTATTTTTAGTAGAGTGTACTAATATTGTCGGAACTTTTGATGAATATGAAAATGATGTTGAATTACAACATACTATAGTTGCAATGAAAATGAAATGGCTTCATTATTATAGTGAAATTCCCATGATTTATTTAGTTGCTTGTGTTTTTTATCCGCGTTGCAAATTGGATGGCTTAAATGATTTTTTGCGTGCGTATTATCAATGTTTACATTATGATGTGACAAATGTTACAACCATAGTACGTGAGGTTAAAAACGTAGTAATAGAATTATATAATGAATTTTATACTAAATATAATTTAGGTGATATTAGATCTTCTCAATCTACGGAGATACAAAATGACAATACAGGTAAAATTAGTAGAAGGTACCAACTTTTATTACATAAACAAAAAAAACAAAAGGGAGTAATAGGAAATATTTCTGAATGAGAGAGTTATCTAACCATTTTATTTGAGTTTACTGAAGCCGAAGGTGATACATATTTTTTTATTTTGGATTGGTGGAAGAGGCACGCAAGCCAATACCCAATCCTTTCTCTTATTGCAAAACAGATTTTTTCAACCCCTTGTTCCACAGTTGCGGTCGAACAAGCATTCAGTGCCGGAGGTAATATTTTGAACGAACATCGTTCAAGATTAGATCCAAAATCAGTGGAGATGCAAGCTTGTGTTGCTGATTGGACGAAGGCTCAATACCGGCAACAAGAGATAGATCGGAATAATGAATCCGAATTCTTTAACGACGGAGATACTACCGCTACCGGTACTGGAACGGGTAGTGACGATTGAGGGTAAAAGAACTATTGGAGTTGGCAAATATTTCGGGAACTCTTGTTTCTCATACCGGGTACGCCACGTGAGCTTAGGGAAACCGAAATATAATCCGACGATATGTGACCTCTGGTCCCCTGCGCACGGAATGCTTAGGTTTTGGGATAATTTTAGGGTATATATATTGTACTCCTTTTTTTTTAAGATCGTTGTAACAAATTGTAATGTGCTTAATGATAATTTATTAACTTGAAGCCCTCTCTTTCTCTCTTGTCTTTTTGTCCCCAAATTTGAGTACAATTTATATTTTAATCACAATTTATATTGAATAATGTTCTATCATAAGAATAGTATTTTTTTTATTTTTTTTTATTTTCATTTCTGTTTTTCCTTTTCTGTTTTTCTTCTTTTTCTTTTCCTTTTCCTTTTTTGTTTTTCCTTTTTCTCTTTTGTCTTTTTTCCTTGTTTCTGTTTTTTAAAATTATAATTTATATTTTAATTTTTTTTCTTCCTCCGCGGTCGGCCATGGCCGGGGCCGACGCGGAGGTCGCCGGCGTCAGGCGAGGGGGCCCTCGCCGGCGAGGCTCGGCCTCGCCTGCAACTGGCGTGGTGAGGCTCGACCTCACCAGCGTCGGGCGAGGCCGGCCTCGCCCAGCCCAGGCGAGGGCCGGCCTCGCCCGACGCGGGCGAGGTCGAGCCTCGCCTGAGGCCGGCGACCTCCGCGCCGGCCCCGGCTATGGCCGGCTGCGGAGGAAGAAAAAAAAAAGAAAAGAAAAAAAACAGAAAAAAAAAAATCGAAACCGGCCCGGAACCGGTCGGTTCCGGTTCACACTTGGCCACGGACCGGTCGGTTCCGAACCATGGCCACCTCTACGCCTATCGAATCTCTGGTGTGCTCATATGCATGGAAGTTCTAGACATGGCCACGGGCCGATTTTGGCCCGGAACCGGCGCGGGTCAAATCCGGGACCGGCCTGTTGACTGGGCCTGCGGTTCGGAACCGGAACCGGCCCGTGGCTACAGGCCCGGTTCCCCCGGTTCAGGGCCCGGTTCCAAAAAAAAAAACTGTTGCAGACCTAAAAGAAGAACCTCCTCCTCCTCCGCCGAAACAGTCGCTTCTTCTTCTTCTTCTGCTCGCAGTTGCAGCTCCACACCAGTCACCGAAGCCCCGCTCGCCAAAGCCGAGCACTCCCATGTTGCCGCCGCAGCCGCGAGATTGAACGCCTTCTAGAGTCCGTCGATGGCGAATCCGAGGAGGCCTTCGTACTTCGCGGCGGCCGGCCCGGCCATCAGCCTGGAGAGTGGGCGGGGCGGCGCCGCCGCACAGGCCTCGAGGCCCCCACATTCCCACCTCCACCCACGCCCACTTCCTCCAATCCTCCTCCAAATCCCTCCTTCCCCCCTCTCCCCTGCACCTCCTCCGGTCCTCCCCTTTTCTCCTCCGCCTGCCCCCCCGTCTTCCCAGATCTGACCCTCGCCGCCGTCGCCCCCGCCCATGGCCGCAGCCGCCGACACCGACGCCGACGCCCCCTCCTCCTCCCCCCTCGCTACCCTGCCCCTCCTCCCCCCTCGAACCTGAACCGGCCGGAACCGGAACCGACCCGGAACCGCCTGTTCATACATGGCCATGAACCGGAACTGCCGGTTCTGAACCAGAACCGACGGTTCCTGAACCGTGGCCATGTCTGCATGGAACTGATATGAGTCCTAAAAAAAAACACTAGTTTTCATGTAGACATATATTAATTCAAAGATTGAGTTTTGTTTTTGAAAGATTATGTCGAAAAAGTTACACATATTATTTACTTCTTTTAATTGGGTGACCTTTTTCACGTTGATCAATGGAAGATATTGAGAAAAGTTAGGGAAATATCATAACGTATCTCGAGAATGATTTACATTCATAAAAAACTCTAAACTTGTACATTTAAGATAAATTTACTTCAAACAATTTTTTTTTACCATAAAAAATCTCAAATTGATATACCTATGATAAATTTACCCTTCAATAATTTCCGTTAAATTTTACAGTCAAATTACTATATTTGATGATACGTGGCAGTCGACGGTATACCAGTTTAGGGTTTTACGATCTCATAATATTAATTTAATTTAACAGAAATTATTAGAGAATAAATTTATCACAAGAGTCTCAATTTAAAATTTTAGGTAAATTTATTACAAACGTACTAATTTAAATTTTCCATAATATTAACCTCAAAACAAATAGAAGGAGAGGGCTTACACCCATTCTCGCCTCAAAATTCTTGAGCCCCAACTCTAGCCCGACGGCCCACCAGAGCCCGATACCGACCCGACCCGACCCGATACGCTCGAGCGGGGCCTTCCTCGGCGGAGCGTAAAGGCCGCCGATGGCGAGCCGGCGACGACGGAACTCCAAAACGTCCAAGGTTTGAACCAGCTCGTCCTCCTATAAAATCCCCCCCGTTCTCCCGCTGCGGTTCCGGCGATTGCAGACCGCCGCCGCCGCCGCCTCCGCCGCCGACTCGATTCTTCGCAGAGCTCTCGATCGGAACCCTAATCGGCGCAAGATCGGCGGGGGTGTGGTCTCGCGCTCGGAGGTCGGGGAGAGATGGGGAAGAAGCAGCACAGCAAGGACCGGATGTTCATAACGAAGACGGAGTGGGCCACCGAGTGGGGCGGCGCCAAGTCCAAGGAAACCCACGCTCCCTTCAAGCGCCTCCCCTTCTACTGCTGCGCGTACGCTCTTCGTCCCTGCTTCGCTACTTTTTTGCATTGGGAATTGCGCTGCGTTTCGAAGGTTTTGCGAGCGAAAAGCGTATGGAACCGTGTGTTGTTTCGGTGCAGGCTCACGTTCACTCCGTTCGAGAACCCGGCGTGCACCGCCGACGGGAGCGTCTTCGATATCATGTGAGTCCGATTGGTCCCCGCTCGCTCGTGTTTGTGTGTTTTGGTCTCTGATAGAGAGACGTATGGTTGGGGTGATTTCGTTGCAGGCACATCATTCCTTATATCAGAAAGTATGGGAAGCATCCGGTCACCGGAGCTGCGCTCAGGCCCGAGGATTTGATTCCTCTCACTTTTCATAAGAATCCTGAAGGTGAGTTTCTGGTCGGTGTAGCCTTATAAAGTGGTAACCATAGCCTTTCGGCATCTGAGCGATATCTTGCGGTTCGAAACATTGGTGAGGTTGAATTTCGGCTTGGATTAGGTTGGCTTAAGTCGAGAGAGAGAGAGAAAAAAAAATAGAGTTGGGAAATTGAGAGGGTAAAGGACAGATTTGCCTATGGTTCAAAATGTCCACAGATACTGTTTTGGCCTTAAGTTGAGTTGCACTGGCTGAACAGGACAGAATGTTGCCCAATTACAATCGCTGCGCGTCTGAATTAAGTGAGAATATTGGCTGAGAAGTTGCTTCATACCTAGATAGGCTGAAGCCATGCTTTGCTTTCATGTACACTATCCTTTGAGGTCAAGGGCTAGCATCATGCTTGTGGGTGGCACTGTAGACATAAGAATCAATCTGTGTAGGATTTTTGTGAATCCTTTGCGACTTTCTATTTCAGCTAGAATTCCCGATTTTCTCGGCATCTGGGATGATTAATTGGACTTGGAACGATTATGGTAGTTTGGCTTGTCTGGATCCATTCTCAAATACGTCAATTTGTTGCTGATGGTTCCGTCTTTTAAATTTTCCCATTTTGATTTGCCTTCTCTCTATAGTTGCGCATATTTGTGATTTCCTCTTCTAGTTTGTGCATATGGATGTGAGGTTTCTCGAAAGAAGTACAGATTAAAGGGTTCTTTTGGTAATGCACTCTGAGAGTATGCACTTTGAGGGTCCTTTTGTGATGATATGGCTGTTGACAAGACCATGTTACTGTTACCACAAGAAACTAAAATATATAATGAAATAAAGTGATCAGTACGATTGCATGGGTTGTAGTGATACATTAAAACATCATTTAGTGTTGCAAAACAGTAGAATGTAAGATCAAAGCAATTTTGGAGATTTATCTAGTATGCCAATGAGGTTTAGTTTAGTCGAGCTTTCTTTGTCACAAGCAAATTGTGCTAAGGACAGTAAATGTCAAGTCTTCTGAAAGTTATAGCAGTAATATTTTTGATATTGTATGTCTAGGTAGATGTTGTCATTTTCTTGTTTTCGTGGTTGTTATTATATAAATTGGTCTGCGTTTTTGGAACTAATTAACTAATTGTCTTCTTCATCCTCTCAATTTTATGCAGGCGAGTTTCAGTGCCCCGTCCTGAACAAAGTTTTTACTGAATTCACCCATATTGTTGCTGTTAAGACTACAGGAAATGTCTTTTGTTATGAGGTCCGGTTTCTCTTTTTTTCCTCCCTGATATGTCTATATCCATTATTTTGTTGTGGAGTCCTTATTCTGGATGTATTCATTCCTGCTGTTCCTTTCTGTAGGCAATCAAGGAATTAAACATCAAGACGAAGAACTGGAAAGAATTGCTGACTGATGAACCATTCACACGGGAGGATCTCATTACTCTTCAGGTAGCTAAATGAGATAGATTTGCTGGAAAAACCTTGAGAGATTCTTGTTTCTATTGATGGACTTACTGGCCCTCCAATTTTCTTTTGTTTTACTGTAGTTTTTATATGTTTATCTCTGTTGCTTTTTCCCGCAGAACCCAAGCGCACTTGACAGCAAGGTACTCCTGGACTTCGATCATGTGAAAAATAGTTTGAAAATTGATGACGAAGGTTGGTTATAGGATTTCCTTATCTTCTAAAATTTAGTAAAGATAGAATGTGCTGCTAACTTTTATATTATTACTTTTCAGAAATAAAGAAAATGAGTTCAGATCCAACCTATAACATAAATGTGACCGGTGACATCAAACAAATGCTTAAGGAGCTTGGCACTGAGAAAGGAAGGCAAACTGCCCTGCTTGGTGGGGGTGGCAGCAAGGCGCAAAATGAAAGGGCTACCGCACTTGCTGCCATTTTAGCAGCAAGGTCACGAATAAAGGAGGACGCAGAATCCAATTCAAATGGTGAAGTTAAAGCCCCACAGGCATTCAGTATTGTTGATGCGGCTTCTGCTGCCGTACACGGGAGAAGTGCTTCTGCAGCAAAAGCCTCATCAAGTGATAAAACTGCTTCTCGGATAGCTATGCACATGGCTGGTGAGAGGGATGCTGTCAATGCAAAGATGGTTAGTAATTTCTATCTGCTGATCTCATTACTAAATGTAACAAGCTGTAAACCAAAGTTTCAGGTTTTAATATGATTTATAGACAGAAGATGTGGCCTGTGCTAAAGTTTTGCGCATGTTAAGATGCACTGATACATCTGACTGAAGTCATTGATATTGAAATTAGTTTCAGATGGAAATCCATATCAAAGCCAAATTTATTCTGAATCTATGATTCTAGGCTACATTAAATCAACATTCAGCTTACTGGAAACCAAAATAATGTACCACAATCAAATAAAAATACATTGAAACAGATGGCAAATCAATAGAATAAAAGGGAAAAGAAAACTGAATCTTAACTTATAATAGTCAGCAAAGTCAGTGAGGATTTATCAGTATGTCTGGAAAAGCATGGAGGAAGGTGATATCGAGTCCAATAAACTCTAGGATGAGTTTTATAGACCATGAAAAGCTAGGGAGCTAGAATAAGGGAACATATTGTCATCTTATTCATTAAAACCTATGCATTAAAATATATTTGGAAGTGGGCTCTAAAAATTTAAGGTCACTAAACATTAAAAATAAATTTGGGAAAAGATGAATAGGGCGATGATCAATAGAATGGCATGAAGAGACGTTAATAGTAACCAATGAAGTGAAGGAAATAAGCAAGTGGGTGCAATGTAAACCATGAACTATTCTGAAACTTGTTCACCTCAGATAGAGAAACAAAGAGTGAGTTTGATTGTCGGTGGAAGAAGGGAGTCGAGAAACTTAAACGATAATGGGAAAAAACTGAAATATTTTTCCAGCTTTTGGTAGCTTCTTTATGTTTTCTTTCCCTTGGTAATATTTGATACTATGAAGAGATCCATGGGTTGTTTTCTTTTACTGCTGTCAAGAACTTTCAATTGTAAGTTCGATCTTATGAAAGGTAATAGCTACCAAACAATGTATACGATTAGGTTCCAAACAACATACTTTCTCTTCTATCTTTCTTGGTAATTGGTTGGCATGGTTGCACTGTTCTTGTCTTTCCCGACTTCTGTGGTCAAGCACCATAAGAGAATCAACTTAATAACTTCTAATCAGTAAAGTCCTGGATTTTAGATCATGTGAGATTCAGTTTAACCATGTCTCTGTTGGAAGGATTTGAAAGTTGCACATAGTGACTCATCATTTTCAGGCGTCGTGATTTTTGCTGTTCATAGACCTTGCAGCCCGCTTGGCCCATTCCATCTTGAAGTGAAAATAGATGGACTTCTTAAAGTGTTCCACGTTGAAAAACCCATCTGGCCTGAGTTAGCTAGTATGGTCTGAAAATGGATATTCATAAAGAGTATGCAGGTTTTAGTACCAAAGTTGGTATACATATTGAGCCTGCTCCACGCACCCTGCCCTATCCCAGCCCACCATTTGTGCAGTTCTAATCATAACATTTAAGGGATCATTTTTACCTGAGAAGGTTCAAGAGATGGATATTTGGGAGGTCAATTTTCCATAGATAATTGCATGTGAAGTTACATCAACCTTCTTTCTGCATCCAATTTTGACATTCCCCATTAGTTGGTGACTGTGAGTACGAAGAAGGTCATCTCCATATGTTTTTCTTCGGAAATAAAAAACCCGGTTGGTTAACATACATTGTTAAATTATTTGCAAAGAAGTCCTTTGCTTTAATCTCTCGCTGCAACTCCTACTTCCACTCCTTCCTCATCCATGTGTCCATGACTAGGTTACTTCATAGAGAATAAATTTCCAATTATATCTGGTCAAACTTGTTCTTGGAGTTGAAACCGCAGTGCTCGAATTGATATAATCTTCATTGGGGTTTGTCTAGTTTGCCAAGGATAGGCAAGGTTCTCTTTTGAGATGAACTGGTTAGAGAGTTGTAAAACAAATAAGAAAGGGTTATTGATGCGAAGATTGCTGGAGCCAGTCTGTTTAATTTTTTAGGACCGAGTTTAAGCAAGTTCTGAATGAGGTTTCTTTTCAGGTGAAGAGCCGCTATACCACTGGTGCTGCATCACGATCCTTCACTTCAACTTCATATGATCCTGTTACCAAAAATGAATATGAGTACATTAAGGTTGAGAAGAATCCAAAGAAGAAGGGATATGTTCAGCTGCACACAACCCATGGGGATTTGAATATAGAGCTGCACTGTGATATCGCTCCCAGAACATGCGAGAACTTCATCACACTTTGTGAAAGAGGCTATTACAATGGAGTAGCTTTTCACAGGAATATAAGGTAACTGCAACAATATTTCGGGTTCACAATTAATTTCTCTCAGTTCACTGTGCTCCAGAGATCCAGAATTTGATGTTTTTTTACTTTTGTTTCAGAAATTTTATGATTCAAGGTGGTGATCCTACTGGTACCGGGAGAGGAGGTGAATCAATATGGGGAAAGCCTTTCAAAGACGAGTTGAACTCCAAGTTAGTTCATTCTGGAAGGGGTGTAGTTAGTATGGCTAACAGTGGTCCACACACAAATGGTTCACAGTTCTTTATTTTGTACAAATCTGCGAATCATTTGAACTTCAAACATACTGTTTTTGGTGGAGTAGTTGGCGGCTTGACTACATTGGCGGCTATGGAAAAGGTTCCAGTTGATGACAATGATCTGCCCCTGGTGAGTCATTCTATTCAGCAGTAGTCATCTTTTACTGATGTTGTTACTTTACGCAGTTGCATTCTAATGTTATATCAGTTTACACACATGCACAAACACCTTGCACTTGCACTCAGAGTGAAGAACGTGCTCGAAAACAGGAGATCACCCTTTGAGGGAGAAATAGGACTCTTCAACATGTGTTGTTCATTCTTTTTTCGGGAAATTACATTTTTGGTCCCTATAGTTTGGGGGGATTTTGCTTTTGGTCCTTATACTTTGTTCGGTTATAATTTTAGTCCTTGTGCTATTCTCTGGCAACAATGCAAGTCCTTCCGTCAAAATTTCTGTTTAAAATTCACCGGGAATTGCTGAGTCAGCTCCGAATATTTACACATGGCACCTAAGCGTGCAAGCACAAATTACACTTTTCGTCCCCATAGTTTTAGGAACAATAAATTTGAGTCCTTGTACTTTGTTCTAGTGATAAAACTAGGCCCTGTATTATTTCTTTCAACGAAATATTAATAACTTTCATCACATTTTTATTCAAAATCTTTTGAAATTGTCAAATTCAAACTTAATTTGTAATTCCTTTGTTCACAAAATTGTATTCATCAATGACATCCTTATTTTTAGTTGAGATATATAGAACTGTTGAGGACTACTTCTACAAAAACATAAATAACTTTTAAATATTCTAATCACAACTTTAACTCACTATATAATAGGCTAAATACGCTAGACAACTTATGGGAATCCTTCCGATTCAATCTCAACCCTTGAATATTAAATAGATTTGAGAAAGTCTCTTCAACAGTTACTAATAGAACCACCAATATTAACCGTGGAGACTCAAAAACATGATATCATGTATGTAAATAATAGCAAATCTCATAAAATTTATATTTAGAATTAAAATGTAAAAAATCTTACTTAAAATCTCATCAAGTAATGGTACGAGAACTGGAGTTGTTGCAAACACAAAATACTCGTGTGTCAGGTGTCGGTGCCGACTCAACAATTTCCGACATAGTTTGAATGGAAATTTGATGGAAGGACTTGTGTCGCCGGAGAATAGTACAAGGGCTACAATTATAACCGAACAAATTACAAGGACCTATAAAAAATTCCCCCCAAACTACAGGGACCAAAATTGCAATTTCCTCTTTTCTTTTCACTTGTTAAAATTCCTTTGAGATTTGAAAGACACATGCACATACACCCTGCGCCAGTATGCACACTGAAAAATGTGCTCCCAAGCTATATGTCATCCTTTCGGGGAGAAATAGGACTCTTCACTGTTTGGATGTTCAGTCTTTATACCAGTTTGCTGTCACCTATTGAAATTCCTTTGAGATTTGAAAGATAATGAAAACAGATGATCCTTTCCCATACTGTACTGGTCTGATTTGGCAACTCATACCCAAAGGAACTGACAAACTTATAACAGTGAATACAAACATACTGCTACCAGGAATAGATCTATTATTGTGGTCTTTTGTCATTTGTGCAGGAAGAGATCAAGATAACAGGGGTGACGGTATTTGTCAATCCTTATACTGAACCTGATGAAGAAGAGGAGAAAGAGAAGACTGAAAACGACAAAGAGGATGAAGAAAATGTTAGTAATTAATATTTTGTTTTGTTTTACTTCAAGAGCATTTCTTGTGGATAATATCTATGCGGTCTGAAAGACTCATGCTGTGTTGATATCTCTGTAGGACAAGGTGGGGTCATGGTATAGCAATCCAGTACCTGTAGGGGGTGGCCAGGTAGGGAAATATTTGAAAGCGAAGAGTGCTCCAGCTGGAACAGCTGTCGCCGACGGTGGGATGGCAGAAAATGGTGTAGTGAAGAAGAGGAAAGTAGGAGCCTCAACAGAATACGGTAACTTTTCTTCTTGGTGAAGAGTTTTCTGTATGGTTATTTAGAGTGTTTCCATTTTGTACCCTTTGAGCAGATGATGCATCTTTTCTTTTCTTTTTTCCCGGTCCCTGCTAATATTGGCAATGGCAATTATTCACTTGTATATTGTTCTTCAGTGAGATGTACTGCAGTCATTAGGGCCCCTTCCATAAAACGCTTTCCTCTCCAAAATTTCATCTGATCCCAGGAAGAATTCATAATTGGGAAGTAAACTGCTGTAATCTATTTAATGGAGGCAGCTGTGCAATACTTGATTCGCAAGATTTCGCTGTGAAATCCGAATTACCATCAGTATGTTTGCGTGTTTGTGGAGTTTGATGGGCTGTCGAGGGGGATGCCTGAATTTATACTTTGCATTCTGGCTAATCAAATCACAGTGTGAATTAGACTAGTCAGCACAGAAGCAGCAGCAGCTTGGGACTTGATTACCATGATATTGTCATGATTTCTGGATTACCATCTGTGTCCGTGCGCGTCTGTGGAGTTTTTTTTTTTTTTTTGATCGGTCCTACTCTATTTCTCACTCACGATACACATTCAAACTTGCGCCCCACCTCTTGCAGGGCGTGGGCGTCGAAACACACATCTTAAACTACGCGGCCCCATCCCTACCCCCTGCAAAGGTGGGGATTCGAACTCCCCACCTCCCCCTTCTCAAGTGAGAAGGGTGGCCACTGGGGTAAACCCCCAGTGGTCGTCTGTGGAGTTTGATGGGGCGGTTTTACGGGATTCGAGAATTTTACTTGCATTTGGCTACTCAAATCGCTGTGAATCAGGGTCTATCGCGATTTCTTTACTTGTCTTTGGTCTCTGGAGATTTCCCTCTTATGTATCCCTCTTTTTTTAGCTTTAGGCAATCTCTGAAAAAGGTTAAAAAAGCTAATTCAAAGCGATAAAAAGATTTGTCGAATAAAGGATTTTGCATCAACGTGAATGTGTAGGTCTGAGTTCATTGATTTTCTGGAGTCAGAGACAGGCACTCAAAAGAACACCCATCATATAAAAATCTCTGAAAGCCAGGAGACAACCTTTTTCTTTTGGGCACTTTGATGCGGAGCTGATTTGATGCTCGTTTCCTTTTCAGGTGTCAGGTTTTTTTTATCCTAAATAAAGGTACTTTTATTTACTTTATCATACCATTGCATCTTTGAGGATACAAATCATAGGGCCAATTCAAAAAAAAAAAAATACAAACTTAGGTCGAGTAATAATTTTGGCTTTAATTTTTTTTGTTTCATAAAAATTACCAACTTTCACCCTTATTTCAAATTTGGTCTCCCGTTGATTTTCTTTATGAAGTCATCCTTATTTGAGAAAAAAGGTTATGGTCGTGAGCACGGCGTATCTCGTCCATGGCGTATGTCGACAGGTGGTGATCTACAACTTCAGATTACGAGTCTGGCCAAAGAGATATCAATATGGAGATTTTTTCGACTTGTCGGTGAATTGAAGGAGATGATAAACAGCTTCGCCATTATCTTTCAAGCTGTGACTCAGACAAGAAGATATTGAATAGTGTTTTAAATCCAGTTAGCAAGTCACGTGGATTTATTGCTGAGGTGAATTAGTTAAGTTGGACAATCAATGATTCTAACTTAAGGAAGGCCAGATTTGAGATTTTTTACGAGACAAAAAAAGTTGAGGCCGGAATTATTATTTGATCTAAAGTTGATGCTTTTTTTTTGGAATTAGGCCCAAAATCAAAGCGACATGAATGGTTGGTTTTGCAAGTTCTGCCTATTTATGCAAAAGGGTTAATGACATCGTAGGTAATTGAACTTTTATTCAATTTTCCAATTAAGTACTCAAGACTCTTTTTTAAATTCAGTACCTCGACTTTTTCAAAAGTAGCTAAATGAGAGGTTTTCGTCAAATGGAGTGTTGGGTCACACAATTTTCTCTAAAATGGATTGTCTATCATATAACTATGATATCATGGACGGATGCTCATTTAGTTTCTCCATCTTAGCGTGTATAATCTTTTCCCTTTTCTTTTTCTTGGTTCATGACCTGCAATTTCGATAGCCCACGATCCGCAACTTCCATCATCGCCTCCCGCAAGTCCGTCGATCGTCGCCCTTCCCTTAGCCGAACCACTGGCATGTCTGTAATTGACCTCCACGATGACCGGATGGCGCGACATCAAGCTTGACCAAATATGCGCCCATATATGGCGTATTGTCGAGCTCGATCAAATCTGGTGCCTCCCCAGAATGGTGGGAACATCCCTTCTGTGACCGCAAAGCACTACATTGTGGCCAAGATCTCGGTGGTCGAGAGGTTGAGCTTGAAGCAACTGAAGGTGGATCATCATGGTATGGGGAAAATTGTCCAAAAAATCCTAAACCTATTGCATTTTTACCAATTTGGTCCTAAACCTTTTAAGTTTGCCAATTGAGTCATAAACATTTTCACTTCTTGCCAATTGAGTCCATCCGGCCAATTTTGGCCACCCGGAGCTGACGTGGCACGCTGACGTGGCTATTTTTTATAATATTTTTTCGATTTTTTTTATTTTTTTATTTTTTTATGGTCTTCTTCCCTCTGACCGGCCAGAGGCAAGAGGCTGGCGAGGTTTCTGGCAAAGCTCGCCCCCGCTGGCCACTGGCAAGGGCGAGCCTCGTCGGCCCCTGGCTGGGCGAGGTCGAACCTCACCTAGCAACGGTGAGGCCGACCTCGCCCAGCAACGGCAAGGTCGGCTTCTCACCTCTGGCCGGTCCGAGGAAGAAGACTAGAAAAAAAATTGAAAAAAATATTAAAATATTGTTAAAAAAAATTGCCATGTCAGCATTTGCCGGACGGACAGCGTCCACGTCAACTCCGGGCTGTCAAAATTGGCTGGATGGACTCAATTGGCAAGAAGTGAAAAGGTTTGTGACTCAATTGGCAAACTTAAAAGGTTTTGAACAATTTTCCCTCATGGTATGTGGAAGAGACACACTCAATACAGGAGTTGTGGTGCTCAAGGGTCATCTCCATTGTGATGGTGCTCATCACGTCGAGCTCCATCGCAGCGGTGATCAATGGTCCCGGAGGGGGCTTGTAGCGACAAACATTGGGATTTGATAAGATCATCGAGTCTGGCTAGACCACGTAGTAGATCACGCCACATATAGAGTGGGCGATACTTCACTTACCCATAAATAAAGACCTAACTCTATATCAATTTGATTTGATTCAAATTGGTCCTTATAGCCAGTTTCATGCTTTGGAATCCTCGGAGAAATGTTGTGGAGAAATCAGATGGGGTTTGCCATCGTGGCTAAGTAAAGAAAGTGTCAAACAAGTTTGCTGAGACAACTTTGTCCATTTTTGGCAATTTTCATTAATTATCTCTGGGCGAACTTTTGATTTAAGAATAGAGCTCTCAAATCTCTTCTGACCATCTGACCAAAAAAAAAAATCTCTTGTGACCTTAAATGCTCCAACGTGCTATATTTGTCCCAAAGTGGGAGTTGAGGGTTAGCCAGGGAATCAAATCGCTCCCAAAGATTGTCTTTACTTGTTATGCTTATTTTAAAGAAAAATCTTGCGATGCTAATTGTAAATCTCCAAGAGAATGTTGATGTAATCATTAGAAAGAGTGCATTAAGCGTAGAGTAAAGTGTGTATTTGTAGAGTGAGCTATAGTCTGTCGTGGACAGATAACTTTATATGTAAACGTTGTTAAAGACTTCAAAGATTGCACTACTGGATTTCAATCTTTTTATTGGACTGTTAAAACTGGGAGAGTGGAGTAAGCGAGTAGAAAGGCCAAACCATTGTTTCGCACGAAAGAATTTTAAAAGTCCTATGACAACCAATTCGCCCTATTCTCCATTGTTAAGTTCAGTCCATTTCGAATAACTTTGTAAAAAGCTAAACCAACCCTTAGAAAGGTTCAAATAGCATTCCAAAGGGCTATTTGAGCCTTTCGAAGGGGCTAAAATGGTCTATTGAAGAACTCCCTGACAGCAACCATGTAAACTTTACTGTCTCTTGTCTGTTCATGTCAAAATGAATAGAGTTGCCTCTATCCGTAGAGAGGATAAGAGGAGCTTTGATTGTCGTGATCGCTCTTCACAGGACAAATTGAAATTATCTATCCACAATTTGAATTTTGACCAATATTCACGTTGATATAAACCGATATACAATCCATTTTGAATATAATCTGGATAAATGTTTATTTCATTAGCTCATCCAATTGATCAATATCTTGTTGCAAATATGATCTTGGAAGATTACGAATCCAAATCGTAGTTTCATTGAATAATAATAACAATAATTGGACATGCAATTCATGTGTGTGTGTGAGTATATAATTATGATGAATGTTTATATATTATGTGCATGTGACCATTAGGGAAAACCAAAACAAATTGAAAGCCAAACACGAAAGCCCATATAATGATCATTTAAGGTCATTTCTCTTTTCGTCACGACTTTTCAATTTCCTCCTTTTTATATATAGAAAAAGTTAGTCAGAATCTGGTAAGGGATGATTATCTTCTTCATCCAGGCCTGTGACTACCTAATTTGAGGCATAAGACTTATAGTTACTTGATTTTTCTTAGCGTAAGTGAACCTCATCAAAATTTTAATTTTGATTGAAGGGTACAATTGGGTTCATGCTTTTGAGATGACACCCCATTTGACCAAATCGGAAGGTTGGATTGTTAGATATCGCGATCTAAAACCGCGACCGTCTAATCTCTATAGGGTCAAGAAATTTATGATTTTCGCTCATCAGGGATGGGATCCCGCAGATCTAGTCATGAGCTTTCTAATGCCTCGAGAATTACTTCGATCGAAATTTTCTTGAAGGCGGTATTGTAATTTTTTATCTTGACCATCCATGTGCCACGATCTGCCCCAACCCTTTTAGAAAGTCGAACCACATTTCGAGAAATCATAACAACATTTGGTCTATCTTTCATGTAAATTCATTACTGGGTTATGTAACCTGGCAAAAATAACCCAAAAGTTTAATTAGTGTAACAAGTAGAGGTTTTCAATGATTTGGTTAGTGCAGAAAAACACTCCTCAGCTGATGAGAGCCCCTCAAAACCATGTCATGTTACTGTCAATTTTCACTTTCCTCTCCTCAAGCGGCTACTTCAATAATCTTTTGTTCTATTGCCAGAATTTAAAGAACAATCGTAGCTAAACTCCATCATTCACATAATGATTACGTGGTTTATATCAGTCTCCAACAGCTTTATGACAGATTGGTGAACAACTCTTAATCATCAACCTGGGGAGGGCCTTTTAAACATCACCATCAACAGGAAAAGCTACTGAATTTAACCAAAACACTCAGATGCATTAAAAAAATGATGACCCAAACATAAAAAAGTTTCAGAAAGTAAATTCAGCCACGTCATGCCACGTCAGCGTGTCTTACATTGACCATGACATCTATGGCATTTTTATGGGGGCAGATGGCTTTGGCGGCAAGTCACATGCGGACAAGCCTTAGTGGTAAAATGGTCCCTCCTGTGCAAGATTGATGTAGCTGTTGGTCATTAAAGACTAAGCTGTTTGATTAACATCTTAATTAGATTATGAAGTCTCTATCGGGCCTCATCAGTCCATGAATAAGAAAAGCATGATAAGGATTTGAACAGTGACATTTCATCTAAAATTTGCAAAATAATCGCCAAAAATGAAGCTTAGTCGAGTGCGGGTGGGTCTCACCGAGAATATCCGTAAAGGCATCCGTCCGTTTAATCTGCCGGATTTCCCTTTTCCTATAGGTGTCTTAATCAACTAACCCTCCAAAGTATTAGCGAATTTTATATTGGACATTAAAATAAGACCTATCTAATCCAGGTTATGAAGTCTCATTGGGAATATCATTGAGTATATTTTCTGGGAGGCCGAGTCATTAAGCTCCCCCTTTCCAACAAATCCACGACCCACTTTTCATTCTTGACTCTCTTCATTAATCTATTTATTAATTCATTCTTTTGTTTTATTTCAAAGTGCAAATCTTTTGGTTTTCGAGAAGGGCCATGTATGTGCACCTTAGCCATGCCTGGCCAAAACCCTCCACTCTAGGAGGAGTAGAGACAAATACTCCTCAGACATGGAATGTTTTTAATGATTGAGATGAAGTGACAACAAACACAAAAAGCCATGAAACCCTCTTGGGGGCAAAAGAATATGGCGCATGGTCTCGTTTCCATGATGAAAAAGGAGATGATGCAACCGTGTTTATTACTTCACCACCATTGCCTGGAAACATAATTTGTAGCTCGCGTTTTATCTTTGATACAAAGCTCAATAATGAAAGAAAATATACTCAAGCAATAAGAAATCGTCTTAATAAAAGACCCCAAAAAAAAAAAAGGACTCGAGAATCATCTAATTTTCCGAAAAATAAACTTAGCCAGCAAAATGCTCATGTACCCTTATAGAGTATCCGACACATGTTTAACACGGACTCGTTATTTTTTATTTACCAATATAGACTAATTAAGGTAACTTAGAATACAACAATTTTTCTCCTTTTTTTTTTCTTTTCCCTTATACAATGTCTCTCTAGTAAGAAATTAACTGATTTGGAAAGAAAAACAAGATGAAAAAACAAGAAAAAACTATAACAAAAGGCTTTTAAATGTGGACTAATCCCTTCCGAGCAAAAGGAGAATAAAAAAAGCAAAAATGTGGACTAGCCAGTCTCATGAATTGAATGGCAGCAATTGGAATGGCAAGACTCGCGGAAGAGGTGTGTAGTGGGTGGTAATATATGGGTAAAGAAAAGAACATAGAAACGCGGGGGGGGAGAGGGTGGGTCAAGTGGCTGAGACATCCCTAGTAAAATAGACATGAATTGACGCTAAGTGCTATGAAAGGTATGGGCAGGGTTGTGCTTATAAACTAAATATGGGAGAGAGGGAAAAGGGTGAGAGGCGTGCTCTTGGGTTTGGGGAAAGGAGATGGGGGGGAGTGGTGGGGGTTGGTTGGGGTTGGGGGGTGGTTGTGTGACATCTTTTTCGTTATTTAGAATGCAACATGGGATTAATTGGAACAAGGCCAAGGCAAGGCAAAAGGCAAAAAGATCAAATGAATAAAGTGGAAGGGGGAATGTGTGTGGCAGAGTTTGGATAGTGTTTGGGGGGCAAGAGATGTGAGTGCCTTGTGGCAAAGAGTGAGATGGTGGGTGGGTTTGATGATGATGATGCACGCCGGCCAGCTTTTCTTTTCTTTACTCTCTCTCTCTCTATTGGCACGCCTGCTCCCACTCAATTGCTGCAACATTCCTTCACTCTTTCTCAAGAAAAGAAGCAAAGAACTACTGGTGAGGAATGAGGATGTGTGTTGCTGCATAAGCTCATTCTCTCATGAAATTATTGTATATTGAGAGAGACACATTTTCTATATGTTACAGTGTGCAAGTTCCAAGTTGGATAGAATGTTTGTTCTATCTTGAAAACTTACCATGTGGGTGGATGTCGTTTTCAATTATTTGGGACCGTAGAAGGGACCTTAAACCATCCTCGACCCTGAACTTGTCGGTTTCATAGGTTTAAGTCACCTTATACAATTTTTAGGATTTTTATTGATAAACGATTGATAATTTTTTTGTCAATCTCCAACACGTTTAGCACGCATAACAAAAGGTATGTAATATAGTAAAGTACATATTCATGGAAAAAATTAACATAAGTTCGTAAATTATAGCAACATTTTTACAACTAAAATACAATATTTGCTCATTTCATTGGAGTTTCATGTGTCAGTATCTGACACATCCTATTCTACAAAGTAAAGACATAAAGTCACAATTACTGATGGAATTGGGTATCTATTTGGTATTTACATATTTGTGTAATAATTATTTTACAAGTACAAGCTACCTCATGTATCTTTTGTAGGTTGCTTTGTATAGGGTACAAGTTATAGGGTACATGTGGGGACGACTCCCTGACCGGAAACCTACCTTATATTCATCAGTTCTACATTTTTTATACCCGAAACCTATCTCTAACTTTTAATACTCATCTCACAACTCATCCAACTATGTTGATCGCGCAGGTCCAACAAATTGTATTCCATACCCATATTTCTTTAATCGATGATGCAATGGATATTAGGGATGAATCTATAACATAAAGAGAGATGTGCTTTTTTTATCTGTCTAATTTGGATTTCCGATATTTATTAAGACATGATTGGGTAGATCTAATAACGAATACTCACAACAAATTTAGAGAGCAACAATGCTTTTACTAGATTTGTTTAATGGGTGTGGTATTATGATTGGCCTTAGAATATGAACGAAAGATTTACCACAAGACCCGAACCTTGTATAATGTAACATGTCGTGGGACTTTATTTTTCCCCATGACTGAACTAGCATCTCGTAAAGCATGGGACAAGATCAAGACGATTAGAAAATTGTCGTCAACAGATTCCTCATAAATAAATAAAGGTCATTAAGAAATTACGTAAGCCTCTCTCTCTCTCTCTCTCTCTCTCTCTCTCTCTCTCTCTCTCTCTCTCTCTCTCTCAAATTCAAATGAGTTAAAGCTAATCCACGAAAGAGCCATGCGGGAAACGCTAGCCTAAGACTGGTCTATCCCTCATCATCATATTTCTGCAAAAAAGTGAAACAAATTAGCAAGAAAAAGGAGCACGAAGTCCCATCATTCCCTCCCTTCATTCTTTCATCGGTTACCCCAAAAGGAAGCTAAAATTTTTTTCACACAACACTTAGATTCCTCTCTCTCTCTCTCTCTCTCTCTCTCTCTCTCTCTCCCACCCACTTTCTTGTGTTTTATAAGACAAGGTAAAATCCAACCTCAAGATCCTCCTCCTCTTTTTTTTCAAAGTGTTGTTCTCTTCCCATCCCACTTCTCTCTTCTTTAACAACATAATCGCCCATGCCTTGTGTTTCAGAACTTCGGCACTAAAAACCCAGAGAGAGATCAGTTTGATATCACAGGTACAAAAGTTTTCTTCTTTACTTTAAGAGAAAAAGGTTGAATATTTTGATGTGGGTCATTTGGGGGAGAGGCTCGAATGGATACCTTGTTTAGACTGGTAAGCCTTCAATCCTCCGATCAATCCTTCAACTCAAGCAGGACCTCAAGTAGCTCCAGATCCTCCCGACAAAACCATCACTACAATCACCAGCCAGAAGCAGACGAAGAATGCCTCAACATCTTCATGGATGAAGAAGACTTCTCCTCGTCTTCTTCCAAGCACTACAGCTATCCTTATCACCCCACCGCCACCACTACCACCCCTACCACCACTAGTAGTACTCATACTCCCACTCCCACCCACACATATGACCCCGCTGATGTATCCGTCTCGCCCGCCCGCGACCTCAACTTCGACTTCTCTAGCAAGTGGGCCTCCGACATCCTCCTCGAGGCCGCCCGAGCCATCGCTGACAAGAACAGCACCCGTGTCCAGCAGCTCATGTGGATGCTCAATGAGCTCTGCTCCCCGTACGGCGACGTCGAACAGAAGCTGGCCTCCTACTTCCTCCAGGCCCTGTTTAGTCGCATGACCGACTCGGGCGAGCGGAGCTACAGTGCCTGGTTGGCCGCGTCGGACAAGACCTGCTCCTTCGAGTCCACCCGGAAGATGGTGCTCAAGTTCCAGGAGGTGAGCCCCTGGACCACCTTCGGCCACGTCGCTTGCAACGGCGCAATCATGGAGGCCCTTGAGGGCGAGAGCAAGTTGCACATAGTTGACATCAGCAACACGTACTGCACCCAGTGGCCAACCCTGCTTGAGGCTCTGGCAACCCGGACAGATGAGACGCCACACCTACGGCTCACCACCGTGGTGGCCAGCAAGGCGAACAGCGGGGCAGGGTCGGGCGGCGTCGCGGCGGTGCAGAAGGTCATGAAAGAAATTGGGAGCCGGATGGAGAAATTTGCGAGGCTCATGGGTGTGCCCTTCAAGTTCAGCGTCCTGTACCACAGTGGCGACCTGTCAGAGTTGAATTTGGACGAGTTGGATATCAAGGAGGACGAGGCGCTGGCCATCAACTGCGTTGGCGCGCTGCACTCGACAACGACAATCAGCAACCGCCGGGACTTTGTCGTGTCTTCTTTCCGGAGGTTGCAGCCGAGGATAATCACGGTTGTTGAGGAGGAAGCCGACCTCGACGTGGGCGATGATGGGGTCGAATTCGTCAAGGGTTTCCAAGAGAGCCTCAGATATTTTAGGGTTTACTTTGAGTCGTTGGACGAGAGCTTCCCTAGGACGAGCAACGAGCGCTTGATGCTAGAGCGAGGGGCTGGGCGAGCGGTCATGGACCTGGTGGCATGCCCGCCACACCACTCGGTGGAGAGGCGGGAGCCAGCAAGCCGGTGGTCAAGGCGCCTCCGAGGAGGCGGGTTCAACCCTAGTTCGTTCAGCGACGAGGTATGCGACGACGTGCGTGCCCTGTTGAGGAGGTACAAGGAAGGGTGGTCGATGATGCCGTGCTCCGACGCCGGAATATTCTTGACGTGGAAGGACCAGCCGGTGGTTTGGGCTAGTGCATGGAGGGCTTGAGGATGATGAAGCTCTCTCTCGAAAAAAAAAAAAAACAGCCATGGGGGAGTGTTTCACACGTGTGATGTGTTTTTTTTTGCTTTTGGCACGTGCAAGGCATATGGGAAGATTTGTGGGTTTCTTGGTAGGGGGAAGGAGTTAGAGAGTAGGGGAATATTTGCTTGTTTTTGGACATTGATTTGTCTTGTCATATTTGTGATAATATTTCATTTTGTGGAAAGATAAACTGGTTTTGATCATTCATCTTGAGGCAAGTCGTGGTGATACATTTTCCTTTTTTTTAAGTTAAGTTCGGTTTTATAGACTTAAAGATGCGTTATTTTATAGAGATGCCAAATTGTGAACATATGGGAAGGGTCATACATCGTAAATATTCTTATAAAGAATAAAGTCGAGGTCATTACTTATATTTTGGTCGAATTAACTCATACGACAGTCAAGACATGGACCGCTCGATTGACACTTTGTGGATCCGTGGCCCTTTCTCCTCGTATATATAGGTTGGTCAATCAAAGTCATTAGCTCTTTTATCCATTTTTCTAAGAAGGAAGAAGTTGAATATTCGTAATAATTGCAATGTGACAAGGACACTCCTTATTTCTATAGAAGGCATCCATATAACTTTTAAAAAAAATTCATGGCATAAAGAAAGACTCATGAAGCATCTATTGAATTTTCACTTTGTGAAATGGCTCTTGATGAGTGTGTCATGTTCAAGTGCGCGTCTTTACAATTTGACCACTTCTCTTCGCCTCATGAAATGGTTGTTGGAGCAGTTTTTTTTTTTTCTTCCAATTTCTTTTTGGAATTCTAATTGGGGGTTGGCGTTTTGTGTAATTTAAGCTGATAATCAGGCAGTAGGTAGTGAAACTAAATTAAGGGCAGGATTTGATTCTAATCAGAAAAAAAATTATTGAAATCCAGCGGTTCCAAAGTAAAGGAGGAGGTCTCAATCAAAAGGTTGGAGGGGTCCTAGAATCTTTTAGGTCGGCAAAGTGAGTTGGGTTATGCCTGGGGAATCTCATCGAAAGGTGTTTAGCTATTACTGGCATTCAAAGAATTTTTGGTAGTGGCCAGCACGCTGAATTGACGTGGTCTTGCTATTTCCAATCTTCTTCTGCTTACAAAGTATAGGGTGTATTTCTTAATTATGATGGTATCTGGAAATTTTCGTGCAACCATACACAACTTGTCCCGACTTTGAAGACACACCCGAGTAAACCCTTCATCGGCTCATTGATCCAGAGAGAAATGGGGAAAGAAAAGAAACGTCACTAGATCCTTTTTGTAAAGCTTATTGATCAGCTTAATTGTGGCTTTTAGATGATGTTAACATTTGTTTAATTACCCAAATGCTCGTCATCAAGTACTTTGAATCATGCTTTTCTCCTATGTTAGAAACTTGACACTCATGAACACAAAATTGCATGACCAATTCTATCATATAGATCATACAAGAAAGTAAATAGAGAGGAACTTTGTATGAAAAACTAACAAAACATAGAGCAGCACCCACCAAGCTCCTGTTCAGACATAAGACAGAGATACTGTTCAAACACTTCCTCAGTTCGATTATCCTGCATATATGCAAGTGAGAAGAACAACCCTAGGCAACGGTGCGCTTGCAAGTTGCAACTCTGTTGAAAAATTGCTGCTTGGTACGTCGTCAGTGGAGAAAAAAGTTCTCCAAAAGCGATCTTGTGGATTCTTGATGTCATGGTAGATGAAAGAACATGTAGTTACCCACCAAAAATCAGCCAAAGACACGAGGGAGAAGCCCGCTCATGAAGTTTTCCTCTCCATTCACTAACAATGCATGGCACTTGATTATCTTGAATTGATGAGTAAGTTTGAACAACTCAGAAGTTTCACCTGTCTATTCAGTAACAATTATAACTTTTTTTTTTCTGGTCTTTCTTTTTTAACACTATATTCTATTGCTATTTTCTATCTTGGAAACAGAGAGAGGAAAGAGGGTTTGAACCTTCGCAAGGCCCCCACCACCAGCTCCATGACTGGCCGAAAGCCTCTTTCATGGAGCTGTAAAATAGGCTTTAAAGGAGGGGGTGGTGCTTTTGGCCCACGGCAAAAGGGAAAAAGAAATGCTTCTGGTGTAGTGGGAGCTCCTTTTTAGGGTTCACATCTTCATCTTTTGACGAGACTTGCCTCTCCCCACGTTAACGTTACCCGCTCCCCCTCCCTGTTCCCCACCACTTTCTTTTTTTATTTTTCCATTTTCTCTGGATAATCCACAACACGAGTGCAAAAGCTTGACCATATGAGGACTTATGATATACCTTATATTATAAATTCAGAGCAGTTTGCATACAGTTGGTGAGATTTGAACATGTAACTTAAATTTTCGAATTAAAAATCCGTTAACACATCAACTAACTATGCCAAAATATGAAATTTTTTCCCTTTTGTATTGCTTATGCATGTCTTTTGAAGTCTTTTTACACGTGTTTAAGTTGTCTGGTTTCCCCAGTGCCTTCTTTTGCTTAACCTTTTTGGTTTTCTTTGATAGTGACCAGCCATGTTTTTCTTCCATTGGACCCCCAAAGTTCAGGTGGCACATACTACACGTTCTAGGTTCAACCTATGTTGTTTTCTTCCCCCACTTTTTGTGTTCTTACTTAATAAGCTTATCAAATGTTTAATGACAGTCAATGTCAAATGGACGTGCAGAAACAGGAGAGACTCTCCGGGTTAGAAATTGACCAAAAGGAATTGTTATCTTTAGAAGAATAATTAATCCTAATCTTAAATTAAGAAGAAATAGTGTATAGAATTCATAGCAGTTTTGATACAAATTTTATTTGGTGAGTACATTCTATCAACGTTATTAAAATATTGTCTCACGTCGCTTAACAACTGGTCATATATTCTCTTTATATTCTATATGATCTCCCTCCACCTAATAGCTTAAATTTTTGGATTAGACTTTCTAACATGGTATCAGAGCCAATATTATCCATTTCGTCCTCATCAGTCCACACTCCTAATCCAACTTATGAGTGAGATGGGCTATTGAAACAGTGTCCTACATCGCTTGACAATGAATCATATGTGCTTTTTATATTCATATGGTCTCATTCAACCTAATAGTTTTAGTTTTTTTGTTGGACTTTTTAACAATTTAGAAAACATTTTCCTAAAAATGAGCATTTATATAACATACAAAAATGAATAAACGAAAATTATTTTTATCATACAAAAATATTTAGATATAAATTATTGTCAATAATGAAAATATATTTTTATTGACTAATTATTTCAAACGATATAATTGATTATTTTTAAGAAAATATTTTCAAAATCATTCATTTTTTGCGAAACAAACGAAATACCAACTTCTTCTTTCATCCTCATTGTTGTGGTCGACAGTCATGACACAAATTCTGTTTGTTTGATTATTTTTCGATACGTCGTGTGCAATTTAGCTCCTGTGAGAGCGAAAGATGAGTTGACTAATCATATTGTTGCCATGTGTTTTCTTGGCGATGGCATTGGCGGAGGCTAGAGTTCTTCACTCCAAGTGTGATATGAAGTACAAGTTCAAGTCGTCAAACTACTACAAGAAACTGGCCATCACCATCAACAAAAGGAGCTCAGGCCTGATCATTCTGGCACAATAGGGAGACACCATCGTCGTGGAAGCTATCAAAGTGTTCGTGATTGAGAATCTCGCAATCCATTGGCACAAAATCTGACAGATATATAACAGTAAGATCGAAACTATATTAAAAAGATCTCGGTTAAGTGTTTGATGAAGATTGTAATGAGAGGTTTATGAGACAACGATTTTGGGTTGGATTAAATTGTAGATTGGAAGTCCGAGGAGTGATGGACCAGAGGGTGTGATTCTTCGCCCCATTTTGCCTGAAGACGCTTTTACCTATCGTTTTGTTGTTTACTCCCTCATCTGATGGTTCATGGAAATTGAGCTAACATTAGCCGATTGTAGCCCAATGTTTTTGTCCCTCATATTTACCCAACAACACTTGTTCATATGTAGATCGTAAAATAGATTAATACACTACGGGCATGAATGCACACGCAAGATTAAATTAATATCTTGGAAGGGCAGCTCTATGGCACCATAAAATCATATCTTCTATGCATAGGGATCATCATATGAACTTTTAATTAAGATTTTTTTCCTAGATCATAATTCGTACTCAAATTTTTATAACTTATACTATTATTTATAAACATAATATTTGTCTTCGACATAAATTACAAATTTTAGGTATTTTTTAGAATTCTACAATTCGATTTCACTTTTCGATTCACCACTTACTATTCGCAAATTGAAAATTTCAATTCGCGATACTTTTCTCGGTTTAACAGTTATACTATCATGCATAGTCCAAATGGACTTTACTGATAGCCCATGGGCCTGCTCACAGTCAATGCATCCGCTTGTGAAGACAAGCTGTTCGCATGCCCTGCCATTTGGGCAACTCAGGTAGCTACTCACGACACTCATCGCACTGTATGCTTTGCGAGCCGGAGCACGTATAAATTAAAACGAAACGCAATACGAAATCTATGATAAGAAAATATGTGTACAATTCATGTAATCACATTAAAATTCCTCGGAGAATAAAATCAAGGAAAGCTCTTATCACAGCATAAGAAAACGATCCGTTCTTATACAATCTTTGCCTTAGATACATGAAAAGTGGAATCTATCGACCATTAACTTGTCCCCATGTTCTCTTCCTCCATAATTCTCCTGTTTTTTTCCCTCTTTTTTTTTTGGATAATCCCGTTGCGTACGCCGGTTGCCGGCGAGTAAGCCACCTCACACAATGACTGGGGGAGCCCTAAACCTGCCTTGCCGCGGGGCGCTTCTCCCTCAATAGGAGCAGCGACCGGCACGGAATCTAAGCGAACCCCAACCAGCTCAACCTGGAAGATAGGCTTCAACGGGTGGTGGAAGGGTGGATATCCCGCTGTAAGAGTTCATTTCCGCAGTAAAAGTGCGAGAAACCCTAGATCAGCAGTTGGACCAACATGAAAAATAGTTAAGTAGTTCAGTGTTTCAGTCAAAACTCGTGTGAAAATGAAACATTTGCGGCCAATCCAGATATTGTCATACTGTTCTTTCGCCCTCCTACCATCCTGATGCCTCGTGCAAGGATGAAGCACTTCTCTGGTAAATCACTGATCCAATGGGATCATGTTAGCAAAAAAAAAAATGTGAGAGACGATCATCTAGGGCATGGGAACACCAATGGAGGAAAGGCTCTATAAATGGGCAGATATTTAGTCATGCTCATAATTGCTGTAGTAACGCCACAAAATTTCTTTTTATTAATAATATTTTTAAATATTTTAATATTTCTTTCTTTTTTCTTTTCCTCCTTCTTGGCCATAGCCTGCTTCATGCCATGACCGGTAAAATATTTTTATTAATAATATTTTTATTAAAAATATTTTTCTTTTTTTTTTGCCATGGCACAGTCGCCGGCCATGACAGTAAAATATTTTTTATTAAAAATATTTATATATTTTTTTGCCATGGCTTTGCGGCCATGGCCGTAAAATATTTTTTTTATTAATAATATTTTTATTAAAATATTTTTATTAAAAATATACATTTTTATTTTTTGGGCCATGGCCTAGTCGCCGGCCATGGCCGGTAAAATATTTTTTAATTAATAATATTATTTATTAAAAATATATATATATATATATATATATATATTTTTTTTTTTTTTTTTTGCCATGGCACTGTCGCCGCCATGGTGGTAAAATATTTTTATTAAAAATATATTTTTTCTTTTTTTTTTGCCATGGCACGATCGTGCCATGGCTCGTAAAATATTTTTTTATTAAAAATATACATTTTTATTTTTTGGCCATGGCACAGTCGTTCATTTGGTAAAATATTTTTATTAATAATATTTTTATTAAAAATATATATTTTTCTTTTTGCCATGGCATGGTCACCGGCCATGGCGGGTAAAATATTTTTTTATTAATAATATTTTTATTAAAATATTTTTATTAAAAATATATTTTTTTTTTTTATGGCCATGGCACAGTCGCCGCCATGGCCGATAAAATATTTTTATTAATAATATTTTTTATTAAAATATTTTATTCTCGTCGAGATCCGGTGAGGGCGGTCCTCGGCGGACATTAAAGCTAAATTAAAAACCAAGAAAATGAAGAAGAAAAAAAAATTGATTCTCAAAATTGTTCCTGAATCAAGAAACTACTTTTTTTATTCTTGATTCTCTTCAAAGCGATTAGGAACAATTTTTGACAAAATTGTGCCCAGAATCAAAAATTAAACAAACGCATTTTTGTTCCCGGCGATTAAGGAACAAAAGAAACAGAATCAAACATTGTTTGGCAAGTTGTCATCTTGTGACCTTAGTCATGCTCATAATCTGCTTGTGGATAGACTCGCATGAAATCTATAGTAAATTATGTACACGCACATTTCCATATTCAGAGACATCATTAATGGCGAGTTTTTCTCTAGGATTGCTTTCCTCTAGAAGTGCGACCATACGCATCCCTTGGCGATTACTTCAGCTATTTGAGAAAAAATTGAAATATGGACCTTCAGATTGTTGATGATTGTGAATCGAGGAACGGTGGATGGCGATTTCACGATATCGAAATGGCTATCGCATGTATCCAATAAAAGCTCAAAGTACGATCTACAATCCAAACTAATAGATCGCTATATATCAAACTTATGTCTCCTTCCTCTTGCGCGGCATCAAGTAATTGGACGTATTATCGATCGGAAAGATTTCCAATAACGGTCAAACTCATGTCATATCCAGTTTTATATGATTTCGTAAGATGATAAACACATATAATGGATGAGCAACCACAGGCAAAGATGAAGAGAAATAAATGTGTCATTATAGAAAAATTTACCCACGCATTGGACCTGGAATTTCCAAGCCCGTTCTCCCGGCCCAACCCAAACTCTCTTTAAAATTAAAAGTAAATTTGTCAATAAGTTTTCCGCCTCAAAATAAATTTTTTTATACGTTTATGGTTTTTTAATTATTTATGGCGTAATTGAAGAATTTCGAGAATAAATATGGTATTTTTTAATATCCAAATTTTCGTATATTGCATTTATAATAGTTATCAATTATTGCAAGACCGAAGCAAATTCAATAGATGCATATTTGGAGAATAGGACCCTTTTACGCTAGCAAGACGCATGGATTACAATTCCATACTCTCCTTCCCAAAGAAATGCACAATCTTTCAACTTGGTAGGTTTTCTCGGTAAAAAGCCAAAGCATGGTACAACTTAGAAAGGCTCTTCTCACTTCCTGTGGAAATTGCGAAACAGAGACCTAGGAGACCCAAGTGAATGAACAAATCCTTGAAACAAAGTGATTCGACCACTAGTTCGCAGCGTCGATAGTGCACCTCGCCTTATGACTTTCCATTATGAGTAGCTCGGTCGAAATGATAGGATCAAGGCTGCTCTTCAAATACAACAGGGCCGCGAGTGCTGGTGTTATGTCTCGACTTCAATAAGCTTGTTGATATAGAACCGATGGTGAGAATTCGTCATTCTCATAAAGGAAACGCTGACAATTCTTCTTGAAACTCCAAAGTCTCGCGGTGTATAAAAGCCTCTAAAAGCCCTCACTTCAAAGGCTGAAATGTTCGACTCTGACCATATGTTTCTCAGATCAATATGGTCAGGAATGGAAATGAGATTGGGTGTCCAGCAGAAAAGATGAAGATTAAGGCAGTACCAAAGAAAATCTTAGCGTAAGGTACTGGACAGGCGTACTCCACTACTATCAACACTACCTATACAAAGAAATGAGTAAGCTCAACGACAGTCCTCGGCTGATATTCTTCAGCATCTGCATATTCGGCTTGAAACGAGCATCGCGCAGGAACACCAGAGACCAAATCATTCAAGAAATCAAACCCAGAGAGTGAACCTAAATCAAAAGGCCTCGTGTATGATACAACTAGTATTTAACCCCAAAAAAAGAACCTCATCGTTTCGTATCACTCCGTCTGCTGGGAAGTCTCCACTTCCTATGCCAATAAATTGACACTCTAGACCACGATGGAAACCCGAAATTGTACTCAAGTGGCCAATCAGCTGGGCCTCCAACTATGAGAGGCAACCAGACATACCGGGAGTCCCTCAAATCAGCCGGGTTCCATCTATCAGCCATAAAAATAAATGACGCGGGGAGCCCTGCTAACGGGAGGACAAATGTACCCTGCGCAAAAAAAGTAGTCAGCTGAAACATTTTGCTTCCACCGATGCACGGATTGCCCATTGTCTCCCAAGGCCCCATGATCGACTCTGCCGCGTGGGCCAATGCCTCGTTCGGGGCCCAGCCAGTGCACCCAGACGTAATCATGTAATAAGTCTCGTCATGCTTGAACAAAGCTGGAGCTTCCCTGTGCTGACCCACAAGAATTCTCTTCACGACATGTGTAACATCGAGATAGTCCTCCGTTAGAGGACCAATATGAAGTTCACTGTTGTCCTCAGAAGAATACACGAGATAAGCCATGCCATCATCATCCTTGAAGATTGTCATGTCTCGGCTCTCAAACCCATGGGGCCGCTTACTGTAGACATAATCGAAGGGACCAGTGGGATAATCACTGACGGCAACACCAATGGACGCTTTGGTATAGTTGGCATCATCGATGTGCATCCACATGACATACTTTCCAGTCTTTTCATTGTAGATCACCTTTGGCCTCTCTAGCACATTCGACTTATGGAGATCATGGGTTTCATTTGCTTCATTGGCTGCTAAGACTATTCCTTCATTTTTCCAAGTCCACAAATCCTTCGAAGAATAACAGCCGACTCCTATGACGTCAACCTGGTTTCAACAAGTACCTGATGAATATAAAGGAAGTTCACAACTAAAGGGAAGTACTTTACGAAACAATGGACGAGATACTAATGCAAGCACAAAAGGCAAGATAAGTCATTGCAAATTACGGGTTAGGTCAGACTGCAATACCAGTTGTCAGAAAATGATTGAAGCAAAAGACACAATGAAAAGTTAAGAGACTTGTCTGATACCATGATATCTATTCAAATAACATTGTCAAAGGCAAGCTGAGATCCCCTTGTGCCAGTATCTCTCCTCTTCATTTCATCCCAAAAGAAAATTATTAAAGAGAACTACTGTCTAGACATAAATATTCTCAAGGCTCAAAAGCAGTAACTCAGGCTATGACAAACTCAAATAATCGGCTTTAAGCAAATTGAATTGGCATGGTTAAAGGAGAAAAGGAATTCCAAGAGAGAGAGAGAGAGATGTTTATCAAAGTTTAAAATAACAGCAACACTTAAGTTGCTTCTATTCCAATTCATCCAATCCGCAACAGTAGGCCACAAGAAACCCAATATTATCCTGTATTACTTCGTGGCCATTTAACAGCAAACTGAGACAGATTGTAAACTTTGCAGAAGAAAGGAAGCTAAATACTAACGCAAAATCAAGAGTATTACACCCAAAATCTCAGTATAGTAACATCCAGTACCCATGAATCAGTAAGACCAGTTACAGGAAAGGGATAAACTAGTATGCAAGTATCCATGTTTACATCAGTAACCACAGTTTTTGCTTTGTCTTGGCTATGCACATTGAAGATGCAAGTGAGGATACAGTCTCACACTTATCCAATAAGCACCAGGAAGACACAGTTCCCAAGGTCACGTGTCTTCAGCAAACCACTTAAATATTAAGCATGAGAAGGACAGGTACATTTTTCTTCCCAACAGCATCATGAACTATAGATGGAATACTTTCTTTAAAACAGTCAATGAATTGATCAAATGTTGCTTAAAAGTCAAAACGCACTTAGTGATATCCAACACCAGCACCATCCTCTACACTCTCAACCTAGCCAGAAACTTTTCAAAACAAATCATTCTGAATGAAATTAGGAAATCTAATTCCCTCTCTCTCATAAAAACTGTAGTCACAAGGCATTTGTCTTGTATTCACAGAGATGAAGAATACTTGGATCTTAAGAAATTCAATATTACTTAAAATTGGTTAAAAACAGAAAGAGTGCAATGACATAATACAAATACTAGAGACAAATATCTCCCTATTGCTGCAGTTGTCATTGTCAACAGAATACTTCAAAAAACTTGTCACGTGTAGTGAGAAACATTACTGCAGAAAGTACAGAAACCAGATTCTCAGGTAACAGGAAAAGTGCAATAGAATTATAAAAATTTAGTCATTGGTCGATTGAGTCCAAAACAACCTATTTTTCTTGATTAAGTGCTAAAATTTTTTAAAGGAGTTGCAATTGAAATCTAAATCTCATAGTTGACAACATTTAGTCACTGAAAATTGCATCCTCTCAAATTTTCACGGAATTAAGCATGATTTTGACCACGATCAATATAACAAAAAACATGAATTTGTCGATCATTATTTTACAAAATGAAACCCAAATCTTATGCAAACAGAGGAAAACCTGAGTCTTATGATTTTAATTTTTCCTCGGTCTACATGAAATTCGGGTTCTACTTTTCAGTAAATTCTAACGATTAAATGAGCCACTCAATTATCGACAAAACCCATGTATTATATTCCTTGATTGGGGTCAAAATCAGGCTTTATTTAGAGAAAAGCCAACAGGGTAAGATTTTCCAGTGACCAAAACAAGCGGTGAAGTTAGGGCCCAACTGCGCCTCTGTCAAATGGTTTGACTGTTGAAATATTATTCCACATCGCTCGACAATTGACAATGGGTCATAAATGCTCTTTATATTCATGCGGTCTCCCTCTACCTATCAGCTTACGCTTTTAGGTTGGACTTTCTAACATTGTATCAGAGCCAGTGCTATCCCTTTTGCAAATGTGCGTAGTCAAAATTCCACATGCCGCTAGTAATCTGGCTTGCACGTGAGAGGTGTTAAGGTATTGTCCCACATTGCTTGACAATGGGTCATGAATGCTCCTTATATTCATGTGGTCTCCCTCCACCTATCAGCTTAAGCTTTTGGGTTGGACTTTCTAACATTGACTCAATTCACCAAAGAAATTGTTTAGGACTCAATCGAACATAGAGAAGATGTTTGCAACTCATATTGCACTTATCCCACAAATGTACAGAGTGGACATTATACAAAGACATCAGGGTGCAAAAGATGTGCCATAAGAGTTTTTAGTCCACAAGCACCTAAGGTGCTTCTACTCTCTGTATACAATGTGAATCATCCAAAAGCTACCACTCAGTTGACGAGGAGACCTGCCCAGCAGTCAAGGCAAAGGAGAGACCTGCCCAACAATGGTAATCATCTACATACTTTTGGCTCAAAGCTTAGATCACGACAGAATTCACCTCAGATCACTATCGATCGAAAAATAACCAGAGGACATGACCAAAGCTAAATATCAGTTAGTAAGAAATTTAAAAATTCATCTATCCTAGGAAAAGCCAATCAGCTTGAATTTCAAAATGGGATGCAATCGGCAGTGCAAGAAACAGGGAAGGTCAACGAACAACAATAGTTATTCTCTCAGCTAATGTTATAGGTACAAAGACAAAACTAGAATGTATACAGGCATATGTTTATTAGGAAGCATAATTAACTGACTTTAGGCCCCCACAGAACACAAAAGAGACTTCCAATTGAGCAGATAATTTAGACATCTGAAGGAGATAATTCTAGATCAAGCAATTGGATGTACACAATAAGTTTGATTAAACAACTTACTCGCGCTAGTCCCTTTGGGGCAATAAAAGTGGGACCATCTTTATATTCTCCATACCAGTAATACATCTTAGAATGCGGATCATACATAACACCACCTCCATGGGCCTGAATCGGATTTCCTTCAGTGTCCAACCACATCCTCCCCGGAAAGTAGTAAGAGCTATCGTTGCCCGTGTCCTTGGTTGGATCTATGGCACTTCGACGATCAGGAAAAAAGACATGCCTGATTTGGGAATTCTCATCAAGAAACTCATCAATCAAGGTGGTTTTCCTTTTAGGTCTCCGTTTTGCTGCACGAGGAGAACGCCTTCCACGAGGTGGAGGAATTTGGATATTTTCCTCCTCAACCGCCAGCAGTTCTTGAAAACTATGGTGGCTAATTTGCAACCGTGTCTCCTCCACTTTGTCAGTTTTATGGAGAGTGAAATATAATTGAAGCAAAAGGAGGAATCCCACCAAACTCCATACCATAGCAGGCATTGAACATCTGCTCCCTGTCCAACCTAAAATTGTTGCTTTTCTGTGTTTGTTCCTCATCCTCATTTTCTATTCCTCTCTCTCTCTCTCTCCAGAAGAATGTTGCAATTTATATACAACCTACAGAGGCATGGAAGGTAACAAACATGAGTCGCCCAAAATATACAATTTATATTTCACAGCAACAACAAAAGTAATGATGATTTAAAGCAACAGAAGTGATACAGAGTGATTGCTATATATCTTAAGACAATTTTATCGAATCAAATTGCATCTTTGGCAGCTTTGCTTTTTGAATATCACATAAATCAAATAATTCCCACTGATCAAAACACCAGCTCTTAAGTTTGAAGCATTTCCATCATTGAATGACTTGATTCCAAGGCCTTTTAATTGCAATTTTCTTCCACAACTAGCAAATGAGATCCTGGTACAACCAAACAGCTACCATAATGTGGAGATCACTACTGGCTATAATATCAGCAGTAAATAACACAGACTGCAGTCTCGTGATGCACCCGTGAAGCTCCTCTGAGTACCAGATTTCTGAAGGAAAAATATGGCCCAAGAAATTTTATTCTAAGTAGAGGATTTTCAGAGAATGCGTGCACTGATGGTTTAGCACTGCAGAAAATATTACAAGAAAGGGCAGACTCACAAAGGTCTGCTCAGGTTCAAGATATTAATAAGGATTTCTCTCATACGAATAGTCTTCTGTAATTTATTCCCAAATATAAGCCTTTTAATGAATGGACCTATCTCACAACAAGGGTCTAACAGGATCACTTCCAGGACATATTGGTTATATTATGTTGCCTGCCTTTCATAGTCATATATGCCCAACCTGCCTTTTCTTCGCAAAATGCAAGAATCCTATTGGTTGCAGATTTTCTGGCTATATACCACAATCCATTGGATCTCTGCAGAACCTGGCCTTTTCTTTAAGTCCGTTCTTTCGTATACTTGATTTGGAGCTGACATGTACTATGAAAAATTTGACGACAAGATAGGGATTGCTGTGCTCGATGTGTGTCAACTATGAATTATTTAACCCGCCTGTTGGAGGCCTTTCTTCTTGAATGTACTCGGATTTATGTTTTCAGCCCAAACTATACATCTTAATTTACCAGTCTCATAGTCATCTGAATAAACTGAACTCGTCCTTCCAATAAATTGTAGATCTCTAGATTCAAAGGGATTCAGTGGGCCGATTCCCCCAACCATTGGTAACCTTTCTAGACTTTACTGGCTGGATCCTGTGGGCAATCAGCTAACTGGATCTGCTTGGTTTCAAATGGAAGCATACCTGGCCTTGATATGCTACTTCACACAAAAGCACTCGTATGCGCATGTTTGCATTTTCTTATCCTCTGTAACTGTGACCAGATTTCATCCTTGTTTTTTATCCAACTAATATTTTGCCCAACATGTAGTCATTTTGGGCCAACCCAACTCTCTGGCACGTTTCTTATCAAAATTTTCAGCTCTGAGATGCATTTCATACATAGGAAAGTTCTGATAATGCCACCAGGACGCTGCATTTGGTCTAGTCATAGTTAACTTGGGGCTTCTCAAGCCATCTATGAACCCTTCCCCCCCGGCACATCTTTCTTATCTTCACATTACCACTTAAAGCGTTTCTCTGGGAAAGAGGAAGTGAAACAGTCAAGGATGGTAATGGCCTGCTTATACTTTGTTGTATGAGAGAAATACTAAAGAATATCTTGAAGCTGACAATCTCGGAGGTGATTGATCAAGAGAAATAGGCTACTGAAATTGACAGATTACAAGCAAGGGCAGACTGACAGAGCACACGTGAACAAGGAACCAAATTGCTCTACTACCAATCACACTAGAAGAGCAAAAACAGCTGCTGTTAAACAAAGATTGCTATAAACTGGAGTTCGTGGGATTAGCTCATAAATAATGGACCCTTTATTGATGCTAAGGAAGGAGAAAGAAATGGTCAGAAATGGCAAAGCAGGAGAATTGGAAAACAAAGCTTATTTTACAGTCAGAATTCGGAAAAAAGAAACAGCTTCCTCACAAGTCTACGTATTTCGCTCCATTGCGACAGATTTGAGTCCTGCAGTCTAATTAGTCGAAAGCATGCACGGATATATACAGCCAAATCGGAAGAAATGCCCTTCAACCATGCAAAACTCAGCAATGTTGACTTAAAAATGATGTATTGTCCTAACGGATGATACGAGCTCAGCTCATCTTTTCATATATATGACAAAAAGAGGGGGAAAAAGAATCGCAAACAACCCAGGATTTCTTCGTAAGAATTGAGGTTCTACCACCAAAGATCAAATGCAACCCAGAAATTATCAGCCAAACGGCGAATTCCCATTTCGGAAATCAAGTTCACCCCACAGATTTCAACTCCCCGCGCATCGTCTACTCATAGCGATCGCGACACCAGAATCGCACCATCACAAACTAAAACTCGGAGGCAAGTGTACATCAGGTGCTGAAGAAAGACAGCAAAAAACAGGAACGCCAACCATAAACTTGTCCGACAGGCCGCGAAACAATTGAAATCCTCATGATATGGAGAAATTAACACCCCTATCGAAACAACTGACCTGAAAACAACCCAATCGCGAGCATCGCAGAATTATGCAAACGCTTAGCTTCGCAGCCGATCCTGCTTCAAGCTGACTCAAACCCACAAAAGAGAAAAGGCAGAACAGCCCTCTCCAGCTTCCAATGCGCAGTCTCCGGGCAAAAACTTTCCCCAATTCGATGTCAAAATCAAAACCCAGTAGAGAGAGAGAGCGAGAGGGTTGTTGGTATGGCTTCCTTTGTGGGTTGCGCTTTGAATCGGATCAGAAGAGGTTGATGATTACGACTCGTGACCGAAGGGACCCCTCCCGGCTCGTGCCCGCTGTCAGTAGCGAAAACTTGAAGGCGTTCTCTCGAAGTGGGGATGGGAAATGTAATGGAGGAATCATCCATGGCGGTTAAAACTCGCCTCTCCCTTCACCTCCCATTGACTCCATTTCTCTTGGGTCTGCCAAGCTTTTACCTCAGCAGAGATGGAAAAGAGGACACGGACATGGACACGCGAACCGGCGACGAAAGGCTAATGGTGTGCCGTGAGCCCCACGAGCATCTGGGACTCGGCAAGGTTCAACGCGGAGATCGTCACCGCCATCTCCGAGTCAAATTCATGACGCGCAATCAAATCGTAATGATGGGTTATCGTCGGAAGATGATCTCGGTTTGGACAAAACAAAAAGGGACGTTCGCGTTCAAAGAGTTATGGTGACAATACATGTCAGTGATGGCTGTTTTACCATTAGGTAAAAAAATATAGGGTGAATATAAAGATCCGCGAAAAAAAATCCTTGAATCTTGAACACTTTCAATCGTGAAAAAAAAATGAGTGAGGATCTTTGTCCGCAATCATCAATTTTTTTTTTTGACTCGTCTCGAGTGTTAATCCATATAGGGCTCGTTTGGTTCGGCTTTTTAAATGCAATTTGGGGGAATGCAAATAAAAAATTGAAAGCCCCTTCCCAAAGCTGAACCAAACGGGGCCTTAAAGGTGAATTTTTTATCGAACTTAGCAGTAGTTGAGATTGTTGGGATAGCGATAAAAAAAAAATGCGGAATAGATATGCAGAGGATCTTCGGCGATAAAATATTTAGCGTTTCTGTAAATAAAGCTATATAAGACGATGTAATTTTGAGGGTAAAGTTTGAGGGTGATTTTCTTTTGTAAAAGTGGAAATAAATGAGTGTTTGGGATAACTCGTGGAGGAATGTTAGACTTACCGGAACTGTCCTATTAATTTGTTTGCCACTGACATGTAAAAGTATGAGCGGCGCCCTTCAAGCAATTGGTCGTATTCAAGCACCGACGAAAGACTATCACGACCTATCTTTCGAGTGGAATCATTTATGGATTGGCTAGTGGATTACTGAGTTTACACTTGGCTCGTGCTCTCCCATGTCTTTATCAATTCACAACTTTCGATCCAAGTTTTTCTATCATGCAAAATCAATTCATTTCAGAGTCACCACCAATCAATTTTTGATGGGTCGATAAGAAACCCAAGTAAAATGTGGGAGTATGCTTTACTTCTACGAATGAGAGATTAAATGGATTCAAGAACTTGATTATGCTAGATTACTCGAACGCTCTTTCGGTACATTTTCTCTTTTATTTTCAAAAATATTTTTGTAAGCAACTTGGATTAATTTTAAACCTAGCTACTAACATGTGAGTAATGATCATGCGGGTGTGCATTCAATAAAAATAACAACTAATAACCAAAAGCAATAAAGAAATCACTAGAAATCAAGAACTAAATGCCAAGAATTAAACTAAGGCTCTAAATATACTAAACCTAGCTTGTTCGTGATTTTTCTATCTAATTATTCAATTCTAATTAACTTTTTTTTTGGGTTTTTCTTTTATTAAATGAAATTCTATTCTAGGTTAAATATGCATGATGACGTGTGACATGGCCTAATTCTAACGGTGGGCAAAAATTAACGCGAAACTATTCTAACGTGACATGCATTCCAAATTAAATTACCTTAAACGTGCAATCACTAAATGGCATGACTATAACGTGGCATTCATAATGACATGACATAGATGATGTGGCATGTGACATGGCATGGTGACATTGAAAACATTGATGACTTGGCATATGACATGGCATGCGACGTAGCATAATGACATGGCACATATGAATGACGTGGCATATGACATGACATGTGAAGGGGCCTCCAAGTATTACTTGTAAGTAAGTTGCTTGTCGTGAATTCTTGAAATACTTCGTTCTATTTTTTGGAGCTGTTGCTATGACAAAAGGTGCGAAGGGAGCAAGAAGAAGCCAAAAAAAAAAAAAAGAAGAAGAGGAAACTCGACCCGGTTCCGAACATAACCGAACTGAACCAAACCATCAAACTACCCAAATTCCTTTACTTATTACCCGAACTGAATGAGACTTGAACTGAAAAGACCCGATTTTCGGTTCGGTTCGGTTCAAGTATTTTTGACACCCCTAACCAAGTTTGTTTTAATATCAGTTTTACATTAATTTTTGGGAAAAATTGTCCAAAAAGTCTTAAACTTATTGTACGACGGCTAATTTAGTCATAAACATTTTCATTATGCCAATTTAGTCATAAAGCTTTTGATAATTTGTTAATATAGTCCTTCTAGCCAAAATTGGCCGGAAGTCGCTAACGTGGTCGGTGCTAACGTGGACAATTTTTGTATTTTTTCTTTAAAAATTATGAATTCTTCGTCTTTTTATTTTTTGTCCCTTTCATTTCATTTCGCCTGTGGTGGATACTCGGCCATGGTCGGTAATGGCCTACAGGTGAGGGTTGGAGAGAGCGTTGTGGCCTCGCCAGCCCCAAGCGAGGGAAAAAAGAGGAAAAATTTAGAAAAATCTTAAATTTTTTTTAAAATTATTCATGTCGACGCCATCCATGCCACGTATGATGGTTGTCAACATTTTCCAGTTAAGAATAGCCGAAAAGGCTAAATTGGCAAATTTTTAAAAGGTTTAGGACTAATTTGGCAAATTGTCGGCTAAATTGCACAATTGAAAGGTTTTGGGAATGAATTGGCTGTCGTACAATATGTTTGATACATTTTGAATGATCATCCTTAATTTTTTGCCAAATACTGACATCACACAATTCGTTAGTCAAATTTCTTTTCATCTCAATAAGGATAGTCGCTCCAAGCGAATTTTCATAATCGTGCTTTGGTGGCAAAATAGTAGACATGGTTGACTCAAAATCTCGTGCCGGCAGAAAGAATCCAGTTAAGATGCGAGGCACCGTCCCGTGCGGAGGTTTTCTACAAATCAATGATTAATCGAGAGATTAAAAAAGCAAATTGCAAGTTAGGGATTGGCCCTATAATCTACAATTGGTCCGAACACCCTATCCTCGAGAGATAGTTGTCGCAATAAATATTTCCTTGTCCTTTCATGATAATAGAAGAGAAGGGGTTAACCCAAAATAATTAGGCCTAATCAAATCTCTATGATTGGGCTATTAATTTAAGATTAATTATAAGAGGGGAAGGTACGTTCGGTGCCGTCGCAGGTCACAACGACTACTGCCCCAAGATCGAACGGAAGAAACGGTTGGCGGCCCTTTTAAAAGCCTTCTCGACCAATTGTAGGCGTCCACGTGGATCCCCGCCCGTTTGAGGTGGTTTCCAAGTTGGTGAGCTTAGGGAGACACAACTCGAGCTGCTAGGGGATCAAATTACCGTGGAACCCCCGGATCCTTGGGTAAAATTACATCCGATACCCTTTTGCAAGGCCTGTTTTGGATAGATCGTGTCAGAAAAATCTCTGAATCCGTAAATTTGCAATGAATGATTTTGTGGCAGGGGGTTATCCGATACATTTATTTTGTAAATGCCTAGCCGCGAGAAAAAAAAAAGTTATAATTTTTTGTAATTACAGGAAAACTCAACAAAAAAAAAATGAAAAATAGGCACATTCAGCTTCCGAAATTTACAACGCGCGAATCGAGAGGCCAAGAGCTACATGTACGATCGCGATGCGGGTCTGGACAATCTGATAGTCGTACAATTTCTTGAACTTCGGTACTAGAAATAAATTAATAAAAGTTTAGTTTTTTTTTCAGTTTAAAGAAAAATTTTGGTTGTCAATCCACCAATTCCACCAATATCTAGATGTTTATGCATATATATTTGGCGTAATAGTTGAGTAAAACCTTAAGCATGTTGTGCAATTTTTAGGAGATAGAAGGGGCCGTAGATTCATTCGTGGATATTTGAAGAAGAAGTGGGCTTGGGGGCCCACATGTCGAGCTATTTTCTTCCCTAAGCTAAAGGATTTCGTGGGTGGTTTGATGGATTTTGTTAGTGAGTCTCTCAAACCTTTTGTTAACCACATTAGGTTAAAAAAAAATTCACTTTTTAAAGCAGTGATCACACGTAATACGAGAGCATAGAAAACCGCATGATGTCTCAATTAAATGCTTAACAAATGAATAAAAATTCACAAAGTTGGTAAGAGGAGGTGGACGCGCGTAAATATTTTTAAAAGCGAAATTTTGAATTCATCGGGCCGACGCGAGAAGTGCATTTTTAATAGGGATGATGACACAAATGGTCTATAAGCTCTGACCTGACGTGCAATGTTGCCTCTGAACTTTTAATTTGTTCAATTTGGTTTATGAACTTTAGCTCAACGTTAATCTCTTCAATGTGGTCCCTAAAATTTTCAGTACATGTTCAAGTTAGTTCCTAAATAGATTGAACAAGTATCACAAGTTCATGAATCATGTTGAACACATTAAAATTTCGGGGACGACATTGCACATTAAGCTAAAATTCAACGACTATATTGAATGAATTAGAATTTCAGAGACCACATTTCATACTGGATTAAATTTTAGGGATAATTTAGTGAAATCAGTCGAGGAGCGCGAAAGTCGACCCGAAAAAACACCTCAACCTAAAAAGCAAAAGGTGGAAAAATAAGAAGAAGAAGAAGAAGAAGAAGAAGGGAAGGGGAAAGGGAGGAATATGGAATCATTTTAAAGAGCACCGCCCAGCTGAGCTGGCCCCGCCAGACGAACCCCCTTCGCCATTAAGTTAGGCCGTACGCCGCCACGGGCGAAGAACGCGCGTGGTTTTCAACTCCCCCAAATCCCGGCGCCCTTAGTGCCACGTGGCGTCCCTTCGCTGGCGCGTGTTCGACAGACGCCAGCGTGGACGAGGGCGCAAGTTTCGATTTTAAAAAGATAGTTTCGGAAACTCTTTCGAGCTTTTGCTTCCCTGACTGACAGACTGTCCCGCGGAATCTTCGTCTCTGATTGGCTGTCGATCGCATCCGGTGCGGACGTGTCCACATCATCAGGGCCTCACGCCGAATCGCAGCCGTCAGGTTGCATCTTCCTTTTGACTCCGGTGGGCCCCACTCGGCACTAGCAGCAGCGTCGAGCGTTTCACTGTTGACCAGTGGCACTTTCTTTAACGTTTCAAATTTTCAATGCAAAAAATAACTTTTTTTATCGTTTGCTAAAAAAGTGATGGGTTAATGGCAAAAATCAAAATTCAAAAAATTAGAAAAGAGGTCATTAAAGGTCCGTTTGGCAACTATTCTATTTTCGAAAACTGATTATGCTCATAAATGATTCTTTTTTATTCTGTACTGGGAAATAATTTCTAAGCATTTGAAGGTATTTGATAACTGCCCAAAATTTCTATTCTTGAAATAAAAAAAGAACAGAAATGCGTTTGATAACTATACAAAATTTCTTTTTATCAATAATATTTTAATAATATTTTGAATCTTTTTAATATTTCTTTCTTTTTTTTCTTTTTTTTTTCTTCCCCTTCCCCTTCCTGGGCAATGGCTAGGTTGCCGTCGCCGGTGTCGGCGAGTGTGGCCCTCGCCGGCCCTGGCCTGTGGTCGGCGACCAGCGACCGGCCACAAGCCAAGAAGAAGAAGAAGAAGAAAACCGATAAGAAGAAAAAAAAAATTTCTTTTCCATTTTTGATTATTGTTCCTAGAATCAAAAAATAACTTTTTTACTTTTTGATTCTGTTCTAAAACTGATTTTGGGAACAAATTTTTGCAAATTTGTGCCAAAATTTACCAAACGGATTTCTGTTCCAAAACTGATTCTGGGAACAAAAGAATAGAAATAGTTACTGTTTAGCAGGTTGCCAAACGCGCCCTAATTCTATTTCTCTCCGATTTAACATTTTTTAGGTCGTGTCAACGGAAAGTAACTCCTTACAAACTATCAAATACGCACGAGACCGACTTACTTTGAAGAGCCAAGTCGATTCACATATCATGAGATCATATTATTACAGAAATTTAAATACTTGAAATAACTTGATTGGAATTGCAATCGTATCAATTATTATCAGAACACATGTACAAATTTTAAAGGTTATCTCGAGACTATTGTCAAGTCAACATGACCATTTAAAAGAGCCATTCACGATAAACATTATAATCTAATGTATCAAATCTTGTACGTCAGAATGACAAATGGGGGCAAACACTGCAGGATGAGATGAGATGAGATGAGATCCACTCTCCAATCCAATGCAAACCAAAACGGCGTCGTCGCGGAAACTGATTATGCTTAGAAATGATTCTTTTTTATTTCGTACCCGGGAACAATTTCTAAGCATTTGAAGGTGTTTGGTAACTGCGCAAAATTTTTATTCTTGAAATAGAAAAAGAACAGAAATGCATTTGGTAACTGTACGGAATTTCTTTTTATTAATAATATTTTAATAATATTTTTAATATTTCTTTCTTTTTTTCTTTTTTTTTTCTTCCCCTTTCCCTTCCTTGGCCATGGCTAGGTTGCCAGCTCCAGCGCGGCGAGTGTGGCCCTCGCCGGCCCTAGCCTGTGGTCGGCGACCAGCGACCGGCCACAAGCCAAGAAGAAGAAGAAGAAAACCGATAAGAAGAAAAAAAAATTTTCTTTTCCATTTTTTAATCTTGTTCCTAGAATCAAGAAGCAACTTTTTTTTGTTTCTTGATTCTGTTCCAAAATTGATTTTGGGAATAAATTTTTGCAAATTTGTGCCAAAATTTACAAAATAGATTTCTGTTCCAAAACTGATTCTGGGAACAAAAGAATACAAATAGTTACTGTTTAGCCGGTTGCCAAACGCGCCCTAATTCTATTTCTCTCCGATTTAACATTTTTTAGGTCGGGTCAACAAAAAGTAACTCCTTACAAACTTTCAAATACGCACGAGACCGACTTACTTTGAAGAGCCAAGTCGATTCACATCTCATGAGATCATATTATCGCAGAAATTTAAATACTTGAAATAACTTAATTGCAATTGCAATCGCAACCGTATTAATTATTATCAGAACACATATACAAATTTTAAAGGTTATCTCGAGACTATTGTCGAGTCAACATGAACATTTAAAAGAGCCATTTACGGTAAACATTATAATCTAATGTACCAAATCTTGAACGTTGGAATGATTAACGGGAGCAAAAATTGCAGTATGAGATGAGACGCGCTCTTCTAGTGCAAAACCAAAACGGCGTCGCCGCGATCTCCAAGCTCGACCGTCGATTCCGGGAGCGAGGAGAGCCAAAAAGGGAGGGGGAGGGGGGCGCCGTATTTCGTACGTATTTTGGCCATTCGTCAAGAGAAGATCACAAAGGGATCGCCGCAGCGTAGACATACGGTGGGGAATCGCAGGCGCAGCGAGGGAAGGGAACGAAGGTTCCTTTCGAGCTTTGTCTCTCTCTCGCTCGAAGAAGATCCCGTCTCTTTTCAAATCCTCTCTGTTCTCTGTTCTCTCTCTCTCTCTTCTTCTGCTCGCTCTCGCTCTCCGCGTGATCAATAATGGGTCTGTGGGAAGCGTTTCTCAATTGGCTTCGCAGGTTCTTCCCTCCCTCCTCCTCCCTCTCCTTCCACTTCGATACCCTCTTCGCGCATTCGCGTTCTGGATCGATCTTGAAACGTCTCCGTTTAGATTCCGTCGGGGGAGCGTGGGTGGATTGAACCCCCTCGGAGATGGCTGCGCGCGTGCGAACGGGATTTCGTGCTCCGTTGTTTTGAATGCGTCTTGCTTTTCGCGTGCTTGCTTTCCCGTGAAGGAACGCGCTGGGATTTTTTTTTGGGCAATTGCGACGGTTCTGGTTCTTTGTTTCTGCATTGGGCGGTTGCTTGGATTGTCCTTGTCTGCGTGGCGATGGCGTCTGCGCCGGGGCCGTGGTTCCTTCGGGCGTTTGGGCGATTTGGGTGACGGAATATGATGAGGGGGGTGATGAAAGATTTTCAATTTTCGTTAGAATGGCAGTAATTAGCATGTGTTTCAGGGGTGGCGATTGGTGTTGGTGTCATCACGTTCTGGGGGTGCTTTTTTCGTAGCTAAACACAGCTCCCGTTTTGATCAATATGGAAAAATTGCGGGTTTTTGCACAGAACGTGTGAAAAAGGCGTCGAGCGATTATCTGTTTTGGATTTTGGAGTTGATTATGTTTTTTTTGTAGTTTCAAAATGGTATTTTTTTTCTCAATAGCTTTTCTCATGAAGGGTTGTTGTGCTCAAGTTGTGTTAAAAGGTGTGATATTTAGTCTTGCTAGTGTCCTCATCGCATGACAATGTCATTGAATGATCCTCCATGTATAAGATTCATGCAGTTTTCATATTTGGCTGGCTGTAAAACTGCGTGAGATCGTTTTTTATCTTCCGGGGTGCTCTTTTGTTAGCATAGACTAGATGGGACATCCTTTATCAGAGTCAAGTAATCTGCAAAGCACTTGACCTTATTGATTGTCTGTGAAATTATCATCAACTACAGACATTTTTAATGGAAGAGAAGCCTTGCTTGTTAGATTAGAAGATCCTATGTCGGTTTCTCTACAAACTATGCAGAAAATATGGTGGTTGTAGCCATGTCGCTAAACCACAGTATCCTTCTTCCTTAACACATAATTTGGCTGGTGTCTTTTGAAAGATGTGATGGCCATCTTCTATATTTGGTATCCGTGCTTCTCTTCTACATTCTGATCTAGTGGTACTTGTATTTAGAGATGTGCCTGGTCGTCTTGTAATGCTAAAGTGGATTCCGATGCATAAAGCAGATAAGGAAGAGGAGTAGAGTTCCTTTTATTTTAGTCCTGATACGGCAACACCCTGAATTGTTGGTTGACCACAGCCTAGGTTCACCAACACTGTGTCTTGACGGTTGATCATTGGGAAAGCTCATATTGTAGAGAATGTAGACTTTCCCATCTGTTGTTTTTTATTATCAAAGACAATCTACTAGTCAACCTGATGACCAGGATCAGTCTCTCGAGGCTGCCAAATGCTTGTACATTCTTGTTCTTCATGTTTCTGTTACACTTTTATTTTCTGGATTCTACCAAATATTCCCATGTGAATACCTTCTTCTTTTAAGGTCCACGAGGTAGAATATTATTCAAAGAGTAGTTCTGCATGATTAACTCCTTTACTGATTGGAGCATCTTGTGATGGTGAACCTTACCTACGTTTTCACGATAGGTTTATTTAGATACTGAGATCTGTTTTTCGATTTTGATGGATATTTGACATGAGTAACATCCCTTTCTCTTCTTGTTTTATCTTTCACCTTAAATTGTATCTTGTTGCTCAAAAAGGATTCTTCAGGGTCCCAAGTAGACCTTTAGTGGTCATTCCACTTTTCGGGTTTGACAGTGGACTTGTCTGTATATTGTACCCCACAAGCCAATGTGCAATTCCATTGGCTATCCATGGAAATGGCCCGTGCCTAGTTTAGTGTGATCATTCACCGCATATATGCTATGAAATTGAAATGACGGGCTCTACTCCTTGTTATATTTTTACCTTTTCTTGTTATGGAAAAGCCTATGATCTTGTAAAATATATCAGGCATCTACTTCTTTTTTGTCTGCAATTCTTCATGCTGTTGGATTTTGTGCATAATCCTTGCCTTAGTGTTAGTGCTCACGCAAGTAATCTATATATATGCAGCCTCTTCTTCAAGCAGGAAATGGAGCTATCCCTTATAGGACTCCAGAATGCTGGAAAGACTTCACTTGTTAATGTTGTCGCTGTGAGTAAACTAATATGTGTACCCTGAGCTTCAACTTGTTTTTAAGATTTTAAGTTCTAGAGCTCATTATGTTGTTTGCTGTTCTATTCTTTAGACTGGTGGATACAGCGAGGACATGATTCCCACAGTGAGTCATCTCCCATTCCTTGCCAGCTCCGAGCTAATTGACATATACTTTTGACTGCTCAATTGTGCTCTTTTCTTGTCTAGCAAGTGATGGAATCTCTCTCGGATTTGATTTTTCAGGTGGGTTTTAACATGAGGAAAGTTACCAAAGGAAATGTTACAATAAAGTTGTGGGATCTTGGAGGTCAACCTAGGTTTCGCAGCATGTGGGAGCGATACTGTCGTGCTGTTTCTGCTATCGTGTATGGAAACTCTACCTCTTTCCCGCCCATCTTTGATTTGAAAAGCTCTTGTTGTCGACTTTTCTGACATCTTTGGCTCTATTTTCTGCATGTGTACGGCTACGCTGATAGAAGTTTTTGAATTGAGTGGCGTCTAGGGTTTGCATTTTGCAATACATAATATAGTTAATTTTTCACATACATAAAAGGGCTCAACATTCATGCAAATGCAAATGGAATTTTAACAGCAACTCTCTTCAAATTAGGTTTTAGAAGGTAAGATGTTGATTCTGTACGTTAGGTATTGGAGGATGTCACAACAAAACATATTGTGAGTCCTGACATGGACGTAGTTTTAAGTTTTAAGGGCAACGGGGTTCCGAGTGTGCATATTTTCCTTGGTTAAGAAATGCTGATTGGCTATGGACTTTCTGAATGAGTACCATGTGAGTTTTTATCATCCAAGCAATTTGTTGACTTTTCACTTTGGAGAAGCTTGGAGAATTATTTTCAAGTTCGGGAAATGAACCAGATTGTAAAAACGAGAGTGCCCCTTCCATTTCCTCTTGTTGACTGTCATCATTCCAGATAACTAAGCTGTTTTCTTCAGTGGAAACAGGATTATCTGGACAAACGGTGTGATTATTTACTAGTTTCTACGTGTCTCTTTTCAGCAGTATGTTGTGTATCATGCTCAAAATAGCGTTAATGTTGTCTGTAATATAAAATGTTTAATGCTGAGTTCGTTTCTTCACGGAATTGAAACGGCCGAGAGTTTTAATCTGGTGGAATCAAAACTGGTCTCCATAACCATAGAGTAATCACTCAAGTGGGAACAATTGCCCCGGGCTTATAGGTGTATCGTTTCTGTCAATGTTCAGAACTAGTTGTCCCTGGAATTTTAACTAGCTTTCCATGAAAGACTGATACAGCAACTGTAGAGGGCCATCGCTCAAGTGGGAACAGGTGCCCTAGTAAAGTTTTGATCAGTGATAAATTTGATAATTTGGTGATTCCACTAACTTATGAATCTCTAATTAATGGATAACATGCTACAATTAGGTTTCTTTAAGCAGATGCTACAATCAGGTTGGACCCTTGGATTACATGTGACGTAAGTCGTGTTTTTCTTGTGTACCATCGTCCCGGTATTTATTTAGTTTTAGATGAAAGCATCATGATGAAGTACTCAATATTCATGTATAGAGACCAGAGAAGAAATTTAGGATTATTTCGTCCAGTGCCATATTTAAAAGAAATTAGTATTAGCCAGAATCCCGAGATAAACTAGGAGGCAGCAGACAAAGTCCTTGAACAGTAGCCCTTACTCCCTTCGAACGAAGCATTTTACAAATACATCATCCCTAGACTCACACATCAAGTTGCAGAAGAACATAGCCAAGGGGATTATCAAACTTTCATCTACTTATTCTTCCACAATTAGGCAGCTTGTTTAGGACTTTAGAGAGCAAGCCAAGTGATCACAAGCTATATTGCTCCTTCAAAGTTATTATTGAAATATTTTCTGCATAGTTGGAACAATTTTCTCTGCGTTCATTTTTCTGAATGTGCCTCGGGTGGAGCGTCGGACACAGATAGGTCTAAATAACTAAAATTTTGTTTATGGAGTTTTGAGAAAAAGAGTGCTAAATTTGATGAAAACTGACCATTAGATACACTGTGTAATGCCTTTAGGTCAAGAGAGAAGCATTTCAAGGAGTTCAATCTTTCTGGCATATTTAGAGATGGCCGGTTTCGTACACTTCACTTTTGTATTGTAAAAAGTACAATTAACTCATACCTTTTGTTCAATAATAAATGAATATATGTAGATGACGGATGAGCATTTCAGTGTAGTTTGTACAGAGAGTTCACAGAGATGAAGTTTCTTTTCTCCTTCTGCCTTCCGGAAGATTTTGGTGGTGGAGACTAGAAATATTTTCGTTGCAGATCTGTTGGTCAAAAACCTCACAAACTAATGAGGGTTATCAGATGTGTTAGACAATGATAATGCCTACGTTATGGATACATTTCTGTAACTAGGACCTTCAGGTGGTTAGGGGTCCTCTGCAACTGCTGTCAGTTCCCTTCTGGTGGCATAATGAAAATTCACTCTCATTCCAGTTGTTTGTTGTCATACAGACGCTTATAATTTGCCATTTTATACAAACACATTCACAATTATCATTTTGGCTTTATCAGCGTAGTGCCTCATCCAGAGCTATTGGTGAAGTCTATTTTAACGCCATTAGGTTGTTGGAAATTGCTTTTGCTTGTGCTCTGAATGCTTTAACAGCGCTCCCTACTTTTATTTATCATCAAAAGAAGTGTTTCCTTACTGAACTTAGTCAATAAAGGCAATACAAGTTTAATGAAGTAAGTAACCCTACATGTCTATCCTGCAGTTATGTTGTAGATGCTGCTGATCCTGATAATCTGAGCATTTCCAAAAGCGAGCTTCACGATTTGCTAGGCAAACCTTCTCTAAATGGTATTCCTTTGCTAGTACTGGGGAACAAGATTGACAAACCTGGAGCTCTCTCTAAACAAGCATTGATGGATCAAATGTAAGATGCCTATAACTTCCCTGATATATTCCATAGTTCCCAGTACTTTCGACTTGCTGCTGAAAGTATTGTTGTTGGTTTTAAAAAATCTTTCTGTTTGACGCTGAAAATCGTGCCTTACCTTGTGCAGGGGACTCAAGTCGATTACAGACAGAGAAGTTTGCTGTTTCATGATATCATGCAAAAATTCGACCAACATCGACTCCGTCATAGATTGGCTTGTCAAGCATTCAAAATCGAAGAACTGAGAGGAGACTCCCCGTGAGTTGTGTTTTTCTGTGTGTAATCTCTGAACAGTAACATTCTGGATTGTTGGTGTTGGTGAGATTTTCTTTGCTAACTTGTTACCGATTATTTGATTAACTTCTGAGCTACTGTGCATTGTATATCAAACCCATTTTACTGATGATAACTGGAGTAAATCTTTGTTGCCCTGAATGAAGCCTTCAATCTTCATCTCTTGTGAGAAGCCCCTTCTTTGTACTGCTAAATGAAAGAATTCCAACATTTGCCCTCTCCTAAATTGAAAATATGGGTGCCCGATTTTGATTTCTGCGACCTGACGTGGCTAAATAGCGGTCCCTTTTATGTCAAGTACATTACTGAAATTTATTGCTTTGTGCCGCTACATCCATGTGAATTAGATGACCCTGTGACTTTCATAAGCACCGGTTTCAACCCCTGGACTTTTCAGGCGGCCTTGAACGCCATCCTTCATGGCTCGGCTGCAACACGATGCCCTTGCAGAACTTGTATAGGGCATAGATAGATGGTCGGAGGTGAAAACAGCATGTGACTGAGGGGAAGAGAACTCGAAAACTGACGAATCTGTAAATTGGCACAATTGAAAGGTTTAGGACTGATTTGGCTACCGTACAATATGTGTAAGACTTTTTGGACAATTATTCTGATGATGACAAGATAAATTCTTGTCAATGAAGCGATTGAAAGAAATTCATCTCCAATTGTATGGACTACTCTTACCTAATCCTCTAGAAGATCAAGCAATTGAAAGCATGCTGATTAAATTTTTGTGAACACGCTCTCGCATGTTAGAGCGAGTTTGTCGTTTGTTGGTAAAGGCACAAAGGCACGCGCACGACTTTTTTTTGTTTTTTGGGTCAAGACAAGCACCGGTGGATTGCGCAAAAAACGAGTCTCTTTAAGCGCTGAACGATGTTTTAAGGAGAACGACTGGTTTGTCATCAAACCCTTAGGACTTTCGACTGTGTTCGAAATGTTGATCTCTCCGACTGTTACTTTAGCATGTTTCCTCTGGTCAAGAATGATTCGCCCTTCGGGCCATGTTAGGAGAGTGACTCATTTGTGATGGAGAGGTTCATGTAGGAAAGAAAGATCAAGTTGTATTCTCTGGCTCGACAGTCACGTTTACGTTAGGTGGTTATGACCTGACTGTGAATGCAGAACGGATTGGAGATGCTTCAATTGATGTTAAAAAATTAAGTTCAGGGTACATTGAGAATATTTAGTATAACTTATTTGTATCCTTAACCGGTATATAGAAAGTTCAATACACGTGTACTCGCTGTTCCCACGATCAAGATGTCGTTACTTCATGTTTACCTTAAAGCCATGTTTTGTTCATTGTACCATTTAATTTTAGTGCCATATGAAAATATATTATCTATTGCTATTAGGGTTAATACAAATAAAAAAATATTAAATTAGTATCCCGTGACACATTTATCCCGAATTAATCTTCGACTCACGAAAAATTCAAAATGATACTCATGATCCAGATCTACTTTCCGCATCATATCCCAAACTGCTAATGGAAGGTAGATTTAGCTCACGGGGACGAGTTTGAGATTTTCGTGAGATAAAAATTTATTTGGAATAAATGTGTCAAGAGATACTGGTTTGGGATTTTCTGTGAGAGAAAATTTTATTTGAGATAAATGGGTCATATAGTACCGGTTAGCAATTTTAATGGTAACAACGCTTACAATTTAAATCCTCCTTTCATCATTGTATTTATCTATTTTTGTGTTACATTTAATTGAAAAGAATTCCACTAACCTATGAGGCTATGACTTTGGTTACTACAAGCAACTATTTTTCTGGAATTATGAATGTGCGAAATTATTGCTCATGTGGTAACAATTATGGTGTCGTGAACACGAGCATATTGCATTTCGAGATTCATTTTATTTAATCACATCCGTTATTTAATATCTATTATCAATATGGTTGTATTATATCTTCATATTAAAGGACTTAAAAGGAATTGTAGGAAGCTAGTTTTAACTTTAATGAATGACATCGATGGGAACGTTTGTCACCCGGGCTTTTTGCCATCTGGGACAGTAATACACAAATAGTCCTTGAATTTTGCTTTGCATGTGATCCATGAACTTTTAATTTATTCAATATGGTCCCTGATCTTTAAACCAATGTGTAATGTGATACATAAACTTTTAATTTGTTCAATGTGGTCCATGAACTTTAAGCCAATGTGCAATGTGGTCTATGAACTTTCAATTTGTTCAATATGGTTTCTGAAAAGTGCAGGGACTAAATTAAATATGTACCGAAAGTTCATAGATCATATTGAACAAATTAAAAGTTTAAGGACCATATTGCATATTGGGGCAAAATTCATGGACTATTTGTGTCATTTTCTCTATGTTTTAAGTGTTGGGTTGTTTGCTGATTAAATCGGCACATGAGTTGGGTTTGGAACATCCTGACGCTAGGGATGAGCGGTTCCCGGTCCAGTTTGGTCCAACCCAAGAACCGGAAACCAAATTGGGAGGATCGGTTCCCAGTTTCTAGGACCGAGGATTGGACCAGCTAGTCTTAGGACCATGGACTGGTTCTAATGGTACCAATCACTTATTGGTAAAGGCAAGAGGGAATTGAGGAAATTAGATTAAGCTTTCTATTTTTTTCAAAATTTTTTAAAAGTAAATAAATATATATAAAAAAATTAGGAAAATATATATTTATCGGTCTGGTCCGGTTCGGTTCCCACCCTAGAACCGGAAATCGCATCGCCCGGAAACCAGTTCCACTTTTAGGAATCGGAAACCGGATCGATATTCACGAGAACCGGACCAAATTGGTCGGTCCGGTCCGGTCCGGTTCAGTTCCCTCCTTAGAACTAGGAATCGGATCGCCCGGAAATCAGTTTCGCTTTTAGGAATTGGGAATCGGACCGATATTCTCGAGAATTGGACCAAACCGGTCGGTCCGGTCTGGTCGCGATTTGGGCGGTCCATCTTGCTCACCCCTACCCGAGGCAGTTCGCAAAATGAACTGATTTTCTTTTTTCTAATCAGCTTGTAAATTATTTTCTTTGAAAATAGAGAGAATTTTTATTTTTGCAGAACGGAAGCCTCATTCTCATAAGAGAGAGAGAGAGATTAATGAGCGAATAAGGGGACGGGCGAAGAACATTGTCGACGCTGAAAATGGCGAGGTCTCTGCAACGCTTCTCGAGCCAAGCCCTCGCCCTCCGTCCGCCGCTGCTGGCGGCGGCGTCGCGGCCCTTCTCCGCCGACGCCGACGCGCTGGTGGAGATCAAACCCGGCGAGATTGGCATGGTCTCCGGGATCCCCGAAGATCACCTCCGCCGGCGGGTACGAGCTTCTTTCCCCTCTAAAAATTCGATCTTTGTTTCAGTGTTCTTCGCTCTCGGTGCAAGTGTTTTGGAAATTATCGTCGTTGCCACAACGATCGAATCTGGTTCTTCGGGATATGGGTTTCCGGGGCGCTGTGCCGATTTTGTTGTACCTGAAAGTTTTGCTGCTTTGTGAGAGTCTCCACTTCGGATTTTTGAGAACCGGAGTCGAAGTTAGGGTTCGGTTTACGCGATTTCTTGTTGTGCTTCGGGTTTTTTCATGAATTTTTACCAGTAGTGGTAAAATGGGTATTGCGGAGATGGGGGATTTGTGGCGTTGAAAGCCATCGCATTGGAGTTATAGCTGTCTTCTTCTCTGTCTAGGTTCCCTTTCCTTAACATTCCACTTCTGTTGCAGGTTGTGATATATTCACCCGCGAGAACCGCAACTCAGCAAGGATCAGGAAAAGTGGGAAGGTGGAAGATTAACTTTGTGTCAACGCAAAAGTATGTAGTGCAATCTGGTTGGTCTCTTCAGTTTAAAAAATCTTGGGTTATTTTATGTTGTTCATCGGAATTGGTTTAACTTAAGTGCTTCCATATGGTGGGTATGCTACTTCCCAATCTTTGGATTATTAGTGCAAACATAGCCGCATCTTTCCCCTGCTGAACATGCTGTGCATCAGCTTATTACCCACATCTAAACGTGAAGGTGTTCTGTTAATTTAATTGATCATGAGCAAACATGCGATGCTTCAGTAACCATTGAGCTTTAAAATTTCTATTATTTGTTTTTAGTATTATGAGTATATATTCCTCTCTCTCCGTATAATGTCCTCGAGACACTCACATGGGTGCGCAAAGTATGAATGCATGCATCTCTCTTCAAATTAGGTACCTAGAAGTTCATCACGACCGATAAATCTGCTTCTTCATAAAAATTTTAGGTTAGGTTCTTGATCGGTTGCTGTTTTACAATCTACTCACATTTTCATAATTCTTTTCTTACGTGATCATGACAACTTCTGGTTTTTCATTATGAAATCACAGCATTTTTATTGTTGTCACAATGAACAGTGATAATAACTAAACTCTCACCAACTAATTTATTATGATGTTCTAATTTTTATAGGCTTAAATTTGGAGATTGATGCCGAACCACTTTGAATCTCCTGGACGATTTTCTATCCCAACTCTTCTTTATACTTGTGCATATTGTGTTTTTGCTTATTTTGACTTTGCTAGCAATTTGATTTCTTGTAAATTGCATTTATTCTATAAATCTTTTGGAACCCATTTTACCCTTCTTGTGTTGTGACCATTATCCGAGCCAACTACCGAATACTCATCTCTTGAGTATGCTATCTTAGTTTTTTAATCGAGATATGTCTGCAGGTGGGAAAATCCATTGATGGGTTGGACATCTACTGGAGACCCATATGCTAATGTTGGTGATGCTGGACTTGGTTTTGATAGTGAAGAAGCTGCAAGGTCATTTGCCGAGAGACATGGTTGGGAGTACGTGGTATGTGTAGAACACTGAATTTTTCTTTAACTCTCTTGTATCACCGTTCTGCAGATGCTTTTGGTCGCATGTTTGCTTGGTCCTCTGGTAATCCCTTTAGAGAGTTGAGTGTGCATTTTCATCCTTATGCTCAAATATACATATAGACTGGATTGGTTTGGGTTTGTGCATCTTGTGCCTCCCTTTAATGGCTAAAGTCTTCCTACAGATGTTTAAGCACTTAATGAGGATAACAGTTTACTTTTTATGCATTCCTCTTCAATTAGGATTCGGGTCATGCACATTATTGTTGGCTTAGTAAGAACCTTTGTGCAGCTGTATGGTTGCACCATTGTTACCTGAATGTCATTGGCTGCAGTGACTAAACTGAAAATCCCTGTATATTAGATTCTTCTCAGACCTTGAAATGGCATGACCCTTCTGCATTCTGGACGTCTTTTTTTCCTGTCGATGGAAAGCCTGAATGAGGAGGAAAGTAGAACGAGAATCTTTGTTTCCATCTCACTTATCTGAGTACCACCTTGTATATATGTTGCCACTTTTGTGCATGCTGGTTTTCAGTTGCCATATCAAGTTCATGATAATCGGGGGCCAATTGCATTTTGTGTTGTGTGGACTTCTCCAGTTTATTGTTGACTTGGCTAAAGCATCTGTGATTCGTGCTCGTGAGAATCGTTGCTGTGCCTGAAATTTTTGAGATATTAACTTTTGGGTATTTAAAGGGACTTATGCTTGTAGACAAATGGAGTTCAATAATCTTGAAATTTCATGTTACAGTTGTAAGACAACTGTGACCAACAGTAATTGTTTAGCTGCATATAATTTGAATTTATCTGGAACTATAAAGGCCTTTTTCTTTATTTTTATTTTTTTTTGGTTTTTGGGTATTTTCCAGGATTTTAAAGAGTAGGGGAAATCTTGTAACTTTTGCAAACTTGGCCTCGTCAACTCTGTTCCAAAATGAAATTTTGATTAATACTTCTGTCTCATATAAGACAAGGAAGATCCCGTTCCAATTTTAGTTGCAATAGCTTGTTTCTATTTACTTGCTTCTCCTGCGGTCCTTTTGTTCTTAATTTCAGATTGCAAGAGATTTAGTCATGAACGAACATTTCAAACATATTGGGATATATGCGTATGCGGGTCCAAATGAGCTTGAGCTTGTGTTCCAAAATGAAGCTTGAAAATGGCAAGTTGGATGAATATCAAATAGGCCACTGATGAAAGTTTTTTTTTCTGTACTTATTTAAATTTAAAGTATACAGACAGATGATGAAAAGGTTTTCTTTTATAAACTTTAGTCAAGGCCGGATGAGTTGGTTGGGTCAAAGGGGAGGGTTCTTTTTATTGATAGGATTAGGAGTACAATACCAACCCAAGTGAAAATCACTTGGATGCTTCACTTCCCAGTTTGTATTGGCAAACATCTAATAAGATAGAATGGGAAAAAATTAATCTGTCCATTTCTTTCTTTGCTTGTTCCTGCTGAATATCTAGATGGATATTGACACCATATTCAGCTAAGTATCCTTCAGCTTGTTGATGGCTACCTTTGCAAATAATTAAGAGCACATGCTGTAACAGCTCTCTTGTCTTGAAGTTTATGTTATCATCCATGATCTCAGTTGTTATCTCCAGAAAGGCACAATTGACCACGCTTTTATTATTTTTGCAGGTCAAGAAGCCTCACACCCCATTATTGAAGGTATGAGTTCTTCTTTCATGTGTGCTGTCTGCTGTTTGCTTGGCCATGTCACATCATGTCATTCCACGGGAGTTGCATGCGCGAGAGCCTATATGTCGCGCCCGACCTTTGCCCGCTCCGGAAGGAGGATGAAGGTTTTGGGCAAATTAAATTAAAAATAGGTGTCAACACTATATAAAACTGGCGGGAAAAGATGTGGTTCTGGCTGTACATATCATTCGGGTCTTTTTTCTTATTAACAAAGTTTGATGTTATTAGGTCATGTTGCTTGGTAGTATTTTTTAAGCTATTGATTGTACTAGTGGTCTTGATAGCTTTTGGGGATCTAATATATCATTACATTAGAGCAAGAGTTATTATAGACATTCTTTTATAAAAGCTTATGTACTCTCTGTCGTCTATAACTTTGAACAGTGTTGGTTTTAGTTCCTTTTCTCTTCCCTTCTCATTTGTTCTCTTCAACTTGCATCATCAGGACCTTGGGCAGTCTTTATGACTTTTTCCCTTGCATTTCCTCACTGACATTCTTCTACCTTTTAATTTATCTTTTGATTTTGGGGATTTTTTTAACCAATTTGCTTTGAAGGGGGGCAATTCTGCCACCTGTACAATCACATTTTCTTTGTACTGTTGTAAAAATAAATATCCATCTTTCTAAAAATCAAAACAACTGTACATCATATCTACTTTCTAGATGTCTTTAGTTGCCAAAAAGATATGGCTGTCCTGCACTATGAAGAGAAGTGGCAGCAAGTAGTCTTATGGCAAATTGCAGAACTGATAGCTATGTGATTGGCTTCCTGTAGTGCAGTGTTTCCTCTTCCCTTATGGTACATTGCTCATTTTCTAGGGTGTCATCGGGCTAAGTGCATGACACATGGACTTGGTTCCCATGAAAAGTGTTTGGATCAATTTTCTTAATCCTCATTTAGCTTCTTTAGTGTTTTGCAAAGGTGTGGATGACAACCACGTTGGGCCTCTGATGGCAGATTGCACTGAAGAAGAGATTGGATCGTGTGTTTTCCATTGATGATGGATAATGAGTATAAATCTTTATGCATGTGATAGATCAATAGAAGAAGAAAATAAAAACACAGTGATCTATTTTTCCCTGGCCTTGGAAATTTCCGTTGCTGGTTTTTAATAATTTCTTTTCTTGGTCGCTGCAGCCAAAGGCTTATGCTGACAACTTCAAATGGAAGGGCCCTCCGCAAAACTGAGGAACATTGATTATTCAGTTTGCCCTTACTTCGGTTCATAATGAAGAGAGGTTCCATCACAAGCTGTCATCTTCTTTGTTGTGTCTTGGACATAGTCCAGACTTCAAGCTCCATTGTTCTTTGTTGTGTACCGGATGTATTGTTGCTCCATGATGATAGCTCGGTGGTTATAATAATTGGCTAGAGAATGGTTCTTTTTTGCCTCCAGCCTTCTCAATGATGAGATCATGTTTTGTTTGCAACTTGAATCAAGGTCGCACTCAATATTTCCGTTCATAAAGCTATAGAAAAGCTGCAAAATTCGTGTAATTAGTGAAACCATTCTCGATGCATGTCGGCACAACTGCTATAGACATACATGACGCTAGATGCTTGAAGAGCAGTTAAGTGTGAAGCGACAAGATTGCGGGGGCCAAGAAAAGTTCTCTTGGTATACGTATGCAACTTCAGAAGCTGAACTATTGTCTGTTTGTGAAGGAATTGGCTTTGCTGTGAATTTGGAGTGGACTTTTCTCGAGATAGCAGCATAACAAATTGGATAAGAAGCCCGAATAGTTTAGATTTGTGACACCAGTTAATTAAAATTGCGTATCGACCTCTTGCATTTTCACCTGTTTAACTTTGCCTCCTTTATTCTTAAGCTCGCTTTGCCCCTTGGAACATTTGCATGAGCAGAAAGACTAATTTAAACTTCATTTAGAAAAGGCACCCATGAAACTTCATGCTTAAATCACTCACAGAGCTTGATTCTAAACCCTAACCTCTCCCCGCCATCACCCGCCACTGCAAAAATTCATTCCTAGTGCCACCGACGTTGCCAGAGCTAGTACGAAATCGCCGTCACCCCCTTGCTTCCCTCCCTTTTCTATCTCTCGGTCGAGGTTTGTGACACAGATATCCGTATGGCAGGTTCTTGAACTCTGCTCTAAGGTCTACAATGGTTAATGGCCTCCCCATTTTTGGCGACAAAGATAGTCTGTCGATAGGACAGAGAGAGAGAGAGAGAGAGAGAGAGATTAATAGATTTTGGGCGGTCGAGGGAGGCCGTTGGTTATTCTGATTGAATATTTTGCCTTGGTGAATTTGTCCATCGTTATCCTTTTTCCATGACTTGCGACAGTCAACATTGTTCGAAATCTCACCCCAGTAAATTTCTGCCTCCGTCGCTAAATGAAGTAGAGATCTTGATCGTTAAACCATGGAACCTTACATCATGTCAGGGACAACTCGTTAGTTATCCAAATTCAAGTATCGCCAGAATTTGCTTGTGAATTCAACTGAATCATGCATCTGAAGCCTCATCACCCTGTATACATTTATCGCGAGCCACAATGTCCAAAGGCCACCTTTAAAACTGATAGGTCGACCTTGTGTCGACGACCGCATAAGAAGAGGGAACCCATCAACCCTCTCTCTCTACTTCAGTTTTCTTCTTTTTTTCCCATTTTTAATGCAGCCTTTTTTTTTCTGTTTATGGTATTACTCGTATTTCTTTGAAAAATTTAGAAATGGGGCACAATATACCAGTACCTCCTTTAGGCCTTACTGTAGGGGACCCAAACTTATTACGGAATATTCGGTTTAAACCATAGCCACTCATTCCACAAGTAGGTATACGAGCCCGTCCAATAGAGGTAGCAAGTGTTCAAGACACAAACTTTACCAGAGGTTCGCTGATACCATAGCTCTGATCTCATGAAGTGCAGTATAACCCATTTACCACTAGGCTACGATGCTCAAAGGTGACATCGGCGCATAGTCAATGGAGACCCAATATTATCAAGGTTGAACAAACTTAACCATAATCCCACTAAAAATTATGGAAGCTCGCTTGAAGTCGATCTAATTGATAATCAATCCGTCTTCAACTTTAGCATGTAAACCGAAATTCACTAGCTTACTGTATTGTACTTAGATGTTTAACATATAATTTCATGCACTTAAATTGGATCGGTCCGATAAGTTTGCTAAGTACTGGAATTTATTTTAAAAAGCAAAAATCACCTATGAATTCTTCAATATCTTTTCTGTTTCTACCTTTCCAGTAATTTAAATGACTAGTACAACGCCAATGAACTTCCACAAAAGAAAACATGGTGGACGTATTGCTTTCACTATAGTGCTGAATGCACGGGTTAACCACTAGTAGTGATCAGTGGACCCGAATTCTAAGGGAAACAGTAATGAAAAAAATTTAATTAATTAATAATTAAGTTGTGCAATTGCTAATTACGTTTACTGCCTAATGCGCTCCATTACAAGTGGAGAAATATTAGCTACAGGTGGAATAGGACTCCGGTTTTGCCCAATCGTGGAAACGCAGCGATTTGAATGGCTACATACCTGATGAGCATCTTCGTCCTATTACTACAGCAAACCTCCAGCGAGACAACATTCAATTGAGAACCGTAATTCCGCTTGTGTTGGGTGACAGCTTCTTCATGTAGTACTTAGAGTTGCGAGACAGATTGATCCTTTTCCTTCTCTTCTCCGGTATCAGATCAATGGAGCACTGCGAGAAGCCACGCCTCACAAACCTATGCATTGACAAGGACAAGTATTTGCCATTAAATGAACACTCAAAGTGCACATTGGCTGGCAATTGTGGTTGACCTATGTACACAAGTGTTTGCCCTGCAAGAGGTAAACATATTCATGTTTATGAAAATCAGGATTAGGAAATGTACCAATCTGCAGTACGGGTTGTGAGCAAGAAAAGCATCTCCAACCCAAGAGAGGATGCTTTCTTTTCAATATAATCTGCAAATGACAAACCATAATCAGTTAATACAGCAACCAATTAAATGGAGCAACAAAGAATCACCACAAAACCAGTAGCACTTCATATTTATGCAATTGACTTTCGACACAATCAGCTTTTTCTACAGAGAAAGAAAGGGGAATAGCACTGTCTTAAGTCTTTATTTTTGCAGGACCCAGATGTAACACCAAGATGCAAAGATATTTCATCGTATGCCACATATGTCAGACTTTAAAAAATAGAAAATAAAGAAGGATTTCGAAGTCTCAAACTTCAGCACAAGTGGGATATTCAGAAAGGGTACAGGCATTTTTTAAGAGAAAAAGCCCGTAACTGACAAATTTCCTCCCATGTATCAATTTATACTTAGTAATGGCCATTTGTACCTCTCATCCTTGAGGATGAGGGTAAGGATTGAAATATAGCAACCCCAGTTATGTAATCTTGGTATTTGGAAACATGTGTAGTATGTAATCTTGGTATCCATCCTAATGTTTGAAACTTTGGCTTCAGAATAGATTTATTCTCATGTTCTGAACTTACTTTGCTGATTGCAATAATTAATATTCCAGTTGCTCCATCATATTATTGCTAACTCAACATTATTCTTTCTGTCGATAAATTAATCACTAAATACTGAATTTAAAAGGAGCAGATCCCAAAAGGACCTTATTTGGAAGGCAACTAATTGCAAGTTCAACCTGATAGATTGGATTCTCAGTTCAAGATTCTAAAGTTAATAACACCCAGGGACATCGCAAAAATGCAACTAAATCAACTTGCGGACCGCAATCAAAGATATGGAACAAAAAATAATGCGGGAGCCATACAGTCAGAATCAACTTCTTACCAAGTAATTTATCTCCTTGTCCTTGTCCACGGCAGTCAGGAGAAACTGCAATTGCGGCAACCTCCCCACACTTCTCTTCAAAGAAAGGGAAAAGAGCAGCGCAAGCTATGATCTGACCTTCTCTCTCTACCACAATGAACGAATCCAATGCTCCAAGTAGCTATCCAAAATGTAAAGGCCAGAAGGATATACTGTCAACTTCAGATAGTAAAGGAAATAACATTAGAAGATTTATTCTCTTAAAAAAAGCATGTAGTGAAATATCTCAACGGACAGCATGGAGGAAAATTTGCAAGATTTAGCGACCAGAAGCCCAAAAAGGCAAGAGGCATAACCTCTTGATCAGTCCTCTTGACCAATGTGCCAGAATCTTCTAGAGGTTTTATTATCTGTCTTATTCCAGAAAGGTCCGTTTCCCTCGCCATTCTGGTCCCCTCGTACAGATCACTAGAATATCGATTAACAAAAATTAGCAACAAATGAGACGGTGTCAAGTATAAATCAAGCCCCTTGCAATGGTAAAAGAAAATGTGTGATTTTCTATTTCAGCAGAATTAAGGAAGCATTCAGCCACATCGATCTATCATCCCAAAAGTATCTGTTAAAAAGCTATACAGGGATACATTCTCATGTAACAAGATAGTACAGGAGGAATGAAGAATGGGTGACAGTAGAATACCTAAACAGTCACAAAATAACTTTTGATGATCAAACAGATGCCAATTGAGTAATTTTACTACCGTCTTGATCAAGATATACAAACAAGGGATGCAATGGATGCGACAAAAAAGTCACGTCAATAACTCAGCAACATGGATGATCATGTGCCCATAGGCAAATTTAGGGGTCAACCATTATGTAGCACTAACTAATTGACGGTACAACCAAAGCCCTTGCCCTAGAAGGGTGAGGACAAGGATTTTAACCTTCACCTCAAGTAGGTGGTGGAATGAAAGGTTTGACACTAGAAAAAATAAATATGCAGGTATGAAGAGTATGAGCATAGTTCCATCATAGCGCTGTGATAAGCAGAAGTAAGACACTGCTTAAACCTATTGGAAAGCGTACATACATCAACTATTCGGACAGTCATCTCACACCTCCCTTCTGCTGTTATGTTTCTGGACATGGCACTTTGCATACTCCAAAAACTTAACGTTAGCAATGAAAAAGAGTTCAGTAAAAGCTAGGATGGATGGGGGAGAGATACTTTTACCTTCCTTGTGATCAGTGAGAGCACCTTTTACATAACAAAGAGAAAAGCTAAATTCCACTACAAACATGTTCAACTTTTAAATTACAAAAACACTAATCACAGAGAACTGTTGTAGAGAGATTCGCGTTCATGTTTTTGAGAACAGCAGTAATGATATCCAGTTTCCTCACTGGAACTTGAAGATTGGGAATCCAAAAGATCCCATATTTTCTTTCCCAACACAAGGAAGAAAATGAAGAGAAAGAAGATTGGCAGAATTACTTCAGTGTAAAACTGTATGGTTTTCACCACTTGGCTCTTTTTTAAACAACAGTGGAAGTTTTCCTCATTCACTGTTGCACTTACATCTTTCGAGTCATTGCATAACCTAAATCACATGCCATTTGAAAAGTTCAATGGTTAATCATTCTCCAAAGCAACCGTACCCATCTCTTGATCAGAGTTTTAAATAACTATGACATGTCAAGATTTCACAGAGCCAATATATTTTGTAGTCAAATTCTCTCTCTCCTCACAACGCTACTATTAAATTGATAAGTGGCAAAATTCTGGAGCTTACTGGAACAAAGAGCTATAAGAGGAGAGAATCCATACCTAGCCACCATAGTACCAATTCCATCTCTCTGAAAGAGTTCCAGCAGCAAAGCCCCACCTAAGGTGCCATCTACCAAATGAACCCTCTGAACTCCACGCTGATTGAAAAGCGGGAAATAGAATCAATAGCAATAATGAGGAAAGTATTGATACAGTGCTGATAATTTTTTCAAACATTTGTATAAGCATACAGGAAGAAGCAGTTCCAGGACCTGACGGTTTGAAGATTAATTACCAAGACATGTGTTGAAATTGCACTGGTCTGATAATATCAAATAAATTCTACTGAATTATGTTAACAGAAGTGGACTATATATGTGGCAGCAGCAAATGATGATTAAGTTGCAACCTAATCCCAACAAGATGACCTTTCTCTGTTTCCATCTTCTGAACTTTAATTTCTGATGATAGTATAATACTTTCTATAATTGATCTAGAGTGACGTCCAATAGGGAAGATTCAATTTCTCCCGAGTTCGTAGGCATTTACCAAGAGAGATTATATTGGATTCACTGTTTACAATTTAAGTAACAAAACAAACAGAATAGAAACTTGTGTGGTATAAGATACAGTGTTCGGCAGAATATGGTGGATATTTGCGCAGCCATTCAGCAACCACTAATTTGTTTTTTAACATTAAGAATGCAACAACTACTATTATCTTGACAGTCAGTGCACAAGATCAAAACATCTTACGACCAAAAAAAGCTTCGACCGGACTCTAAAACAATGATTTGTATAATATCACATCGAACCATTCATCTTAAGATTAATTGCTCGATCAAGTATCTAAAAGACTCAACTCTTCACACTATTCTCCAAGCAAAACTGAATATAAACCAAATGAACTGTAAAATGCCTAGACACAAATTTACAATGACAAAATTTATTGGTCTGCTTGTCTTCATGATTTCCAAGTTCAAAGATTCCTGCCTTACTACTCCTTTTTCTGCAGAACTAGTCTACAGCTCCTTCAGCCAATATACAGTAGATGAAAGTGAGTCCCACCCCAAGGTTGCGAGCCCTAGTTGACAACTCAACTGAGCTGGCACAAAAAATGATCAACACCTGCCAACAGAAGCTGCGGTGGGACATATCCCAAACATGGTAGTATAGTGCAGTTGGTACCGAAGTGATAGAACTGTGCCACAAAAAATATAACGGACCATGTCCAAACATGATTTTCTAGTTACAACGGTTAATAAGATAATTACTAGATAGAAAAAGTAAGAAGTTACCCTGCAAACCAAAGCAGCAACAACCAATTCTGCCAGGTAATCGAACCGACTTTGACGTTCCAAACCTCCAATAGCAAAACCTTGTTCACTTTCCCAAAGACCATTTCCATTGTCGAAACCAACACCGTTTTGAAAGGTAGCATTCCCTTTCTCAAGGAAACCCTTTCCATTATGTGAAAGTGCCCTACTTCCATTATACGGCGGAGCAGCTCCATTACAGTTATTGCTTCCAAGGCAGGTGCCAAATGCATCACCTTGACTAACAGCTTCCACATAGTTAGCCGCTGTTTCACTTTGCTTAGCTCGTTTTCTGATCAACGTGTCTGCTTCGTCAAGGGTTAAAAATCTGATAAGGCGTCCATTTTCATCGAGGATTTGACCATCTATGATGCAAATAAGTTTCTCTGCACCAATAGCTAGAGCACAAGCTGTAGCAACTTCATAAGTGCTGCATCGATTCAACAGGAGTTCATCAAATGACATTCAACAATAAAACTATTAGAGATATGGACCACATATTAAGCATCTTATCCATCAGTCTCCTTGTTCGTGACAGTCGGGGCGATCCTATGTCTAAAGCATCATTTTTGAGATATTACAATGAATTTTCAGTCAGCATATGCATAAAAGATTCAGCACACGCTTACAATCTGTAGAAAGCTCCCTTAGCTTTGCTACAACAAGAAATAGGAAGAAGATAAGGATATGGAAACGAACTCAAATTTCCCTATATGTCGCTAATCAGTTTAAAAATTAATTCTAAACGTTTTCTGTCAGCCAGTTGACTAAATGCTCGATGCTATGAACTTAACATTTCCATTCACCAAATCATCCCCGCGATAAATTTTTAATCAGTTTATCAACTTTACAGAGGAAGAAACACATGGGTGTTGAAGACACCCAAAGCTGTGAAGTCGCATCTGTAGTAGACCAAACATAAAATCTATACAGAACAATTGGAATAGAAAATTACATCCACAACAGTTCATCTTAAACATCACCTCCATTTTGAAGACAACTGAACATAAGGAAAGCAGAAGATAGGGTATGGCAAGACAATCACATCAGCAAAACCAAGCTTTTAAAATGGGATAGGCATCAAAATCAACAATCCGTACTTGCAATTCAGAACTTCTCCAGAGCTGGAATAGCCCAGGTTGCTTAATATAACTATACATCCACCATCAAGCCTCTCGCGAATGCGAGAAACATCCACTTTCTTTACTTCACCCGTTGCCCCATAATCAACACCGTCAACAACTCCTCTTCGCTATAAATAAAAAGATCAACATTACTATAGCTGCCAAAGTAGAACAATGACAGGAGAAACGTTAACTGTCATTCAACTAATTCGAGAGATCGACCAAGAGAACAAAAATGCAAACCCTTACTTTGGCTGCAAGAAAGTTGCCACTTGCAACACTTACACCCACTTCATGCAAACGGCTACTATCCCCATGACGGCGCATACTAAAAATTGGGGGTCCCGGAGATAGTTTAGCCTCTATCATTAAACGAGTCCCTCCAGCTGCTTCCATAGCTGCTTCCAGAGCTTTGTTGTCTGTTATTCTGTATCTTCCAACATATTTAGGCTCATGGTCTACAAAGACAAGATTAGTTTCAGCAATTCCAGGTCCATTGTTGAAAATTGATTTTACAGAAACAAAAGCAGGCCACATAAACAAGACTTGGCCACTTTTGAAATTGATACACAGATCAGTGCAACAGACATAAAAACAAATGCTCAGTTCACCTCATGCAAACCTTAGCAGAACATATTCTTTCTTTGCCTCTTTTTTTCAATAAATAAAGGTAAGTCAACTACAAGGCAGCAAGGGTGTGCAAACCCGTTTACAAAAAAGAGCTCGATTTCAAGAAAAAGCGTCCATTCTATCAACCAACCAATTTACATCCACATGCATATGTTTCCACCATACCCAAAGTGTAAAACTTTGAGCCAATTTTTGGTACAAACAATACAGATGAGGATATTCTTTAAAGTTGATATTTCTGCACATGCATTTCAATATTGGATGGCTGAAGTAACCACCTTAAAGAGAGCATCGTAATCTCAGGCAGGCACTAATCACTTCACAGGCATGTGATGCACAATCATGGGAAAAAAGATTACAGTCACCATCCCAGATATTGACAGAATAAGTTTCGGTTGACAGGGAAGTTTTCAGTGTGCAAGCCACAGTTGTGGACACATAACGCCATTCAGATTATATATCAGCTATGGCCGATACAATTGATATTGCCAGACACAATAGCAAGTTCCATGCTTCTAATATAGTCAACAGAATGGAAACCACACCGAAACATACCAAGCTCATAAAAGGGTGAACTATGAAAGGCTCACAGCAAGCACATTTCACTGACCTCTCTCCTTCAGGAGTTTATCAATCTGCACGTGTGTCCCCGGAACAAGAACAAACCTAATCCCCAAGCCATGAAGGAGCGCAATGTCCTGCACAAAGAATTGTATCTAGGTTGTAATTACCAAACGCCAGCAATCAAGCGCCCAAACCGCTCCAAACAGAAATGATAAGGACATATAGATATCATGCAATGTGTATCCAAATCCAGCAGGTAGAATCGTGCAACCGCAGTTCTATTGTGCTTCCAAGAAAAATTCATCCATTGAAGCCTGAGGAACACGAATTTATTCACTCGGAGCAGCATTCCGCAAACAGAACGGGCTCGCGCTTTTCTTCTCCCTCAACCTCCCCATTCTCAACATCACCACGCAGCTAAACCACAAACCGGAAGCGAAACAGGAGAAGCAACGGGAAAAACCCGACGCGTGCCTTGAGAACCGGATCCAACTGCGGGCTATAGACGATCTCGCCGGAGATGACGACGACGAAAGTGCCACCCCGGTGAGCCCTAAAATACGGCCACGCCTCGCGGAACCAGCGCACGAACTGCTCGTTCTTCTCGGAGCCGCCGTCCCCCTCCCCGTCGCACTCGCCCTCTCCCGGATCGCCGCAGCAGGCGCCGCCGCGCCGGAACCGGAGCCCCCTCGCGGCCTCGGCCCTGAGCCCGCCGCCCGCCGCCGGGGGGGAACGGCGCGAGCGCCCCGGCTTCACCGCGGAGGAGAGCTTGCCGCGGCCGGGATGCGAAGGGAGGAGGTTGTTCTGCGGAGGGAGGAAGACGCGGCAAGAGGAGGAGCAGGCCATGCTTTAGGGGTGAGGATTTGAAGCTGCGAAGTGACGATCTTCAGGCACGTTGGAGAAGAAGGTGGAGGAGAGAGAGAAGAGAGAAGAGAGAAGAGAGAGAATTGAGGAGTGTGTTGGATGGAGCTGTGAGTGACTTTTGTTCGGAGTACGTGGCGGCGCGAAGGGGCTCGAGAGGAGAAGTCAAAGCAAACTAGCCACATTGGTTGACCAATTGCGTTGTGTTAACGGGAAAACGCCGGGGGTGTTCGGTTTCCGGGCGGTCCGGTTTATGCACGGGAATCAGGAACCGGATCGATACTCCAGATGTTCGGTTTCTAGGCAGTCTAGTTTCTGGTTAGGAATTGAGAACCGGATCAGTACCTCTTAAAAACCTAGCCGATCGATTTTCAGGTGGGCCAATAGAACCGGTAGTATGTTCGGTATTTTTTTTTTTTCGATTTATCGTCATATTCTCTCGTTATATCGCATTTTACCCTTTAATAAACACAAGGTCACAAATAGTTAAGAGGTAAAGTGCAAAAGTGTTTCCTTTTCCTTGTATGGTCACCGGTCCGGTTCGGATGGTCAAGACGGGCGATTCCACACTTGAGATCGGGAATCGGACCGAAATTTACCGATTCCAATTTTATGGAACTAAGAATCGGACCGATGCTCTCGGAAACCGCCCAAAAGCGGTCGGTCTGAGCATTTTCTTTTGGTCACCCCTCGAAAAGATGGCCAAAAACTCTAAGATAAGTCTACTACAATACCAATATCCCCAAACTTTTTTTATGTCCCCAAACTTGTACTAGTCATCCCGAAATATCTTCGTCGCAGGTTCTTCTATACAGTTGTTAAAAATCCAATGTGGCAGTTTGTGTTAACAAGGGCGGACACGAAATTAATGAAAAAATGCCAGGAAAAAGCCTAAACTTTATTTAGTGTACACCAATATCTCTAATTTTTTTTTCCATGTCATTAATCCCCAAAACTTGTACCGGTAAAAGTACATAATGTCGCAGTTTCATTCAAGATGGCCGTTAAAAATCTCACGCGACTGCTTGCATGGATAAGAGCAGCCAAACAGAGCTGGTGGCTTTAAGTCTAGTCCAAATGGACATCATGTCATGGATTACTTCTAGGACCCACAAAATTGCCAAAGAGACAACTCATTATTGGGGAGGTCTGGGTTTTGAAAAATTTTGGATGCTAACAAGTTGTTGTCATGAAATATGAGTTCCCTTTGAGTCTGATACAAATCAAACCATATTCTTGTCGAACCTGCAAATGGATAAACAATGTCGCTTTGGACTGTACTAAAGCCATGTTAAATCTATGTTAGCTCCATTTGCCTAATGTTGTCCATGCAACCCGCCATGTTAGTTTTTTTATCGGTGTCATTGGACGGAACTGTGATGAAATGTATTTTTGGGTCACTAGCACAAGTTTGTGTGTACTTGTGACGTGAAAAAAAGTTTGGGATATCAGTGTTACACCTAGCAAAGTTTAGGCTTTTTGGTGGTATGTCTTGAGCCGTGTCGATCCATGTCAACTCCGTTTATCTGTCGCTATTCATGTAAGCTGCCACATAAGATTTTGAACGGCTATTTTGGAAGGAATTATTACAGAAGATCGATACTTTTGGATCATTAGTATAAGTTTCGGGTTTTAATGACATGACAAAAAATGTTTTTTATATTAGTATAAGTGGGCATAATTTAGATTTTCCGAAAGTGTTTTCCCTGTGTTTAATTGTTGTAGCAAAGGTGATGTATAAAATAACTTCTTTCATGAACTGGGTTTAATCAGCCAAGTGCACGATGACTCCTTTTCTTTTTCAATTATGAAAATCTCTCGCTCAGTAAAAGTTTTTCTTCTCGAGTTTATCTTACAGTTTGAATTTTAATTCAAAACCTCTGTATATTGATAATTATAATTATATAAAGTTTTCATAACATTTTCAAAAACTTGGAGGACAAATCATAAACATGAGTAATAAGTTGAATTTTTCCTGATTCCCACATAGGAAAAGGGAAAAAGAGAAAAATATACCTTTAAATAGGGGTTTGCAACTGGAGAAGGATGGTTTATTTTCGGGAGATTGAATGAACTTTTAATCCAAGTACTCAACTTTTCCTTAAAAAGTAGAAGTGACAAAAAATGTTCATACCTAATTTCTATATTTCTAATTTCTTTATCCTACCCTTCACACGACTATGTTTGGAAACAAAGAAAAGGTAGAAAGAGATTATTAGGAATTCAATTATTCGAATATAATGACCATTAAAAAAAAATAACTATCTAAACATACTTCATTTAGGGTGTCGTTTGTTTGGGCGAAAATTTCATGATAAAAGAAAATACTTTCCGGGGAATCTTTTTTCACGAAAATGGATACTTTTTCTTTATTTGGTGATGTGTGGTCAAAAATGTTTTCTGATGTTTGGATCTTAATTGGAAAATGATTTTCAATCTCATAATTTTATCTCAAGCAAAAAAATATATCGAATTTTTAAATATTTTTTATTATTTTTTTCTTCCTCCTCTATTGGTTGCCGGGCCTCGGCGATGGCCACGATAGGCCATTGGCGAGGGATGTCAAGGGTCGACCTAGCCGACCTCAGGCGAGGTCAAGCCTCGCCCAACTTACAAATCAACAAAAATCCACTGACAATTGCCAACTCGAGAAATTACAAACTTTTTCATTAGATCGCATAGACACATTTTTTACGCCATAGGCTCGATGGCTAAGCTGAATGTAGTGTAGCTTGATTCTTGTTATGAGAATTGATCAGATTTATGTTCGGTTTGTTCGATGAAAAACCGTTTCCTGCGGGAAATTGTTTTCGGACTTTCCAACATTTTGATGACAATAAACTACTCAATAGATGAAAATCATTTTTCATTGACAGGAAACAAAAGCTTAGGGGAATCTGACTTCTATAAAGAAGAAAAATTATTTTCCCCGATTTCTTGTTTACTATCTTCCCAGCTCTCTATCTTTCATCAATTTTTTTCTTCAATTAGTCTCATGTTTTCTCTATAAATCTTGACTACCATCTCCCGAATATAATTCGTTAATGCTCATGTTCTTCTACATTCAATATTATACAAATATTATTTTATAATTTCTTTCCTTTTTTTTTTGTAATTTTTCTTATTTTGATGTATTACAGAATAACCAAAAAAGATGTCGATTCCAATTTATTAGTCATTACATGCCAATTTTAACAATACAAGCTTCTGTCAAAGGATTCACTTTATAAAATCAATTTTTTCAACTTGTTTTGAGCACAAGCAAACATAAAAATTGTTTTACTCTCTCCGAGATTGAATTTCAACAAGTAATTTTTTCAATGAAACAAACACAAATTAGGTAGGTTTCACTGGGTTTCCAATTTGTACATAACAACTGCTAATGGATGTGACAATTTCTTAATGAGTAGTAACAACAAAGTGGGACACTTTTTTTAGAGGCCCACTAGCAATCAATTATATCAGATAGACCAATCGCACTAGATCGAACACTAATTACTTTTTGAATTTGTATCCCAATAACCTCCACCAATGAAAAACTATTCTAACAAGCAATGTTTAAAACATGAGTAATGAATTGATATATTGATTGATTGGATAGACTGCAAATGGGCATAAAATAAGCGGGACATATTTAACATACAATAAAATTTTGTAACAAATTTCTTAGGAAAAATGCCAAAAACCATCGCGCGGGGACCCGGACCTCGCCGGATCGCCGGGTCCCGAGGGTCGCCGGGCCGGGAAGGCCCGGCGACCTCCGCCGGTCCTTCCGGCCGCCGGCTTGGCCACCGCGGTTCTCTTCTTTTTTTTTTTTTTCCTTTTTTGGTTTTTTTGGTTTTTTTTTTCAGCTTTTTCTATTTTTATTTTTATTTTTTGATGTGGCGTCACGTGTCTCAAGAAAAATAATTAAAAATGACATGTCCACGTCAGCATTTTCCGTTAGTAAATCTAACGGTGTTAACTTTAGGACTCAAATGAACCATTTTGACAAGTTTTAGGACTCAAATGAACTTTTTGCAAGTTTTAGGACTCAAACGCACTTTTGTGACAAGTTTTAGGACTTTCTAGCACTTATCCCTATATATATAAGTTTTTGGTCTTTTGAGATAGAAGGCGGTGTGTTTAAAGCGCAAAAGAAAAAGAAAAAAAAACATATTTTCACCAGATTGCCATGCTCTCCACTAAAATTCCCCCTAGCACTTTATATGTCCATTCAGTCACCGTTGTCGCTACCTTTGTCGCCACCAAAACTTTATTTTCTTGTGTGTGTGGAAACGAATCTTCTTTTTAATCATCAATTTGTTATTCTCTTCCACCTCGATATAAAAAAATTGGAGATGAAAAAAAATGCCCTTAGCTAATTATTCTTGATTAAAATCGGAAGAAGGACAGTCGCAAGGTGACCTTAACATAAAAAAAGAAAGAAAGAAAGGGTAATATCACGAAAAACTCATAACTGGTACACTTGTGATAAATTTACGATGAACTAATTTTTTGATCACCAAAAACCCCAAACTAGTATACTTGCGACAAATTTATCCTCCATTAAATTGAATTAATAATACGAAAAATGACAAATTAGTAAATCTGTGACAAACAGAGGAGTAAAACCCTAAACTGATACATTCGTCAATTGCCATGTATCATCCAACTCAGTAATATGACAGTAAAATTTAACAAAAACTAACTCAGGGTAAATTTATTATAGGTGTACCGGTTTAGAATTTTTAATTGTCAAAAAATAAGTTTGAAATAAATTTATCACAAATGTACCAGTTTATGATTTTTGGTGGTATTAACCCAAAAAGAAATTCAAAAGTAGTCATGGTGTCGGTGTGTCACCTGAGCCTAATAGGCCCAAAAATTAACGAATAATGATGTGAGAGTTAAAATTTAAGACCCCCGTTACTTTAGCTTTATATAGACGAAATTCTTTTTTATAACATTAACAAGTCCTCTTCTTCCTTTTATCTCTTTTTTTTTTCTTAATTCCTATAGTTGAGCGTTCCATTATTTTTTCTAAAAAGTTTAGACTATCAAAAAAGCAGTATGATTTATATTTGATATTCCAATATGTATGTATGTCTCCATCCTCCGCGTTATCGGAGAAACTAATAAAGCTGGTTTTCTATTCTATTACATTAGAGAATGTGAGAGCAAAATGCCCTTAACTAATTATTCTTGATTAAAGTGTGTTGAAAGTGGGTTCCTTCCAATTCTACTAAAATCCATCATTAAATGATCTTTGGTTTAGTGGACTCATTCTTACATGGATTCGAGTTTTTAGGCAATCTATATATCACCCAAGCAATAAAATATAAGTTTGAAATACGAGTCGATGATCCATTTTGCCACCTTTACTTATTACTATTTTCCACTGTTGTGCCCACCGGCGCCCACCTCCTTGTCTCGCCTCTCTTTTGACGATCGGATGTAAAGGCGGGACGACATCGATAGTGGCGGGGGGATGCATCCGCCGAAGATGGAGGGGTGACGGTCAGCGGCTGTTGATGGTGGTGGGTGGTGGGGTGGCTAGGGTTTTTGGGTGGGTGCATTTTTAGGGGTTTGCATGGTAATTGGGAGATCGGTAGGGGCAGTTTGGTCTTTTTAAATGATTCAGACACAAAGATGTATTTCTGAAAATGGAGGAGGTGCAAAATGTGTTTGGGGGGGTAGGTATTATGTATGTTCATCATTTTATATATAGACTTGGTAAATTAATTTTAATGCAGCTACCATATCTCTAAAAAACAGATGAACTTGGATCCTCGATTGGTGGTTACACTGGTAACCTCACCAAATTAGGGATAGTTTCCTACCAAAAGAGGCCGTCTACGTATGTCCACAAATGTGACAGGCTGTCAGATTGTTGGTGCCCGCATGCCCTGCTCCCCTAATCCTTCCTTATCTTTGTCTTTCCTAAGAGAAGGGAATACCATATTTATGTTTTATGCTTAAGGGATGTCGAGGTCCGCATGAGACCCCAGACGAAGCAGTTTTACCTCTTACTTACGAGGTAATATGTAGATTTGGTAAATTAATTTTAATGCATCTATCATATCTCCAAAAAACAGATGAACGTGTAACTAAATTTTAAGAAGTCAGAACGTCTTTCCCTAAACCCACCAAAAAAATCAAGTGCACACATGATGAAGCTTTGATTTGGATTAGGGAGAGTAAAAGTTCACAAAGATTATGTCCCCATCATCGCGTACATAGTCGGAAAAATTCTTCGCGTGGCACTATAATAAACTAATTTTACTTTGGATAAAATGCATTTTTGTCATTGGAAAATCTAAAATAATATACAAAGTGTAATAGGACATTTCCACAGAAGAATGATCGCTTGTAAATAATAAGTCACATCACAGCTATATAAAACTTATAACTTACTAATTTTGTCAATAACTTTTCACATATATATTAAGTTATTGTGGGGCTTTGTAAACTTTAGATAATATTCTTTCTGAAGTTCTGAAAATTGACTAAAGTCCAAACAACAGTTGTTTGTCGTGATATTGATCACAATGGCATATACTTAACCCCAACAAGGAATTACAATCTCTTGCGAGGAAATTATATAAAGAAAAAAAATTTAATGGTAGAGGACTAAAGTCATTTTGATTTAATTTCTGAATAAATTTTTGTGTAACTCTGGTCATCATTTAGAATAATCATTCTACTAATAAATTCAGAGTAGTCTTCGGAGATCTTTGTTTGCTTTTTGAGAGAGGTGGCAGATGAGAACTGACCTTGAGGATGGAGTCCAAGCAACCGCCGGCGACGATCTCGCCGGAGAGGATGACAATGAAGGTCCTCCCTCTGTGGGCGTGAACGTAGGGCTGAGCCTCCCGGATGCCGTCCACGAACGTCCTCTGTTCCGCCGTAATTCCATATCTGTACCCGTCACCCCCGACCTCGTCCCACCGGCACCTGGACGATGCCGCCACCCCCGCCGCCGTCCCTTTCTTCTCGCTCCTCCTCCTCCCCGCCACTCCCAGCCCAACCCCGCCATCGAGCTTCAACAGCCTCGCTTTCCCTCCCGATATATCGCCGCCGGAGCAGTGGCGGCCCTGCTGACAGCTCCGTCTCTGATCGGCCAGGCAGCGTTCTTCGTGGTGGTTGCGCGTGCAAATCCACGGTCTCGAATTGGAACTGGCCATGGTCTCTCTACTGAGCGAGAGCTGTCAAATGATTCTAGAGAGAGAAAACGAAGCGAGAAGCTCTGCAACGCGGCTACACGAGGGAGTACTTGTGTTGAGTGTGAGAGAGGGAGAGAGATGGCCAGACATCCCGTTGATGGTGTGGGCCCCATGATGGAATTCATATGGTTGATGGTTAAGGTGATATTGGTCCAAATGATCCATGGATCACGCGATAACTTCGTTTTAGTCACCTCAACTTACGGGGATAACGAAAATCAAAAGCATGTCCTCGAATATCAAAAGCATGTCGTCGAATAAGATGGAATTTGTTGGTGCCTTTAAAAAGCAAATTTTGATGTCCTGAAAAAAGCAAAATATCGATGTTGAAGAGTCACGGTTAATGAGAATTGATGCCATTGATTGAACACAAACTATGGCTTTGAATATGATGCAAACTCGGGCAATTGTTGATGAGAAAGTGATAGAACCCTCGATACAAAAAGGAATGCCTTATATTGGGCCGTAGTGATAATGCGGAATCGCCTGTCAATTCAAAGTACGGTAGCTATGATATTTGGCCACGATTGTTCGTGAGCGCAATAATTCTAGCCCGTCGACTCGGCAATGCAAAGGGTTAGCAATTTTCCGGCAAACTAATGAAATAAGTCACGGGGGACATCGAATTGGTAGTAGCAGGGGGTCCTCCAATTCCCTAGACATCTTTCTATTTACTTTCTCGATTCTATGCCTCACATGACGATCGGTCTTGTTTTGTCTCTTGCACGGCAGAGCAACTTGCCTCCGTGAACTCTCCCGCATTTCCCAGGAAGATTCATGCCGGATTTGATTTCTGATGGCATTCCCGCAATCCCTTCAGCACATGATGGATTTGCCACCATAAATGGCCAAGTTCATCTTTGATTCCTCGTGGAGCCATCCCATTCAGCTAGCTCAATTAGACGTGTGATTGGGTAAATCTACTGCTATTAACCGAACAACACGCATGTCGGGCCAAAGTTTAAAAGTTATTTATATTCCAAAAATATTCATACCCAAATTTTAGTCTCCCCCTCTCTCTCCCACATAATCTCAATAAAGAAAAGAAGTCATAGTAATCACGACCCGGTGACCAGAAAAGTCACGACCGCCATGATACTTGGCCTCGCCTTAGCCGAAGGTTGGCAACATCGGATCCGAGCTCGTGACCTTAAATGTCACGTTGCGAGCCCAAATCCGAGGCGAGAGGGTGAGGCTAGGGGGGTTCGGGTGACATGGCCAAGGGCATCGGTGACCTGAACGGAGGCCGATAAGGATAACAGGCAGTGATTAGTTGAGGAGCTACGGCGACGGGTGTCTCTCTTGGCAAGGGCAGAAGGGGAAAAAGAAAAAAAGCGAAATGAGAAGGAACAAAATGATAACGGTGAAGGGATATGCGAGGCATCCAAAAAGTACCTGTGCAAATTTGTCTGCATATCAATGTACTCGTACAAATTTGACCAATGTATGCGTAGACCAATGTATCAAGTTGAAATTTGATTGAACCATAGATGGGGTGGTGATGATTAGTGTTTTTAAACAGCGGTAGTCACGAAACAAACCCTAAGTTCATGGGGAAAGAAAATGCAAACAAGGTCGTTCACAAAAGATGATAAACAAACTTTGAAAAATCCTATGTATGCCATACATATATTAATTAGGAAATTTTGCAGTTCCAAGGCTCCGACTTTTCTTATGTTATGCACTTTTGCTTTAAATATGTTTGACACGATCCTAATTTAAAGGGTCCCGATTGATATTGATATTTTCGGAGAAATATATTTAGACCCCCACGTCGCTAACTCAGATTTTGGCGAAGCTTTTCTAGGTTACAACATGTGTCCTTTGTTATTGTGCCTAAAATTGAACATCAACTTCGATGCATAGTTTGTTCAAGGGGACATCCGAGACACCAACTTGAATGGTACGACGAATTAAGAGGGGCATTGGTATATCTCGTCGTGATCCGAGAACGGGCCAAAGTGGTGGGGTTAGGCAAATAATGTTCTTTTTCGCCATTTGTGGTCACTTGGAAGTAATATTCTTTGATTTCATAATTTGATCCCTAGGACATATGAGGATGTGCTTTTCACGTTTGGAATCTTCACCATTTTTCTGAAAATGTTCATTGGGGGACGATGTTGACTCCTCGACAAAATGAAAGGTCGAGAGGTCACCGTCCAACCCTAACATTGCTTTGCCTTTCTAATGCAATTTTCGAGAAAATGACATTAGAGGTGCCATATTCATGTAGCGCTCGTTTCAGTGTCAAAACTTTTCGCCATATCTTGTTGTTGAACTCAATTTTGCGCTTTCATCTCGTAAGGTAAAACTGTCACATCACGGCTTCCCGGAGATCTCCGATCCACACTCGCTCAAGAGCTGCAATGGCCAAATCTGATGAATAGAACAGCGTCACTAATCTTGAGAATGAAGTGAAGCAAGTCATTAATGTATGAGAACAACTTACCAAGTGTTTTGATATGCTCCAAGCTAGTCTCACTCCACCTCCTGGCACTTGCATAGCCACAATACGATGTTGATCCGAAATATAAGGGCAAGGGCATATTCATCGGCAATTCGTCCACAGCTGGTGATGTGGCACGTTATATAGTTAATGATGGAACATAAGTTATGGCAAGTGATGTGGCGCAAGTCGCACCCTCGGCCATGCGAAAAACCGATGAGGACAAACGAATCTCTAATCTTGAAGAGAAGCTCTGGTAACTAGGAAAAATTGTCCAGAAAGTTCTAAACATAATACACTTTTGCTAATTCAGTCCTAAATCTTTCAATTTTACACTTTTACTATCACTGACATGTTTATTTTACTATAGTTATTTGTTTATTGATCAACCTTTTTCTCTATGCAACTCTCATATCCCAACTTCTTCAAATTTCCGCGCTTTGAAAGATGAATAGCCTCTTCTTCTTATTCCTTGGTTTAGTACATCATTTTCCCATCGTTTCCAATTGATCTAGATATTGAACATGGTGTTTTTCATAGCATCTCATGATAGCATCTTTTCCCACGTTCCGTTTGGCAATACAGAAATCTTTAACAAGTTCAAGGACAGCAAAGAGAATTTCAGCAAATCGCTTATTGCCAACGCGCGGGGACTGCTAAGTCTATTTGAAGCTTGCCATATGAGGTTTCATGGCGATGATATGTTGGACTATGCACTTGCTTTTGCTATAACTCACCTTGAATCAATTGATAATAGAAAAGCAAGCCTTAATCTCGAAAAACAAGTGAGTCATGCCCTAAACCAGCCAATCCACAAGGGATTGCCAAGGCTAGAGGAGAGGGGTTACATTGCACTCTACCAAGAGGAGCCTCCACATAATGAAGTCTAAATTCGATTTCAATCTATTGCAAGAGCAACACCAGAAGGAACTCGGCAACCTTACTAGGTTAACTTCATGATAGCATGTTTGAAGCAGCTACATGTTCTAAGAACACCAAATTACGAAAGATTGATTCGTGCAATTTCAATTTATCTTGAACTAAAAATCATTTGTGCGTGATAACAAGTGTTAAACTCTTTGAATCGTTGGTCCACGGTACTTTCGATATATAAACTCAAAATTCTATCAATGATGTGTTTGCCTTATATAGGATCTGTTGGTAAACTATATAGGTGGTGGAAGGATTTAGATGTAGAAAGGAAGTTCCCGTTTGCTAGAGATAGGATTGTGGAGCTGTATTTTTGGGCATTAGGAGTTTATTTCGAGTAGGAGTACGAAGCCGCTAGAGAAATACTAACCAAAGTGGGCGGCGTTCTTTCCATAATCGACGACATCTATGATGTCTATGGCATATTGGAAGAACTAGAACTCTTCACAGAAGCAATTGAAAGGTATAGTTCGCACTTGTATTCTTTTATAAGTTTACCAATTCTAATTTGATTGACTGTTTAAAAGGGTCGAGTGTGATATTTTCTTAACTTGAACTCGGGTGGGATGTCACTGCCAAAGATGGATTGCTAGAGTACATGCAAGTGTTTTACAAGACACTTCTTGATATATATGACGAAATTGGCTACAAACTGACCAAAAAAGGACGATCATACTGCCTCTCTTATGCAAAAGAAGCGATAAAGCCATTTGACGTTACATCAATCAAATGGAATTTTACTCCATCCACTTGCAACATAATATCGGGTTTTCGATATGGATGAGAGACTATCATGTATCTACGTCCACCAAATACACTGAAGTTCATATATTGACGAAGCTTTTCCGTTTGAGAATGAACTTTCAGATGAAAAACCAAGCGAGAGCGTACTTCACCGAGGCCAAATGGTTCCACCAAAACCACCTACAGACGATGGAGGAGTACATGCCTGTTGCATTAGCAAGCTCTGGTTATGAATTGCTATTCGTGACGTGGTTTTGGGAATGGGAGATATCGTTATAAAAAGATGCTCTTAACTGGTTATTATTCAGCAACCCCAAGATGGTAAAGGGTTCGAAAGTAGTCACTCGGCTCCTGGATGACATTGCCAGCCACAAGGTATATAAATTTTTTCTTGTGGATTTCATCAATGGAAGGAAAAGAATAATTTCCTCGAGAAATTTGTTTACAGTTTGAGCAAGAGAGAAGGCATGTGGCATCTTTAGTGGACTCTTTCATGAAACAATACAGAGTTACGCAGGAAGAGGCCAAGGAGGAACTCCATAAGTAGATGGTCGATGCGTGGAAGGACATTAACGAAGGGCTGCGCTGTCCGACCGTCGTCACCGAGCCTCTCCTCGTGCGAATTCTCAATTCTACACGAGTCGTCCATTAATGTATGGCGACGAAAAAGATCACTACTCTCACGCCGGAACCAAGTTGAAAGAGCATGTGACTTCTTTGCTTGTCAATCCATTGCCAATGTGATGGTTTAGAAAGAACGAGTTTACTTACCATGCCGTCATAGATTGCATAAGACACTTGCAAATCTGGTTTGTGTACAATTTGAATTCTCTTCTCTGGCCTGTGAGCCCACCCCAATTCCTTTTTCTGTGTGTAGATTTTGAAATAAAAGAAATAAGGAGTCCGTAGGAAAATGTCACATTAGCATGTATCAATGTTCTATGCTATGCCTGGTTCAGTTTCTTGATCAACATAAAAAATAAGGTTTTTGATGTATGCTTATGACTGTCTTAGTACAACTCTAACAATCACATATTACAACATCTAACATAAATGGAACCAAGTTTCACATTTTTCGGACAAAGTATTTCATTTATTGGTTGCATAAGTGATCTAACATTGTTTCCATCACTATACCCTTGGGATATAAACTCTAAGCTCTTTGCATAGTCTTGATCATATTATGCTTATCTATATCTTCTTGAATATAATTAAACAATCATGTCTTAACTCAAAGAAGTCTGCCCACTATTATACCATTTCCTTTACAAGAATGATTCGCAATCCTACTTTTTTTCTTACATACTGGAGGAGCAATCTACACTCTACTTTTTGTCCTATATTATACCATTTTTTTGTCCTAGGCTTAGAGTTTGTGAAAATTTGAGTTGAAAAATGAAACTATGTCTAGAATTTGATGGAAAATGTGGTCCATTGAAAAGCAACCTGGGTTTCAAATTCCTGATCAACGCAAACCCTAATAGGTTGTAATTAGAAGGCTGGTTTGAGTTGGACGAGTTTGAGGTCCGATGTGAAAGATAACTGTAGTTTTGAACGGACGTCCAAACTCTGACTGATCAATTTTTATAATTTTTTTAATGTTATGAATTTTTTTTCCTTTTTTTTTCTTTTCTTTTCCCCTTTTACCCTTTGCCCGCCATCGCCGGGCTTGGTTGATGGCCAGTTGAGGTCGCTGGTCATTGATGGTTGAGGGAAGTCCCAGCCGTGCCACGCAGGATGGTCGGCGCTGACTAAACCGCCATGTCAGCAATTTCCGACCAAAATTGATCGAAAAGACTAAATTGGCAAATCGTTAAAGGTTTATGACTAAATTGACAAATTATCAAAATTTTTATAATTAAATTGACACAATTGCAAAATTTAATACTAGATTGACAAGTTGTCAAAAAGTTTAAGACTAAATTGATATAATTAAAAGGTTTATGACTAATTTGCCCACCATATAAGAAATATGACTTTTTAGATAATTTTCTCGAAAAGTGCACTGGAAGGGTTCTATTTTCAAGGTTAAAACTTCAATCCGAAAAATCTACGTCAATCTGATTGTCTGTTTGGGTTTCTTCCAACTCATTTTCTTTTTTCGAGCTGCGAGAGCCAAAGATCCTTGATTGGATGTGACTAAACAAAGCTCACTTGTACTCTATTCCGCAAGCTATTGACATTCACTTTTTTCTTCCATTTGCTTAGTTATATAGGCCGTCTTGACACAATTAGCTCAAGGACCATAGTGGAAGCTTCCTTGAAATGCGCATGCTCATTAGAGATTGCTAATTTTGTGTGAAAGCTAGTCCAATTGAACGTTGTTCATGGAGAAAGATATTCTCGTTCAATCACTTTGCTTTCAAATTCAACTCACCTCTCATTCTTGTTGAGAGTCTCACGTTGCTCAAATACATAAAGTTAAGACTGACCTTAAAAATGTTTGTACTTTCAATCTCCCAGTATATACAACTCTATAGCTCATTAAACTTTGTGGCAGTGGAAATCTTTCAATAGCTTATCTCATGAGATTTTACGCCAAAATTATCAAATAGTTTCCCGGCACGAGCAAGACAGTGGATAGCATCGGCACTTGTATACTGGTTTTTCAAAGTGAGATGAAAACTAATTTGGGATAAATGTGTTGTGGCCATGACTATATACACCTCAATAGCTTCATTAAACTTTGTGGCGTGGAATCTTTAATGGTTATTTGTTTGCAAATATAAAGTTTCCCGGCACAGCGACGTTTACGGTTTTCGTGTGATTTTGGGATTAATGTTTTTTTTGGGATTTTTTGTTCGTCCCAAATTAGTTTGGGTAAATGTGTCGTGGCATATTAATTTGAAATTTTTAATGGTATTAACTCTAAAAGATTGAGTCTATTGTATAAAAAAGATCGCGTCTCGGAGTAGTTAAAGTATTTCCTTTCTATGCATGTATGAGTATCAAGTAGAAGATGTTTTCCAAGTTTGGCTGAGCAGTGGACCACGATACTATCACCAGTGTGTCGAGAGAGAGAGAGAGAGAGAGAGAAAAAAGTGAGATTGTCATCGTCGTTCACGAGGAATCAAACGGCCACGAGCTCGAAATATGAGATTCCCACCATTACGATCAGTCAAATTCCTTGGCGTGAGATTCTTTTGTTGATCGGATAGTCTACAATAGAAATATCATCTTGGTTTGCACGAAGAACATGAATTTAGGGTCCGTTTGTTTGAAGAAAACTGTTATAAACAAACGACAGAGCTTGTTTGAAGAAAACTGTTATAAACAAACGACAGAGCGCCTACACAAGTTGGAAAACAAGGTGATCTACAAACTGCCTCGTGTGCTCGGGGTTAGAAATCAAGAGACCATTTTGATCAGATTGTTCGAAAAGTATACATCCATACATGCATCTATCAGGCAGTGTTCTCTCCATGATATTCACTTCCTCTGTACTTTGGAAAAGTCTATTAGATCATGGCAATGAAGCTAAGTGTTCAATGCTATTGATCCAGCTCTGTCTTTGACAGCAGAATCGACACGGCCTTTCCATCAAAACTCCTGAAGTCAATATGCGTTGCGATGTCTGCAAAACCACAGAAACTACACGATTGTTTTTCCTTGGGAATTGTCCTCTGTGTTATCAAGAGGACCGTCCAGGATACTTCTGTACGAACTGGTTTGCGTTTTTTCACTCATTGCACCTATCGAAACTCGAAAGAAATCCCGAGCGAACTCGAAGAAGATATCTTGTTGATAGGGCAAGGACTTAATCAGCATATTTACTGCGCCAGCGAGCATCGGTTGCGAGTGTAAATTAACCCTTATTGTAAGCAAATTAGCCATTTGAAAGGGCATATATAAGCCCCCACTGAGCTCAGAAAAGGGACATGTCTCATAATCAGTGAATAGGAAGAGTAACAATAGTCTCCACAGATATACACATCGACAGAGATCATTCAATAAATAAAGATATCACAGCCAAATCATCCTGATAGATCATGACACTAACACCTCCGTCCGACCTGCAGAGGTGGAAACCGGAACGATCTTCCCTAAAATCCTTCCTGTCGCCGCAGAGCCTGCCTCAGAAAACCGCATCCAGAAGACAACAACAGCAAAGCGCCGCTAAGCTGCAAAAGGTCGAGATGGAATACACACACTCATTAGTTCTGGAGCAGAGCAGGGAAATAAACGCACCCACAACAAGAAGCTATTTGAGTTCGAGCCGAGAGCTACCGGAATCCAACCGGCTCAAATACAAAGTAGATTTGAATGAAAAACTTAAAATGTCAATTGATTTGATCGAATTCTACTTTTCAACAAGCGTATTCAGTCGCGTACTCTAGAGAGAGAGAGAGAGAGAGAGAGAGAGAGAGAGAGAGAGAGAGAGAGAGAGAGAGTGGCAAATGGATTACCATCCTTCAAGAAAGCCGGTGTCCCTCCTCTGGCGGGGCTGCTCTACGTAGTAGGGCTGGCCATATCCTTGCTGCGGAGGATACCCCTGCGCCGGATAACCCTGCGCCGGATACCCCGGAGGAGGATAGCCTTCGACTTTCGGGTACCCTGCCAAAGAAATCAAGAATACAAACACCATAAAACTCCCTGGAGAGCACAGATGATGAATTTGAGAAACGGCAGCAGAAACAGCAAGAAAGAAATCAAACAGCTCGCCCTCCAAAGATGGCGAGCTCAAGAGAACACAAGGTTTACCTTGCGGCGGAGGGGCGCCAACCGGCGGATGATTCTGGTTGTAGTAAGTGCTCATCTCTCTCTCTCTCTCTCTCTCTCTCTCTCTCTCTCTCTCTCTCTCTGTGACGAACGTTGCAGAGCGGGCGAAGACGAAGGTGAGAGAGACGAGGGAGAGAGAGGTGGAGTTATATAGAGGGAAAGGTGGGGCGTGAAGAGTGCGGTTGAGGAAACACCCGAGAATTTTCTTTCTTCTGGAAGGAGGGAAAAACCGAATATAGCATGGCGGTTGACGAACGCGGTATCTTGCGTTCGGGCTTCATCCGATGGACATTGGCAAAGTAAGCTTACGTGCAGCGACCGCGAAGGTTCGCCGTTGTGTCGTCCGCGCTGGAAAGGAGAGAGTTTTCAAACGGTTGTTCTAAAACGGCAATCTTCTCTTTAATGAGCGAGCCAGACAGAGAAAATTACATAAATGATCAATCAACTTTGGCCAAATGTATAATGTAATTTATGAATTTTTAATTCGTTCAATGTGATCCTTGAATTGTAGCCCAATGTGAAATATGGTCTTTGAACTTTTAATTTGTTTAATGTGGCTCATGGACTTTTGGTATATGTTCAATTTAGTCCCCGACTTATATGAAAATGTTTAATGTTATCCATGAACTTGAATGAATGAAATGACAATATTGAATATTTTCATACAGTCGAGGGACTAAGTTGAACGTTTACCAAAAGTTGAGAGACCATACTGAACAAATTAAAAGTTTATGGACTATATTGCATATTGGACTACCATTTGTGCCATTATTCCATCCGGAGATTGACACGTTGCGAGATACCGTGTGATCCCAATGTATCGAACTATTCTATAAGGTGGGTCTGATATATATATATATATATATATATATATATATATATATATATATAATTGCTCAAAAAAGTCTATCTATTTGTATGTAGGAATAAATAAATAAAATTATACCTTCGGACTATAACGTAGAAAAAGTCAATTTCCTATTACTTTAGAGATATGGTTTTTTTTTTTTATCACAGGTATGGTTCTTTTCACTATTAACTCTTTTCCATTCCATTTTTTAAAAAAAAAAACTTGTAGATAAAAGCACCATGCTATTGCTACGTAGACATTTATTTTTTTCATTGAGATTTTGCTAACGTGATTAGGCTTGACCCGAGGTCAATGTGACACCATCGGAGTGCTTTCTAACATTGTCTAATCATGTCTCTCGGCCGAATACTCTTTTCTTGGGTAATTATCACACTTGTTGATACCTAAACTTTTGCCCCAAAGATGGATAAGGACCGTATCAACACTCAAATGAGTATGCGATGCTCACTTTGTGCAAAACTTATCAAACATTCGTTAAAGTTTTGACACTAAACATTTAAGTCAATTAATGGATGGTTTTACAAGTTTGCATTAAAGTGATCCTCCATGAAGTAGTGGCACTAAGTTGATGTTCCTAAAGTTTTGACACAAACATCTGGCACACAAAGTATATGTCAAGCATCTTTGTATACATGTATTTCTCACAATGTGCAGAATTGATAATGAACTGGTTCCAAACGTACCCTAGCATTGCAATCCTTTTTCACAAGGTTTGAAACTTTGAAATTCCGATTTTTGGAAAAACCTTACAAATGGTCTCCGAAGTTTGGTCCAATGTGTAATGTCATCCCCGGATTTTGAGTTTGTTCAATATGGTCTCTGAACTATTGGTAAATGTGCAATTTAGTACTTAGACTATATAAAAATGTTTAATATCGTTCTTCTATTAATTCAAGTTTACCAAAGATCCTGATGTGACTTTCAATCCCTTAAATTTGAACAGTTGACAACAAAAAAAAGTTACAAGTAGGTTATTCAAGTAAAATATTGATATCAAATCAGGATATAATGATCATCGTCATCAAATAAAGATGAACAAGTTAATGCTATAATTCTTTTTTTACCTTTTCTACAGTAAATGGATAAAAATATGGACATGTTGACTCATCATTTTTATAAGTCCAACTCAATATATAATATTTCACGTTATCAAATAACATTTGATTTGTCGTTTAAGCAAACAGAAGAATTACATTAAATATTTATTAATAGTTCAGGGATTATATTAAACAAAATAAAAGTCTAGGAACGATATTGCACGTTTACCTAAAATTCAGGGACCATTTGCGTTTTTATCCCTAAAAAAGAGCAAATGTGAGGCTAGAGGCAATAGACGAAGAAAGTTTTGACTTCTTTATTTCTTTTTTGAGGAAAGCAAATTGATTTGTGATTTTAGATAAAGTTATTTGGGAAAAAGAGTGTGTCCGTGTGTTTCTATGTCGTTGTTTGCTCCATTATTTTGCTTAGAGTCTAACAAAGCAAAGAAAATTGGTAACAAACGTACGATATTTGTGTTGTGATATTTGCTCGTAATTTTTTTTTTGGTCGATATTTTTGCTCGTAATTCATGACATCTTTTTCTCACATTTCCAATTTTATTAAGTTTAGCGCCAAAACTTTAGAACCATCAATCTAATATCAAAACTTATGAAGGATCGCTTTATTGCCAAAAATTTGTAAACCCGTCCATTTAAGTCACTCCGACAAACCGTGTTTATTAAAATAATAGCATGTCGGATTTTTCAGCAAAGTGGATACTATATAATAGTTTTAACTAATAAAGTGTTTTAAGGGATCGTTTGTTTGAATGAAAATTATTTTCAGGAAATTGTTTTCCGACTTTCCAGTGTATGGACAATGGGACTAATCAATACAGAAAATATTTTCCATGGACCGAAAACAATAAGCTTAGATTGTGAAAACTAACCGTTTTACTTGAAAATGATTTTCATGAAAAACATTTTCTTCACCATGAAATTTTCAATAAAACAAACACACCATTGAATTAAGATTTTTTTTTATGAACATTCATTTTATATTAGGTTTCTACTAATTCTATCACAGAGAAACGCACCCTGCAAAACTTCATGGTGTCTTCCTCTCCAACTTTTTCTTCTTTCTCCAACGGACCGCACCTCATTCTCCTTCGTGGAAATTCACACGCAGTTTCCATCAATCCAGCAATTTCATCAACAATTCCCCACTCGTTTTCACGATCTCCTCCTTTTCCTCGATTTCATACGAAGACCCCAATCGTCTTTTGACCTGCCAGCACTCGCTTTGCACCGGCCTTCACGCACGGCTGTTCTGCTCCGCCTCGCACGAGGCGGACCGCTTTCGCCTGGTCACCGCACGCCGCCGCATCAGCCGAGCCATCGCCCCGATCAGATTGCTACGTCGCTCATGTTCACCGCTGCCACCATAAGGGAGATATCGAACATAGCATAGGCAGGGAATCGGTCACGTGGGTCTTCCCTACAGGGGCCTTGCCGTTCTGCTTCTACCGCACTTCGCGACATGTACTGACGGAAACGGATTCCCAGAAATTGCGGAAAAACGGGAAACACATTTTCTAAAACACATTGCAAAACGCGGAAAACATGCACATTCTGTACTTGAATCACCGATCGAACGAAGCATATTACGTAAACGAACATACCTCTTTGCCACAGATTAAATGCACCTATTGCAGCCTCGAGAGAGAGAGCGATCCTTCGATTGTCGAGTAAAGTCGCTTTTTTGGTTTCAAGTGAGTGAGAGTTTCTGATAGTGAACTAAATCCACTTACTGAACACACGTCAGTTTTTCTTCTTCTTCTCACTTTTGTTCCCACAAAATAACTGCCATTTGCGGTTATTTTCTTTCATGGGCTCTTTCAAGGTTAATGGGCTGGGTTAGCCCATCATGGGCGGTCCATTTATTCACAAAACCTATCATGTACCCTCCCGGGGAGTGTCGGTTCGTTTCGGTTTTAGGCGGTAGGAGCCTCCGCAGGAGCTGCTTTCTTCGGGGGACATTTCGATGGGTCGGGAACACTTGCTGTTCAGTTAGTGCCTGTACTTCTTTGGATCATAGCGGAACTTTTGGGGCTCCTCTTCCTATAGATGTAGGTACCGTTTGTGGGTAAAATCATAGGGTATCTTCTCTTCTTCTCGTTACTTTTCTCTAGTATTATCTTGACTGTGATTCATGGTCTATCGCACGATCTACTGACACCTAAGTTTCCGCAGCATAACTTCTGTTGGGTTAACTGCTTCCCCCAACATAATGCACTTTGGTAACAGATCCAGAATTCAACTTAGCATGGTTTTTCCATTCTGGCTCATTATGCAGATTGCTCTGAATCTATTCCAAAGTGTTACTTTCAGTGGAGCATAGGAGTTCCTATACTCGCTCCAACTTGGAGGAAGTTTAGTAATGATTGATCAGACTTCGATTTTCTCGCGAACTCACAGTTTCAAGTCCTCCATTTTCTGAAGCAAGCTCTGTGAATCGTGCCCTTGATCTAAAACATGAGCATCGTCAGACATGCGAGAATTCAAGAGCCCTCCATATCTCTCCCTGCGACTTGATTGAAGTGAACATGTCATGCAGGCGAGTGGCGAATATGTCCAGGAGTGAAATCTACGGTGTCATTTGGAGAGGGCGGTGACGTCTTCTTCAGATGTGGATTCCAAGTTTCCAACACATTAGAAAATCTTCAGAGCAGTGAGCCTTCCAGGAAATTAACTTGGTCCCATCGAATATATATCCAATTTAAAGAAGCCTTTCTCCATAATTGTGAATGCAGTTTCAGACTTGGACTCCATTGTAGATAGCTAAACACTTTAAGATACTAAAGTTCTCTTCGTTTCGCGGAAAATAATTTCCAGGAAAATATTTTTCAGATTTTCCGGCGTTCTCTGTCAATGAAAAAAACACCTTCAAAAGTGGAGAATTAAACAGCAACATATTTCATTTCCGACATGACTCAAAACACCTTCAAAAGTGGGATGAAGAGAAAATCACGAAAAGAAATCTATCGCTGTTTAATTCCCCCAATATATATGCTTTTGTGTTCAGAAGAATTCGGGAAAATTGCACAGGAGGTACTAAATCTTATGTAGGGAATGTAATAAAATACTTAACCTTTCAATTGGTAAATCTTTTTCAAAACGTTCAACCAAATCCCTTCAACGAATAGTATCTAAAACTGCCTATGCGTCGCTAGAAAAGTGCTTAGGTGACATCCTTAAATTGCACTTTTCAACAAAATTTTAGGAC